TCTTTTAGTGAGTAAGGTCTCGAATAATATAAATATCTAAGCAAAATACTGTGTGCTGATTATAGAAGTCAATTCCCGAGATCTCTCGAAGAGATTGAAACTTCAAGAACAGCAATAGAAAGACAAACAGATCTAGTTTTAAGCACTAACATCATGGAATAAGCTGTTCCAGAAATCCTCTACTCGATACAACTATCAATCTGAGCCAAGAACACTTTGAGGCCCAAATTCTTTTTCCTGCCATTCAAAAAATAGCAGTGCGCTATTCTCAACGGTTTTTAAGTTTTCTTACGGTTTGGCAACTGCTACAATGAAAATTTGTGGTCAATTATTAACTTATAAGATATAAGATACAGTTTACGTCATGAATTACAAGAAGGAATTGCAGGACCTTTAGGGAATGGGAGAAACCTTAGCGGTGGATGAAACAAGCTCCCGACGGATATTACTTTTCTTTTATTATTCACTTCTTCAATTTTTTTCAGTGTGACCAACAATGTGATCCATTGTTGGGATAATAAATTTTGTCTTTTGGTATATGATTGATATTAGTGTTATCGAATAGTGGCAAAAAATAATGCCTCCAGAAATTTGCAAATACTTTTTCTGCTTTTATCTAATTAATTTTCAAGCAATCAGAAGATTGTCGGTATCCCTATTTCTTTATAACTAAAGTGAATATCTCTACTTTGTGCTTAAGCTTAATTATTTCTTTTAGATTGCAGTCATAATAATGATGTTCACCAAGTTCGATTTTAAAATTTTAATTTTTATATCCAATCTTCTTTTACTATATTTTAGCAAGCAAGATTCGAAAAGTAATGTTCATGAAGAAATTGCGTTTTTTAATTCTTCAACAAACGCGGGACACAATTCAAAAGCACATCATAAGTTGCCGAAAGAACGTGTCAATTATATGAAAAGCATCAGTTACGACATATTAATAAACATACATAGTTATTACCTATTAAATCGTTATCACTGTTCTGTTAGCGTGATAAATCTATTTCCATAACTTTATCGACTTGATGTTCCAGTGACACCAAAACTAGTTATTAATTATCAGCATTAAAAATAACGTGCAAATGCATTTCGAAAGATATTGTATCCTCAATAAAACTTGGTCTAAATCATTCGTTTCTGTCGGATAACTGATTGTCGAGAACTACTTAAACGAACTAAGTTGAAAATCAAAATAGACCTTCCACAGTACTGTCAAATTGAGCCAGCTAAATTTAAAATGGAAATGAAAGTCTGCACAATCAATTCGAACTTGTGAATCTTACAGAGACTTATTTCTTCTCTGATTCTGCATGCCTAGATCATCAATCTTCTATATCCATATCTTTCTCATGCAATTTTCAGCATCGGAAAATTTAAATCGGTGCATCGTATTTTGGAACTTGATATCAAAATAATAATAGGCTTTCCTTAAAATATACATACTTTTAAATCTCAAAATCAACGATCTAAGTAATGCTTCTAGTATGGTAATTTTGCAGTTCAGAGTGCAATCTCTGAACCACTCATTATGTATGATTGTCTTGTCTCTAATGTTAATTGACCTTGAAAAGAAAAAGGATGAAAAACCTGAAACAGAGAAACAGATGAAGCGGACGACGGTAAGTTTCTGCTCATCAATTCCATATATTAACTGTTAAAATTCGCACAGGACAGAGTAAGAATAAACATGGCACATCATCAGAAAAAAGAAAATGAAATGGATGAGCAAAATTTGCCTTATTTAGCAAATCTGATGAAAGAAAAAAAAAAAACTTTGAAAATCGTATTTTTTAGATGATGAGAAAGCAAATTTCCTTGTCTTATCATTTACTCTCAAACTGCATTAACTGTTTCACTCAAGAGTAACTTTAATTATTTTTGTTAAGTTTAATTCAATCAGCTTTATAAACTTTTTTACTTATCCCTACTTTGAAATGCTTATAGAGATAAGAGACTTTCTTTGTTGAATATATAATAACAAATTATAATCACTGTATTTCCACGAAATAGCACTTTCTAGCAGGGAAGTAACTTTGAATGCATAAAAGTTCTGAAGAGATATAAAAAATTCCAAAATGGCATCCCGGACACTACCAGTATCTCTTGTAAGAACTCAGTAACGAATATTGTATATGTGCTTGGTAAGGAGATAAACAATTATTACGGTTCTCGAAAGGATCAACCACATACTTCTATGCGAAGGCATTCTCATTAAATCTTAAAAATTTCAGGTTTTTTTCTTGCGAAATGAATTATTACCGCAAAGAATTTGAAAATGTATAGTAAAGAAAGGTGGGGCAGCGGTAGAAAATATCGGAAAAGGCATAGTTAACCAATTCACCAATCAATTCATTTTTTTCTACTCATTGATATATCACTATCATACCAAGTAAACGATTTGATCTTTGTTCAGTAAAATGGGTGGAGTGCTTTGGCCATTGTTGGATGAGACTATAAAACACAAAAATTTGCGATATCATCATGAAATTTTTTTAACATTTTCAAAAAATTATCAGTTCAATACTTCGAAATTTCATTGTCTATTTTCCTAAAAAAATTTTTTATTTTACAATAAAGAAAATGTTTTTTGCGATTGGAATCTTGAAAACAATTTTTTCTTCTTTATTGTCGTCAGCAATAAATAAATTAATTTCGACTTCAAAATAAACAAATAATGGAGTTAAAGAAACATGTTACACTATCATTTCGGAAAAAAAAATATAAATTTAAGTGGAGAAAAAGAGATTTTCTAGCTGGAATTCAAAAACTTTTGGTCTTGTGATACAGTGGTAGAAGTTCAATCCTTTGAAACTTAATTTCATCTCTTCTCAAGTTAAATAAGCACTCCTCTCCTCCTGTAATAAGAAGAAAGAGAAATCCAAGGGAGTATAAAGCGAATTTCTTGGTAACGGTTACATTCGTAACATTGCGTAACTATAACTGCCATTTAAGAATGAGCGGCGGAAACGCGCCTGGTTAAGTAAGCAGGCGCATATGTTATAGTTGAAATGATGCGCATACTATTATTACCTGCATTCATCGTCGTCATCATGGCCACTGCAATATCCTCCCTACCATTCCTTAACGATCGCGAAATAGCGGACAACGTGTAAGTCATCTTCCTTTGTATAGAAATTTCCAAACAGAAATACGCCTTTCACGCAGATAACTAATCTACTTGATTTCTAAACTGATATTTCTTTTTTTTTTTTTTTTTTGTACAAAAAAATTAGAATCATTGGATTATTCAAAACACCAATTTACAGCGGTTATAACTCAGTCTTATAAATTTTTCTTTATGTTTCAATACTGTTGCACAGCTAATTTCTCCTGGATAATTTACTTTTTATTTTGAAATCAAAATTTTAATAATAAGCATTAGTATTTTTCACATTTTAAGTCCTTTTTGGTCTGGATTATAATTCAAACTACGATTTGTCGTCATTTTAATGCATATTTGACAGTATACATATTTCAGAATAAGAGTGAAAAGGTAATGGGATAACTGGAATGTGTACTCTTACAAGTTCAAAACATCTTTTTATAAAATGAAAATCAAAATTCCGTTTTCATACGGTGCTGGTATGTATCCATTTAATGATGAATTCGGACATCCCGGATACTTCGGATATCCTCCTCTTCATGCACCTCCTTATTCGGAGGATATCACTACTGGGTTTAAGTCCAGATGTAACTAATTTAAGTAATGTAATAATTCCAAAAATTATAAGTAAAGGATGTTAAAAATATAAACCTTTAAAATACATTAACTTCCGACCATTGGTATAGTCTAAGAACAATCTATCTACGACGCATTAGTACTCGATTCAAATCAGGTGTTATTTGATTGTTTTATCATAAGTCGGCATCTCCAATTTCCACTCCTCTGATTTCTTTCATTAGTAATTTATAATCTTACTTGAAATTCCATAGTTCTGAATAGCCGTTAGTAGTAAAAAGACTTTTCAAGGAAAAATTTGTAACCTCAATGATTTCATTTTTAATTGGCTGTAAACATCATTTTATTTAAGTATGTTCAACTTTTTTAGCATTCCCTACTACCACTTTGCTTTTCTTTTCCCATTGGAGGACCACGTGACATACTCTTTCCCACCACTTCCACAATATTTTGAATCCAATGATTCTTCGCTTCAAAAATGTTGAAATATGTTACGCCACTGACAGTAACATGTTAAAAGAGACCGAAGACCAGACTGAAAATGTGGATCAGAATGAAAAGACGTTAGAAACAAGAAATTATGGGCTTACTTTTGCAGTCATAAATGAAATTGCTGAATTGGAAAAATGATTGACAAGTTAGAAGTCATTAATCAATTAGGATAGGAGTGCTTATTTTGCAATGTTGACTCAACCATCCATGATGAATTTCATCAGCTGCCATATTCTTCGTTTTATTTGAACATTATTAAACAAAAATATTCATAATCACAGAAATCATGGAAAAGTTTTTAAAATAACAAATTGGTCAATTTGAAATCACCAAGCATTTGTTGTTTTGCTTTCACAGCGTATTTGCATGCCTTTTTCTCAATTGTCTGTTATGATATCAATTGTTGTTTGCTTTATTGCTGAATTTGAGCTTTAAATTAAAATAATAAACCCATTGGAATATTACAACTATAAATTTTATACTAATATATGGTAACTGATTCCTAGAATTCATTCTTTGTTACCGAATGCACCATAGAAATAATCTATGGGGTAGTATACTGATTGTTGTTGTTATTCTGAATTTAGTTATCAAAGAATAAGTTTTAAAGTAGTCATTCTACACTTCAATCATTCACAAAAGTTTTCATCTACTTTATATAAGATTATTAATTCAAAAGTACCACATTTGCAGATTAAATCTGCACCTCATTAGACATATTCTAGAATATTATGCACTTTGTGATATCATATGAGATGAAAGATACCGATACACTATGACGAAATCGTTGAAATAAGAAAAACAAAAACCGATCTATTTTCAGATAATGTTCAGGGAGCTGTATTTAACAGTCATTTTTGGAGCAATTTGCTTGGCTATGCCTATGTTTGATTCACTTTCAATGAAAGATAACAACGAATTGCGGAAGTAGCTCTTTTCCAATTCTTTATCTTTTACTGATGTTCTTTTTCAGTTCTTTGATCACTTTTGGACCCAAAACTTTTCACAGTTTAATTTGAAAAATACGTAATATTGCCTGCATGCTTGGGGAAATTGATAAGTTTAGCAATCTAACAATCGACTAATCAATAATAATTCATTATTACAAAGTGCTAAGTAAAATTACTCGTTCATCAATGCTTCTCATTTTCGTTTCTAGTTAAATTGGAAGTTATTTGTAAATTTTCCTGAATTTTCAGCATTCGAGTGAAACGCTATGGTTTTCTTGGTGGTTACAACTCCTATCTAAATAATTCGCCCTACACATACAAATTCAAAACTCCATTTTTCAAGGTAAAAATTAAAAGTGGAGGCTACCAAAACGATTTCCTCGGTCATCAACCATACGGGTTCGGCGGCACTGGCGGTTTTCATCCTTCATATGGTAGCAATGCTTTCCATCCGCCACTTAACTTACCTTATGGATATCACTACAATCCCTATGGATATGGATGGTACGGATAGATGATTTTGCTATTTTTTTCGAAACGATACCTGCATATGATCTGTTATGCTTAATTGTTGACTTCACTTTTCTGACTTGTGCCCAGTATTTTTGCTACTACATTGTAATCAGATACGTAAACGAATGATTGATAAAAAAGGAAGCAGCCCAAGATTAAGATTAGTGTGGCCAACAAAATTTAAATGAATAAGTAAGAGAAAAGTAGAAGAGTCGCAGATCATCTTTTCCAGATTTTAATGCAGTATTTCGATTATCGATCCAAGCAATTTTTGAATTTGTATTACATGCTGGATGTTGTCGATGTGGAATGGACAAATGCAAGAACTTGGGAATGTTTATACATGAGTAAACTATGAAAAAAAAAAAAAAAACATATAAAAAAAAATAAGAAAACATTTGGACTTTAAATCCGAAAACTCAAAAGCTAAACGAACTAATTTAAGAAGTTAACGTATTGTAAATATTCCCAATAAGAAAAAGTACCAAGTGATTCATGAACAGTATGGAATGAAATCCAAACATTTTAGTCAAAATGTAAATATATATACAAAAAGTATAGCAAATGAAATTCGGCTAAACTATCACACTTCTAAAGCCTTTCTGAAAAGCTGTGTAATATAGTAAGACTAATAATTATTGAATTTGAATTGAACGGACCGAATTTGGGGTTGGCTTGATACCATAATCAGTGTGACTGTTCTGACGTTCTTTTGTCATCCTTTCGTACACTATGATCTGAAATTCGAAGATCATTTTTAATCAACGTAAAAGACATGACAAATGCGTAAAGAAAGTAATGAAGATGAAGAAGCTATCTTAAGGAAATGAGTAAAAAACTCAGAGTAAAAAGTGGTGTTCTAAAAACAATCCGATCTTCAATTGCTTTCAAATAAAAATGAAGCTTAAAAACTAAGACCTTTGTTAATTCCTTATGACTTACATTAAGGTCAAAGACCACAATCATTGATTCTGAATAGATTAGAAAATGAAAATTGTTGACGAACCAGTGATAAACTTACCTCATCATCGGTGTCATTACGTGTGCTGAAAACTTTGTTGATTTCAGTGACACAAAAGTGTATGTTATTACATCGTTGCAGCTCAAAAATTTTCATCAAACGGCGAAAAACGAGAAATTCGAACAACTTTTCGAACGCTACCAGTAATAGTAGGACAGACCGTAATGGCGAAATATCCCAGTACATTTCACATTGTGAAAAAATGGTTCCTTTAGAAAGATTCTCTTATCAGTTCATATTCAGTAATAAAATCAACAAGAATTGAAAGATTTTCTCGAAAGTAAGGAAAAGAAGTTCGATAAAAACTATTTAGCCACTGGTGGGATTGAGTAATATTTTATACTTTAGTCAATAAAAATTAAATGTTGACCATTCAGAGATGAAAGATGTCAAAAAGAACAAGCATTCGGAAAATGCAAGAGGATATCAAGTAGCAATTATCTAGACCTTCCATCAAAATTTTGCTATTTCTTATAGGAACGAACCGTGGTAGGTAAACAAAAGATAGAAGTCATTGAAATGAGAGCAGTAAAATTTACTGAATAATACAAAAATCCATGCCGACAGTGAAATTATGACAATTACCAGCTGAAAGGCCAAAAGTATACTATTATCATTTAAAATTAATATGAATGTATTAAACTTTTGTTTAAAGCAGTAGATAACTCCCTACACATTGATGATCTCTTTGGAAGAAAAAAAAAATTAATCTTTAAGAATCAGAAAACGATATATGAGCTAATTGCTAGGAATTTAAAACAAACAATAACAGACTGCCTATTTAGACAATAGCAAAAATGGTCTTTCAACTTTCAATATATAAGAAGAATTTGGTGGCATATTACCTCGCTTTTATTTTATCGTCCGACTAGTGCTATCTAAATATAAATTTTTAACTCTCAAAAAACACGAACCACTGTGACAAGAATCGGATACAACATGATATTACTGCAGTCTTTGAGTGCAAATATGGCACAAATAAGTGATGTGACATACATAAAGGTGAAGAAGGAATATTTCACAGCAGCATCGGCGAACCGTGATTCCAGGATTAGGAATACCAGTAAAGTAATCAGGCTACTAATCACTAGCAACCACCCAACTAACTGCAACAAAATCCAGTGAAAGTGATCGATGGGAATAATGTTTCTATTATCAGGTCAATATGGTGTGCAATCAGGAAGTTCTAAATTGTTCCGGGTAGCTTCTCCTTTTTTGCGCTTTGTTTTTTTTTTTTTCCTGTTCTCGCACATTACTTATTATTGTATTCAAGATTAAGGGAAATACTAACCTTGAGATTTCTAATTGAATTTGCTGATATTGTTGTAAATTCAATTGCTTCATTCTGTTTTGATAGTGGCGCAACCATTTTTCTCTTAACGCTTTGATCCTCCACTCAAACTTCTAATTTAAACATAACTCATGAATCGTTGTTATAAGGAACACACTGCTCATCATATTAGCTTCACTTTTAAAAAATTTTTTCTGTTAAAACTAAACATTATGCACTATATTTGTTTTGACGAATCTTCAAAACAGCTTCAAACAAAGATTTCTGTGATCTCATTAACGTTTCATGAAAGTAACAAATGAAAGTTTTTTAATTCATTTGGAACAAAAGAGTCTAAAATGACAGTTTTAGAAAGTACCCTTATCGGTGACAATTTTGTTGATATGTCTTACAAATTAAGACAGTAAAGAACGCAAACTGCTCGAATACAAAATTGAGAAGGAAACGATAGATGCAAATCTATGAGACGTATTAAATGCATTTTCAACTGGACATCTTTATATTCCATTTTTTTGCTAGTACAGCTGCCTGATAGTGCATCATGAAATTTCGCATAATACTTTTCCTTCAATCGATTTTGATTTTCCACAAACATCCCTCTACCTTTATTAAATTTTCAAATTTAATGAAAAGTGAGATTTCATCTGTCAGGGGTTAAATTCAACAATTAATTTTATCAAAAATTTGCCCTCAGTGTGATGCTAATAATACCGTACTGATTTTCTTTTTTAAAAACGATGGACATTGCATTCAGAAATTTCTATTAGTCGTTGTCCCAAGGATTTATTGGACTTATTGGAAAAGTATGACCAAAAAGTAGAACGAATCATGATCACAGTAGACAACAAAGAAAAGAGAACGAGGAGCAGAATACATTCTTGCACTTTGAAGATGAAAACGATTAATTCCAGATTTCGATACAAATATCACACTCCCTTTTTCCATTTCTCCCTTTTCCGTTTGCTTTTCCATTTCTCATATGAAAGTCTCGGTGGGATCAGCAAGTATTAAACAAGTTGCAGTGTCTTCTGCATAACATATATAAAAAATATGTGATCATTCAAATGTAAGAATGAGAGAAATGTAAAAGGAAGTATAAGGCAAAAAGAGTATAGGATAACTTAAATAAAAATAATTTCTCGATGCAAACAATAAAGAGTATAAGAAATAAAGACAAGAGAGACAAAATAGACAGCCAAGGAAGAAGTGAAAAAAGAGATAGCTATTACAATCTACGGGTAGTTAAAATTTCGGCTTAATAAGAGTACAAGTTTTCAATTTTCTCCATTTTCATAAGAAAACCCTTTCCATATTGATCAAATCATATATCCATATTAACCAAAAACTATATATCGATATTAACCAAATATAGGATTTTAGCATAGCTTACAAAAAAAAAGAAAAAAACAAAACATAAGAAAAATTAGGAGGGTTAAAAAGTAGTACATAATATCACTATTTAAACTCAAAGAAACTCAATTCAAAGGACTATTAACACTGCTTCTTAACAAAGAAATAAAAAAAAGAAATGAATGCAAATGAGCAGTATAAACTACAACAAGCTCTTCGAGTAAATTATGAAATGTACAGATAAAAATATTATATGGTTATTAAAAGCTACATATGTAACATGAAGTGACCAGAAATGAATAAAATTCCACCCTTCCTACATTTAAAAATATCTGCTTATACGGTTTGAAAAGCAACAGCTATGCCACTAGGTAAAACTGCATCACCGTTACACGCGACTTTAACTTTAGAACGATTTCTTTAAATCCTGTTTGTAATTACAGTAGACACCACTTTTAGCATTCCTCACTTATCGTTCACAAAATCAAATCAGTAGCAATTTGATAAGAACAGCATACTCGTTCCAAATATTATTTGAAAATGCTGCTTCCCTGAATTAGAGAGTATCAGAAACGTAAATAAATGTGTTGCCCACAATCGAATCAAAATTATAATAAGGTTTCCAAAAAAGGATTTCAGTTCAGGAGGGAGCACAGTACAGCACACTAGGCTTTCTCCACTTATTTAAATTTTAAAATATATTTATACCCATTTACTTCAAGTAATGTAGCGATTTACTCGTGAACGATTTCACAGTATGCAAGAAATTGAACCTTTGAACACTGACCTAACAATATGTCAGATATGTGGTTTGCAGCATTTACTAGTGAAAAATTATCACTGCTTTGAAGGGACATATTGAGTTGTTTAACATTTAAGTTCTTGGTTTCTCTTTTCTGATTGCCTTAGTTCCACATATTTCATTTCATATCTTTGGCTTTAACGAATGTGTAATATGTTTAATAACCTAATTCACTACTTCCAAGTGACCTCAATATTTCATAAAGTATTTTACTCGCAGTATCAAGAGTTCCTGCATAAGGATTCCATATTATCACGAGTTTTTTTCTAGTTCAGCACTGATCATTCTAACATAATCTTTTCAGATAATATTTAAGGTAAATTATATATGTAACATGACATGATAACATAGTCTAGTTATATAAACAACTCATGTCGACTAATAAATAAAAACAGTTCAACATGAGTTGCTTCGCACCTTGTCAAGTTCCACTTGGTCTTGTAGAAATCAATATGAAAAATTTATCGAGGTAGCCAAAAAAAAGCAATACTGCATAAGCTTTGATGATCATAATTTTGTTTTGAATTGTACAAAAGAAGTGCTATAAAAGGAAGAAAAACTCTTTTGAGTCAGCTACAAATACACAGAGAAACAAAAGAGCGAAAGTACCAGAATCATTCATATCCCAATCAATTCACATACATGGCAGAGAAAGCAATACAGCATACTATTAATTCGCTTTGCTAAACAGCCATATCGCTTTGAACATAAACACTAGTTGAGAGTGCTTTTGAATTGTGATTTCATTCACATTCTCTACCCTTAGAACATAATGGGAATTTAAGAAACAGTGTTCAATATCAGATTCATATTTTAAACTAATTAACTGCATCACACAAAGCAGTGATAATACCTTGAATCAACTATATCGTTGTGGCGTTAAAAACGGGGTTGCATTTGAGGCCATTGCTGTTGCTGTATCATATAATGACCTTGCTGCGGCATCATTTCTTGACCTGGCTGGATTATTATTCCCCCTGAAACGCGCATTACAAACATTGTAGTAAATTTTCCCCAAGAAATTAGGACATACACAGATTATCACCTTGAAAAGTCATTTTGAATATAGTTAACTGTAATTTATATATTAGCACTTAACCAGATCATCAGCAAAATAGTAAAATTCCCTATGATCGACTGGCCCTAACGATTTTTTTAAAACAGTTAATTAAGGGTTATGCCAAAAAAAAACGAAGTTCACTGACCGCTTTGTATTACTCGCCCGTTCTGATCCACATATGACATTTGTGGACGCATCTGTTGCATGATCGTGGGCCCTTGAGGTCCCATTTGTCCCTGAGGTGGACCCATTTGAGTTTGAGGACCACCCATAGGTCCTGTCATACTGCCCTGCTGTCCCAGCATACCATTTCCACTGCCCATCATTTGCTGACTACTTATCATACCTTCAATGACAAGGATTAGCAAATATATCAGTTTTGATATCCAAAACATTTTCTCATTGTTCTTAAAATCATTTTTCGATTCATATAACATGAAAAGGCAATCAAGTGTTAGTACAGTTAAAAGTATATATTCAACAAAGCACGAATTAGGAACATAATGATTTCAGAGTTATAACAAAACTTCAGTCTTTCCAGAAATAAGTTTCAAATTTAACATTCAAACCTGGTTGCACCATCTGTTGTTGATAAGAAGACTGCAAAACTGATGACTGTGCAGACATTTGCACTGATCGCTGTGTCATTTGCCCTTGCGGTGGACCACCTATTTGTTGGTTCATACCTATCTGCTGTTGCTGTAAAAGCATTTGAAAGAGTGCACTTCAAAGACTCCTAGATGTATGAAAATAAATCAGATCATCATAAAGAAAACGAAACAACAAAAGAATCAAATAATGAAATAAGTAGAATCTGGCATAGCTAAATAGACAAAATTTTCAAATTTCATAAAATAAAGTCTTAATACCATAATACCCATACCCATAAAAAAGTTCAAAAGTGCAAAATTTCAACCACCGATCATAATTTATTACGCAAACTAATGTTGCCTTGATTTACTTCAAAATAAAAAACTTGAAATATGGAAATTGCATTTAAAAAAGCTATCTGCACAGTAGATGCATTTTATATCTGATTCCAACACTTCCTTTTTAGATTTGAAAAAACAGAAAAATCAAAAGCAAGAATTTACTTGGTATATGTTCGGACCCTGGTTTATAACTTGGTGCTGCTGCTGATGTCCGTAAGACATCTGCTGCATACCACTGTTTATGTGCTGTGATTGCATTATTTGTTGTTGACTGTGTTGCTCAAAGGGTATTCCTCCTTTACTGCTAATTGCTGGTCCTGAACCAACTGGTGGGTAATCTTGCGCACCACTTGTAACAAACATTCCACTTGTAGGGGCATTTATCATCGACTCCATCTGGAAATGCTTTCTTTTTAAAATCCATGTTTACCTTCCATCTCAAGCTAGACTTATTTTTAAAAAGTGATGGTAAAAACCTGCTGTGTAGTTGATATCTGAGGTCCTTGTTGCATGCGCATTTTCTTCGCTGCGGGTTCCATCACCGACTGTTGAGGATGCATGCCAATGGGCTGCAAAATGACATCAAATATCTAAACATTTGTTAGCCATCATAAAGGGAACCTTTAAAAAGTCTTCTCCTTTACTTTAGCTTCAAAATTTTAAAAAACTTCAAAAAACTTCCCGCGACAGAAGATGGTATATTTACATAGACACCATTGATGGACGATGGTATATTTACGCAGATACCATTTTTACTTGGGACCTTCCCATCAAAATTTAAACAATTTAGTTTATGCAAATAAATAAATATACTAAAATAGAAAATGAGATTTAGTATTTCAAATTACTAAAAAAAAAAAGAGAAAAGTGCTAGCAGGTGATGTTATTAACCGATGTAAAAGAAACCAAATCTCTTCCTTTTAAGATACTTTTCAATTTTTAAAAATTTTTTTTAAATAAATCAAAGAACAGAATACATGCAACCGACCTGCTGCTGACTTTGCTGGGGAGGTTGAACTTGCTGTGGTTTCGATGCTGAAGCACTCTTATCATCGTTTTCATCAGAAAGGAACTCTCGCTTTGGATATGGGATATCACATCCGCTGAAAACATCTGCAGTTGGACGAGGATCTTCCTGAAAAGCCACACGGATCTTTTACTACCACACATTCAAAACAATTTAAAGGGAAATGCAGTTATAAAACAAAATTACAATAATTCTATTTAAGCTTTAATCTGTTCGAGTCCCAACTTCTAATAACCACATATATCGGCGTAATAATAAATGATATGGTGACTAAAGCAGTAAGCGAACCTTATAGGTATTTACCCCGCGTGCAGAATATAGGCTAATTAGATCAGATAATACAAATAGCAAAAAGATTATAATATCTCTCTTGTATCACATGAAAGATATTCTGTTTTGCAAAATAAATTTAAATCCATTAATCAGCTTAAAGAGAAGTTAGAAAATTATTCCTGAGTAGTTAGGTTTTATGGTATTAAAATATCTTATGATGGAATAAGAAAAACAACATTAGGTCTACTTAGCTATCCAAATATCGATTGAAATAAATTATAAGAAATATGCTCAGAGTTTATTAATGTCACACGCTGGAATGACAAAACGGGACACTGGAATGATAGTAAAACAACGAACAACACAATTAAAAATGAAATATGTGATGCAGTTGCAACTGAACTGAAATTACAAGGGGAGCAAAATCCAATAACAGCTACTTTGAAATAGGCGTCGTCCATAGCATCTTGCGCAGTAACTCGTTTGATTGGATCCATTGTAAGAAGGCGTTGCAATAACGAAAATGACCGAGTATCAGCTTTAATTTTATGTTTATCCATATATCTTTGCAAGGTGCAATTGGCGTAGCTAGAATTCACAAAATTTAAATTGTAAAAGTGAAATTAGCTTATTAAAATGTATTGAAAAATGTGTCCCAAAAAGATCCTAAATATTCTCTTACTTTGCTCTTTTGAAATCCTGTGTTAATTTTTGATATTCTGGCATCTTTTTCAAATCTTGCCAGTCGGATTCAGATGGATAACCCATAACGGTAAATATTCGATTCAGCTGGTCTTGATGATAAGGACTGGAGGCTTTGATATCTTCTTCCCGGCAAAAAAATACGGGTTCTGAGGTGAGAAGTTCCGCAAAGATACAACCAATAGCCCAAATGTCGATGGCCTATAAATAATCTGATTGGTGCCATTTTCATATAAAAAACGTCTGCTTTAATACTTGGTAAAAAACTTTAAAAGGACGAAAGGATATCAGGAAAGACGAAAAAGTTTTGTCTAAATAAAAACCAAAAATAATATACTTTTGTGTAATGTTTAGCACCCAGCAGCAGTTCCGGCGCTCTATACCAGAATGTCACCACCACTGGATCAAGCTCGGCTAATGGTTTCAACGGATTATGAAATATTCTTGCAAAACCCATATCACCAATTTTCACTCTGAAAGTTACTCTAACCTTAAATTAAAAAAAAAAAATTTTTTTTTTAAATTTATAAAAAGTTTTGAAATGCCTAATCAATCTTGCACATGTACTGAGAAAACATACCTCCCACGTTCTACACCAGGACCTTCGCCCATTACTAGAATATTTGCAGGTTTAAGATCCCTGTGTAAAATCCAGTTTGAATGTAAGTAATGAATTCCATCCAATATTTGATACAGGAGACTTTTTACCATTCCCTAAAAAGATGAAAATTTTTAACAAAAAGAATTTGATGAAGATATTAAGTTTTCGAAGTTCATGTAAACTTGGAAAGGAACATGTTAGTCTATCAAGTATATTAGATTACTTTAGGAACAAGCACTGGCTGCTTCTTCTGTTTTGCAGCTCGATGGAATTTGATGATATGCCATAAGTCGTGTTCTGCATAATCAAACAGTAACCATACCTTCCGGTCCGTCGTTAGAAATACTCGTTGTAATTTGATCAAATTTGGATGCCTGAATAATGGTCATAATGCAAAACACAAAGTCAATATCAAAGCCAAAAACAGTAACACTGGAAACGAACTTTAACTCCCTCAATAAAGCTATTTCTCGACAAGCCGACATCGAAAAACCTTGGCCTTCAATTAGCTTTAAAGCGAACTCTTTAGCTCCGTTTCCCGGGATTTGCTCCGGATGTCGCGGTTGAGCTTTGTAGACATGCCCGTAAGTCCCTCTTCCGACCTGTGAGAAGACTCCAATAAATTGATCTGATAGAACACCAAAGTCCAAAAAAACTAATAAAAAAATTCCTGACATATTTATCATAAATATATTAGATCAAGAAATAAGTTGGCTTAATGAGGAACAGTTAGAATTGAGTCTACCAGTTTACAATCGGCAATCTACTTATCCATTAATTAAATGTACTAAATAGTAAAACTACCTTAAAACCTTCAAAAGAATAAAGATCTTCGACACGTTCCCGTGTTTTTATAAGCTCTTCCTTGAACTGATAATCGATCATGACATTACCCACATATTTATATTCCACAAAGCCATAGCATTTCTTTGATAAAAATTCTATTATGAACCAGAAACTGCCTGGAAATAAAATTCCCGCTCTCTAGAACAGTTAACTCGATTTTTACACCGTTACCAGCTAAGTCTGATTTTGTTCAACATTAATTATATGGTAATCTCTGATAAGTAACCACTCTCTGATGTCATTTCTTCAGCTCTAATTTTACACAACTACATTAATTCAATAAAATTCGCTTACTTTCTTGCTTCATGTGTATACTTTTTTATATACTCCGTTAAACAAAACATATCTAACTACACAAAGTTTATTAAACTGCAGCGATAAGTACAGGACATTCCGTAATGAAGTTTTGCTAAATGTTCTTTTGAAAATTATTCCTTTAAAATTCCGATTATCAAGAAAAAAAAATCAAAAAGGAACCAATTTAATCATAACTTTGTATATAACTCTCATTGATTTCAAAATTCCCATTATTCTAATTCTCCGACAACACACAGAAAGAAAAGACAATTTTGTCAGACAAAACGAACACTTAAAAACTGAAAGAAAACAATCTTTAAAAAAGAAATTTGAAAAAAGTAGAAATATGAAATTTCATTCTTATTCTTTGAAAGCAAAAAGACAATACTCAAGAGTATCCTTTTATTAAATCTAATAAAAATACAAAGCAAGCAGTTTCGAGTTACTTTTTTGAAATCTTATACAGTGGTTCTAGTTCTTTATCAATTTCTTCTTCCTCTTCTGGGGCGGTTGTCTTTTCTTGAAAAATTGTAACTGGTTGATTTTTCAGATATGCCTTCGTGACATAGTATGGGTTTTTCTCCGCCTGTAAATAAAACATACCATTAATGACACCGACAGGAGAGGAGATTACAACGGGACATATATGAAACAGCGAACCTCTTCAGCATGACGTAAAATAGAAGCACGGACATCAGTATCCGCAAGGAAATCACGATTCCTTTTTGTACCTACTTGTTTAGCGATATACGAATGCAATGTTCCACCTGAAGCAGCTACTCGACCACCCGAACCTAAAAATAAAACCTAGTTAAAATGAAATTGTTTCAAATTAATATTACTTGTGAACAAAAACAGATTAGTTTAATGTAAAGCCAAGCTGGGAAAGCCAAATGTGTAATGATGAAGCTCCATCAACTTAAACAATAATTCTACTAACTTGGTCCACTCATCGGCATATCAGCAGGCTTTCGGAAGTCAGGACGCAATCTGTTGTCCATCATACGCAAATATTTCTTCAGTCGCCAAGTTGTAACTTCCTTTTCCTCACCTTCCTCACCTCTTGGTTGGAACATTTCTAAGGTCAGTGCTGAAAACTGCCATGAATTATTCCACTGATGTACATGGATCATTCATTCTGAAATATAATGCATTCACGAAAATGAAGAAACTTACGTGATAGCACTAATTCTTCACGAATTACTTCCTGTTGACGAGCCCTTCTCAGTGGCCGTGAAACACAAAGTAAAGCACCTCTTAAACTGCTTACAGGATCATAATACAATCGGAGTGAACCATCACTCAAACCAACAAGTATTTGATTAATTTTTGGCTGCCAAGAGATCCTAATACAACTCTGAAAAAAATCTACAGATGTTGCAATAATGATTTATATAATATAGAATATAGTAAGTTATTTTTCTTAGACTACGTAATCTAAATATAATTAATGAAGAACCAACTAAATTTGGGTACGTGATTCGATAAATAAGATCGAAGGATTTCGAATCAAAAAAAGCGAGCACTCCATCAGATCCATTCTTATCATCAAAAGAAGTACCAGTATAGACCATTTCACCATGAGGCGCAAAACCGCAGTCTGTGCTGTAAAAAAAAAAAAAAAAAAAATTGAAGTTTCATTATTAGCATCTTCACAAAATCTAGACCAAAATAATTTATTACATGATCTACTGTATTGCAAAAAACATTACATAAAATAAATCACTGCACGTGCGAATACCCACACGTAGCGATAATCTACTGAAATATTGGAAGAATTCCTTCAAGATTACCTTATAAATTCATTTTTCAAATCCTCCACAATATGGCATGGTTTATTAAATGCTTCAAGTTGCCATAACTTTAACGTGCCATCAACTGCAAAATGTTTCTTGTATCTATAGAATCGTAAACATTTAAAAAGTGTCGCCAAGAAAATCAGGAATATTTTACGTGATCTTGAGAGAATTTGTTTACTGTTTGGTGAAAATTGCAATGAAGTAACCGATGCGGTATGAGCTGTTCTATTCAAATACGCGGTATTAACCTGCAATAATAAAATAATTTTACGACAATGAAAAATTTGTACAATTAGTTTTCTGAGTCAAGTATTATGCGTTAAAAGTATATAACTTCATTTAACTTTTAACGCTGACATAAAGATTTCCATGCTTCCATATTTGTATAGATCCATCATCACATCCAGCCGCAATATATTTCCCATCTCGAGAATAACAACATGTCGTCGGTATAGTTCTTTTGCCACTAGCACTTTTTGTTTTGATTACTTTACGCTGCTTATTGATACAATGTGTGATTTCTTTGTAATCATCTGTAGACCAAATTCTCAAAGTTCTGAAATTTCCAATTTCAAAATCCCACAATCCAACTTACAAACTCATGCACATGACTTTAAACTATTTCGAATCTGACTAAAACAACTGGAACCATTGAAGACACAAATAAATGAAACAAGTGCTTAACTAAATCTCGTTTGTTTAAGACTAATAACAGCTATTTCATAACTAATATTACACAAAATATCAGAGAAACATTTACTTTGTACACCTATGCTGCTCAATTAAAGATAATAATGATATTTAGTCCAGCTTTTTTGGACATTAGTTAATTAACTTGATTTGATTTTTTTGGTCCAGGAATTTGTTCTAGAAAAAAGCTGCCATAGATCCACACAATTATTTTTTATGCAACAGAGAACAAGTTTTGAGTATTTAAATCTTTTTTCCAGCAGTCTAATTCGACCGCAAGAAATATAACGATCTAGGAAGCAGTCCGGAGAAATACTAATCTAAATTTTGAATCATTAGAAACATGAAGACTGAAATGTTCAAAGTTGTTCGCTTTTTGAGGGAAAAATTTACCCATCATTAGCGCAAGACAAGAATTCTGTTTTCACAACTGGATGCCAACAGCAAGAATTGACAGATCCTGAGTGTCCTTTGGTATTAGACAAATCAACCAAATATTGATCACCTACAGAACATATCAATATGATGACGAAAGAAATATGCTGTTTTCAAACGAAAATAATTTTACATATTTGGAAGTACTTTGTGACTAGGTATTCAACCTACCACGAACAGTTTCAGCCCATTGTTTACCCTGTCGATCTAGGATACGAATTTGTGCATGACCACTAGCAACTAGCAACTTTTCACCGTTCGAACTAAACGCTAATCCATTGATGATATGACTGAAACAAGACAAAACTGGAAAAAGAAAAATGCATACAATTAAATATAAACCGGATCAAAAAGCTTGCACTAAAAAAAATTAAGAGCAAATTAAACGCATAACAACAAATAAAAATCCAAAAAGAATCCACCTTTCACAAGGCATAAGCTCACGTGAAGATCGTAAACTTAAATCCATCTTCTGAAATTCAAATAAATTCACAGTGTAATCATATCCACCACTAGCAAATTTCGTACCTTGATGATCAAACGCCAGTGCCGACACCTGAAATTTTTTCCTAAATTAAATAATCACGTCCATACAGAATTAGTATAGACAATCAGAATACAAAATGAATCTAACCGGTTTCTTCCCATGACGCAACTGTGCTTCTGAAGCAGCAGGTATTAAGTCAACAACAGGAACCTAAAATGACAAAGTTAAAGGATTTTTTAAACAATTAATGTATTTAATATGATACGCAAATCGAAAATCGAAAATTTACAGTAAACAATTAGTGTAATTAAATTATTATAAAAACCAGGCTATTTCCTGAATTGTTAAACACAAAATCACTTTGAGACCTGCGCACTTACTCCATCATCCAAATCATCGAATTCATCATCATCACCATCGCAGTCCGTGGTTTTTTTTGTCTCGAATATTTTTTTATCTGGCACAAAGCCTTCAGGTAATGGGACAAAAAATTCTCCAAAATCATCGTCACTTTCTAAATCTGAAACAAGCAGTAAGTGGAAATTGCATAAACATTTAATTTGATCTAAACTTCATTATGTTATGCAAATTAAAAACATACCTATTTTTACGAAATTTTTCTTCAATTTAAAGTGGAAAATACCTTCAACTGATGTTCCAGCTGGTTTTGACAACGAAGAGCTTACAAATTCATCAAAAGCCTGAAACAATTTTACTAGAAGTTCAAAAGTACTATTAATGGATGCGAACGGTAGAAGGATCGACTACAGATGAATGTTATTGGATAAATCTGACACAAACTTTATCACAAAAGTACGATTATGATTAAATAAAGATAATGTTTAATAATGAAATGAAGCCAGAGCAAACAAATGAAACATGAGGTCTAACTGTTCAAAAACCATTGTTAAGGAAAGAAATTTTAACACTAACAAAATGCTTGTCGACCGCAGGCACAAGATCTACACATCTACCATATGCTTATCATTATCATCACATAATCGCTAACGCAATTTTGCCAGTGTTACTAACGACATATGTTAAATTGAAGACTTTCAGCAAATCATAACAGCCAAACAGAAATGAAATGGAAGAAATATTTAACGAAGATTTTATAATTCTACCCAAAATTATTTATAATTCTACTCAAAAATACTTCCAAGACTAGAATATCTCAAAATGTTTGTACATTTCATTGAGAACAGAACGATCACTCCTATAAATTACATACTGCCTTTCACTGTCCCATGGTATGGCAGGCGTACAAAATAAATGAATAGGTGAAAAAAAAAAAAAGCAAACAAACAAAGAAACAAACATAGTGATGTTCTCTGATAGACTTGGACTGCTCTCGATGAAAACGTTTGTTATCGTCGGCTGTTTTTTCGACGCCTTCTTTACCGAAGGTTTCAGTTGTTCGCGTGAGAGCGCTTTGCATGACTTCCGTGAACATCGTCTCGAAACTGAACTGTCGAGCTTTCTTTGCAGCATTTTTTTGTTGTCGAGTTTTAGTTTCCTCGTTGCTTTCCGTAGTTTTGCTATCGTCCTCTAAAAAAATACTACTTGGTTATTTAATCTTCGTAGAACCAGTAAAAAAATATTAAACAAACAGCAAATAATTTTAATAAGATAGTAGCCCATTTCCTCAAAAAATCAAGAACTAAGTGGATATGTAAAAAGATGGCGAAATTACCTTTTTCTTCGTTTTGTTCATACATTTTCGTGATGTCACTTATGAATATGCAAGCGATAAGTCTGTAAAATACTAAGTGTAATCAGGATTTTGAATTCGAGATTCAGTCAAAGGATGAGCACTTTTTTCCAAAGTTCATATCAAGTGACAACTTTGCATATACTTAAGTTAACAAGGGATCGGGAACACTCAGAATTCAGACCGAGAAGTTGGAGGAACACACTAACGAAAGGTAAAGATAAAGAAAGTGTTAGTGGAAGAAACTATGCGGAATAACTTAACGAAACCTTTATTTTTCTTATAACAGTAAGTACCTAATTGTAGTTGAAGTGGTGTTTGTTTATTTTAATTGTGACAATAACTTCGGTACTGAAAACAAATGTTAAAACTCAGAAGTTGTGCGGACAATATGTGTAAATAAACAACTTCCTATCACTCCACAACTAACATTTTTAATTAGGAGTTAATATCTAGACAAAAAAGACAAAGTAATTAACAAAAATAAGCCCTCTCACAGCCACCAAACTTCAAAAGCAGTGGTAAATAGTATCGTTCTCTCGCAACCTGAGTATGAACCTAACTTTGCTCTAAGGATGAACAGGACCATACCTCTCCTCATTTTTTTCACTCTCTATCACTGGAGTAGTATCCTTTCCAATAAAGGACAGCTTTTCATTAATGCTCGAGATTGCTGCATTGAACGCATTAATCTGTCTCTTCTATGATTCCCTGCTTCCCTACTCGTTACAGTCATGTGCTTTCTCACGCAGTCGTACACGTAAAATGTATGGTGTAAATAACCATATGTAACCAGTCCATCAAGCAAACAATTATCAGTTGCTTTCAGGAAATTCAGATTTCTAATTTCAGCAATGCTTGCTGAGGAAACTGATTTGGTTACGCATTTGCTGGCAGATAATCGTAAACTTCGACAGCTTTATCTAGTTGAACAACGAAAAGCACTGTCAGAACGGAAACGACGGATTACAGCTGAAGCAAGACTTGCTGCCCTTCTTACCAAAGAAGTTATGGAAAAGAAGGAACAAAATTTGTATGTAATATATTCATTTTACATTAAGGATATATAAGTAACTATCCATCATTAAGAACATTCATATATGAGTGCAGCTAATTTTGATTCTTGGTGGGTTTTTAATATTCACTGCTCAGATGAATTGGAGAAATTCACTGAAGAATCCAAAACCAAGTAAAATTACGTAAATGGTGTCCCTCAGCAGTTCTTCGGTAGTCTTGGGTTTCAACTCAATGTAGACATGTCCAAATATATTTGTATTAATATTTTGCTCTATTTCAGTTTGCTTTCTAAAGCCGTAATTCTTGTTATCTAAATTGCTCTGCTGATTGTTGAGTCTATTAATATCAGATACGTGATTACTGTCTCATTTAGATCACACTGCTCACGTCTGGACCGTGATTTATCTATTGCCGACAAAACACACAGAGTATGTCTCCTGAATATTCAAAAAAAAAATGGAATAGTGTTCTGTTTCTGTGGACATCCAACTACTTCTGTTTCATTACTTTAAGCCAGATGATTGAAGTTCGGCTTTATTAATTTCTAAAATGCTTCAGCAGTTATTTTTCAGAGTTTACTGGAAAACGGTAGGAATCCTAATTCTACTGATTCTTCTCATCAAGTCATCGATTATGCGGTCAATTCAGTTCGTAATGTGCAAGATGCAGACATTGCTGCAAGTGATGATAAAATCAATTTGTCACATGTTAGTTCTTCACGACTCTTTTGTTTTAAGCTTCCAAGCTTTTACATGTCAACTTTAGAAAGTTTTCTGCCTTTTCAGAGTTTTCCTGTGATTGGTTCAATTTTTTCACATTTCTAGTTCGGATTTTTATTTCTGTTGATGGTGTTTAATTTCAAAACATTATATGTCAATTTTATCTGGGCAAGACAAGCACAGAAGCTCAAATCTGAATGCTGAATGCAACAATCCCAGTCATTCAAACTGTTTTTTAGGCGAAACTTCTTAATTTTCTTGCAGTCCGTGTTGTTTTCTTGCAGTGTGCTGATCCACTGAACAGTAAAGCAAACACCTCACAATTATCTTTTACTACAAAATCACAACATTCCGAGAAGTCAGGATCGATGAGACTCAGTAGATTTTGGTTATTTATTGACAGAAATGGAGAGACGAAATCATCGGTACCTCCACCACTTAATGTAGGTTGTTTTAAAAGGAACATTCAGAATCAGGACAACTCATTTCACTCTTCCCAAATGTTGGCTTTTATCGAGAAAGCTATCCTTTCTATACATCATGAGGTCGAGATCTTGATAGATTTCAGCAAATCATTTATGGATTGAAACGAATTTACTAATATTATTACATATCGTTCTGCAGTTTTAAATGAAAATTCTCTTCATTTTTAGCAAATACAGCAAAAGCGAAAGGAAGCATTCATAAGACGAAGTACCGAACGTCAAATTCTTATCCAAGAAGCGTCAATGTGCCGTAAAGAACTTGCAGCTGCAAAACGTAAAGTTGCAAAACAGTTACTTGCTGGACATACAGTAAATCAAAATGCTGTTCAGGTGCTTAGTTTAATGGATCGAGAAATTTGCGCATTCCCGCCTCAGGCGATGGAGCACGAAACGATCAGGTGAAGATAATGTCATTTTTTAAAGCAAAATGTATAATCTGCTATTATATAGTAACTGCTTAAAATATCTTATAGACGCATTTCTAAAACGAGAGAATTTCAAGAGAAAAAAAAGCGACGCCGCGAAGAGTATGATGCGCATATCAATCGTCTTCTAGCTTATTGCTATAGTCAGGTAATCTTAGTATTTATTTTTTTTTCAGTAATTTCTTCTAGACTGGAATTATTCGTTGTTTTTTGCAATTAAAAAATATTGCTCTTTCTCATCAATACAATAATTGTTTTCAGGTGCCTTATAGGTTTCACCGAAAGTACTAATATTTAAAATTCATCGAGCCAAATATGAATTAAAGTAGTCCTTGTATGGCGGCTTCTCTTCAGCTTCCAACTTTTCTTTCAATAATTTTTTCTTTTAAAAAGAATATTTTTACGTAGCTTCATATCATTGTTTTATACCGAGAGGATAGTGTTCCGGATTTCCCTAATTTGTATATATCATTAAATGGAGCCCAAAAATACTTTATAACTTTTATGTTGTTGGAGACTTTAGCATATTAATATTGAACTAGTTATCAATAATGATCGTATCCCGAAATTTTTATAATTTCTACACTTGATCACATTGATTTTATGTGTTCTGATTTAATTAATTTTGAACGTTATTGTGATGAATAAAAAATAAGCATATTACATTGCATGAGTTGGGTTTCTGAGCAAAATTAACCTTGCAGAATATATTGTTTACAAATGGGAATGACTAATCACAGTAGGATGAGATGAATAATGAACTACATTATATCTGATGCAGTACAGAGAGAAACCTTACTTTGAAATTGTTTGCATCATTACTGTGCTTTTCATTGACAACTGCTTAAACACTGAGTGTTTCACTGCTGTTACGGAAAAATAATTTAGAAAAAGTTCAATCTTTAGTAGGTGTTTGAAACAATTGAAAGCCTACATACTTACTTCACTAATCCATTTTGGTCATTCGTTACCATCATCAGTTCAACTTCTTTACAAAGCTTCCTGTTGGTATTTTCTAAATTTTGCTACCATATGTCTGCAGTTGCAGCATGCAGCAGTAATGCTGCTGTTCAGATGGTGTCTTTAATCCCTCATATCATTACTGTAGTATGATTCAAAAACATAACCAAGCATTTGTCCAATTTTAACTCAAGATTATTATATGGACTCCCTGTGTGTCTCACATACCCACACGAATCCAGCTTCACTATCACTATCTTATCTCTTCCTTCAACCAATTCTTATAGGATTATTTATTATCTTTTACCAAAACTATAGAAATAGCTTCGTTTTATCTATTTCAAGTATAGAGGAGATCGCTCCACTTTTCCGTTTTATATCTGATGGACAGTGTACAGGAACTATGAAAGATTCAATCCGTGGTCATTAATGGTTATTTATGCTTGCTCTGATCTATCTCATCTATCTTGTTCTGTATATACATATGTTATTATGTCAAAATCTAATTTTCCAAGCATAAAACGCGAAAATCAGTCAGAACAATACCTTTCCTGTTACCGTCACTGTGATGGTAGTAATGACAGCTTTTCCGGTCTAGAGATGGATTTTTCGGTTAATGACAACATTGGGTAGTTTCATTTGGGATTAAACATTACTTAGCCTTTTCATCAGGACCATTTTTTCTCGTATATATATATATATATACTATTTCTATGCATTACATATATGTGAATGTACGCATCAGTCTGAAATGAAAATGACTAAATTGTATTAAACATGGGAAATAGGAAAGAGGATGACCATTTCGGCGACATCCTCAGAACTCTCATTAAACATTCTGAAGTTGTGAATGTGACACAGAACAACTTACGCTCCCAAAAAATACTAAGCAAATTTTGCATTTCTTTAAAATGCTGCTGTCTGATGTCTTTTCTGATGTCGATTTTTGCAGTGAATCTGTGGAGGAGAGCGAATAGAAATCGAGCCTCGTTGCTTCAATCCAGTAGCAGCAGGACTAATATGTCGAGTGAATTGAGGATAATAGTCTGTCAGAGGATGCTTCACTTAGGCCTCGAGAAAAAGAGACCAACCGCAACAGGGGACAGCGAGTGATGAAGAAGCTACTAGATGGATGGGACAGAGGCATCAACAGATGACTACTAACTAGGTCTAACTCTTCCATCTTTTGGCCTCTTTTAATACCAGTGCTAGCCCAGTCCAACCCTACATTTCTCGGCTCATCTGCCTTCCACTACAAACTTTACATACATACATACACATACACATACATACACACACACACACACATATAGATATACACTTTCAAACATTTCGACGCTTCCTGGCCTGAACTACATCTCCGAATATATTCTTTTCCTTTCTAGAAGCCTTTGACCACTTTCTCCTCTCCTTAACCGTGCAATCAGTACTATTTTACCTTCAAAATTTCCCTGCCTTCATATAAACTCATTAGGAAAGTGACTTATATAACGCCATGTCATATTTTTATTTGTTCACTTTAATTGAGAGTATAAGAAATTTGATGAGGAATCAACCAGCTAAAATCATATGATTATCATCGTTACGAGAACATTAATTGCAATTGATATTTTTATGAGAGCAATGCGAAAAAGTATTGAGCATACTAATAATATGAAAACTTTATATTTTTTTAAATGAATGTTTTGTGTTTTTTTCTGATGGCTCATCACTTCCTATCATTCCTCACTTTTCTGTTACATTCACAGGACTTTGCACTTTTTCATTTATATCACAGTTATTTTCCTTCAAGGAGTAGAATGGCAGTTATGAAATGAACATCCCTTTCAAATCGCTTCTTATTTACCATATACTGTTAACGAAGGAATTCGTAGGATTCGATTTAAATAATGCTAATACAGTACTTTGTGCTATTCTTATAAGCATGAAACGATATACAGTGTTCATAAGAAGGGTAATACTGTACACGAAATGTCTCAACTCTGAGGATCAGTGCATGTGTAGGTTTAAAAAAGAGAACTTTGCAAGTGTCCGTTTCATACTGTTGTCTTCGCCTTTTTTCTAAACACATCCATATGTCAATGTGTTTCTACTCAAAACATCGTCCGTTTCAAACTATTGGTGTCAGGCGTGCTGCTGCTGTTATTGCATCCACTTATTTTCCGTTTTTGAATGGGAGAAAAAGACAAAGAGAGAAGACACAACTCGAAGCTTATCTTAAAGATGACAACAAGCAATTCTTTCTCATCGACCATCATTGGCCTTTAGTCAATCTGTTGTACATGATGAATCACTTCTCTCCGTTAATGAATGCTTCTCTCGCAATTATCCTCCAAGTATTCTCAATTCACTAACTACCCGTCTTCTTCACATATCATATGCGCAATCCATTCCTCCATATTTCATTGCTATAAGGAAATGATTTCACTGAATTTTGAGAATGCAAAAAATTAAACTAACTGAAGGCACTGACCGAAGTTTTAATTAGTTAAAAGGAAATAGTGATCGCAATTTCTAGATGAAGATATTATTCCTTTCTAAAGTGAGTCAGTCTCATTTTTTATCAATGAAGTGTGCTGTTAATCGAAAAGGAGATTCAATTTGTGCATTTCGCTGTTAGGCAGTTCATAATTATCCACAAAAGGTTTTAACTGCTTTGTTCATTCATTACTGAACAAAGGAATGCATTTTAAATCATTGACAGCACTTGTTAATTTGCAAATCGCAGCAAAAAAAGCTACCCATTAAATTTTCCAACGCTCTAAAATTTATTCTGTATGAAGAGACCAGGATTCATTTAATCATTATTGATGCAATTTGGTCGGAAAACTCTTGCAGTTAACAGAAAACATACTGTTTTACAGTATCATTTGGTAAGTAAGTGCCATTCATAATCATTTAAAATTAAATAATTCGTGATTTATCAAATAAATGGCATTCAATCAGCAAATCCATTCTCAGGCTTTTTTTTGGCCCTATTATTCATTAATTAAGCGGAATAATGATATTAAATAATAAGCTGAGACATCTTTAATTTTATTTTCTCTCACTTGTTCTTCCCTGAAATCAACTAGACCTAGAATCTCAATAAATTAGGAATGTCACTGAGAGTTATTGGCCTATTAAGACCACCTATAGTTCAACAATCTAATGAAATGAAAGAACAAGGAAGGATTAGCGCTTGTTCTGTTGAGCTTCCCTCCAAAGCTTCGTTATATCCTTCATATTATTTTTTAGCAGTATGAATTGGCCACATTGAATGAACCGAACAATTAGTCAAATATGGCAGTTTACATTTTTCGACATTATGTTAGCTTTGTAAGATCTTTTTGTGACAAGAAAATCAGCATTAGATGGGAAAGCGGTAATTTAATAATGATGCAAGTGCGATGTTAACCAGTTGACTACACCCCAACTGTTACCTTCTTCTGCGCTCTGTTCAGATATTTTTATTTGTCTAGTCAATATAATTCTAAAATTATGTCTAGTATAGTTTATATTTCTTTGACTATTGGTTCTATGTCCAAATGTCTTAACATGGTAAGCTAAATTTTAACATGACCTCAATTGGTGCCCGTAGCGCCATTTTATAATGGCGACTTAATGGTTAGGTTGACATTAGTCTGTCGTTCTTAAGCGGAACCTTCAAGATTCTTCAAATTCGATTTTAACAACTGCTGGTAATGCCCTTTAGGATGAATGATTTCATTCAAGTTATAATTTCTTGGCCATTTGGATCATCGAATAGGAAAACTCGTTATATCAGAGAAATTTGAACGGAGATTTTTTCTTAGTGCATAATAAATGGAATCATTTCATATTTTTTTGTTATGCAAAACAAAGTAGGATGCATGGAGTAAAACCCAGGGTTGCTTGAACCAGAATAGACAGATTGTATCAGGTTAGGCCAGTTCAGTGTAGGACAGCAAACCTATGATTTATTTGGCTGGATAAAAGTTTGTGAATACCCTAGGGATCCTTTGTCCACAAAATGCATCCCGTTTATCCCCTTTTTCGCTCATCCACTTTACCAACGCAAATTGCTTCTTTTGCTTACACAGTTCCAATATTGAAGGCTCCTAAGGCTATGCCAATAGTCTGGCTATGGAAGAAAATTTTAGGACTTCAAGAGTCTTTTCAAACTAAACTTGACAAGCTGAATCTAAGATGAGTAAAGTTAGTCTGAAAATAGTCTCAAAAATTTTGTTTCCATGAACAAAGACGTTAATGTCTTTTTAAAGCCATTTGTTTAGGTATTTGAGACCAAATTCTTTCCCTATAATTTTAACTGTCCTATATTCCTTTTTCTTTTTTACTTTTCACCACTGCTCATTAAGTATTCTTAATTCAACTTAGTAAAGAAGTTGGTTTCGAAAATTCTTGCGAAATTATAAAGAGCACTGATCACATAAAAGTATTGGATACTTATTTTTCTTGCGTTAACTCACTACTGAAGATATGATACATGTAAGACTGATTAAACTTAGATATGGATGTGATAAGAAGAAAGTGAAGACGAATATTAATGCTTTTATAAAGTCGAGCTGTAATTTAAGACATTTTTGGCAAAATGTTGGAGCTATTTGACAGCTTCCTAATTTTAGTAAAGCAAATTAGTTTGGAAAAATAAACTAAAGCAAGGGAGGAATAGTGAATCTGTAGACCAAATTTCCTGAATGCCATTATTTTATGATATTTATCTGTTTTGAATATTCAGTTAACACCTGTTATTTCATATATCGGAAATTAGCTTTAATCTATTCGTTGCGCATATTGATCGTAGATAGAACTATTCTTATTAAAAAATATATAGACATCTGCACGGGTAGAGATATCTGAAGACTTGACAGCAAGTTTAATTTTTCTGAATATTTTTATTCTTGAGATTTGTCGAACACGAATAGATCTTCAGATTTTCTTAAACTTTACTGAAGATTGCATTGTTATATTATTCCTTTTAAATACATTGCACTGCGTATTATCACAACATTAAGTCCTTTGGAAAAAAGAGAGAGAGAGAGAAAAGAGAGAGTGTTATCAAATTGTTCGCTTTATCGTTGGCTCGAAAATTAGAAATTCCGGAAACTAGAAAGAGAAAAGTACGTTTTGCGTGATGAAAAAGTGAAAGGAGAACGTTGCACTGTGTGACGACCCATCACACTACTGCAAAAAATTAGAGAGGATGAATAAGTCTGAGGAATAAAATGAATTGAACTGCTAGTTTGCCTGAAGTGCTACTGACAGCCATGCAAGAAAGAATAATCTGCCCTCTGTTCCAGTTCAGGAACAGAATGTGCTTGCACACACATACACATACATACAGAGAGGCATTTTGGACGACAGTGGGGATTTTGTTTCATTTCAGCATTCAAAGTTGTCATTCAGAGAGCTGTTTGATATAAAGAATTTAAGTGTTTGGACGAATGAATATTTAGTCACCACTTAGAATCCACCAGAATATGCAAAATGTGAGGAATGGTTGGGAATTGCTATTACGTGACGTGTGATATGATGACAGTGTTGTAGACGCTGTTTTTATTCGTATAATGTAATCTTCTGATATAAAGTATGACTTAAAGCAATATCGAATCCCATCCTTATCTTGTTCATATTGATTGACTACACTGAATCCTTTTAATGTTGGAAATGTGGAATATTGATTAGAATGTTGAATGTGCTGTGATAAATAAATAAGGCATAGGATAGGCACCTCATAAGTAAGCTCATTCGCCTATATGTATAAAGCCAATGCAAAAGTTTGCTTATTTTATTAAGTGAAAGTATTTTTTTGAGTTGCTCAGCCGCACATTTAGTGACATTTCGAAAGCTGCTGAAATGGGTCCTGGGCATGCATTACACTGAAAATAACCATTTCTCCGCTAGGCCATTCATCATCCTGGAGTGAACTCTTCCCCTCTTCCCTTCCTCCCGAATCTACCTCAGCCTTCTGCTTATGCATCAGAGCTGAGTGGCATCCAGTTGCTGTCCTCCTTTCGATTACTCATTGATTTTTTTGGACCCGTTTTATCTTTTCAACTTTTTTTAAAACACAAAAAAAAACGAATCTTTTTGAGTAGGAAGTACAGTAAACCTTATACATCTGTATGCATGCGACTTGCATATTATGCATGAAGAAGCTAGGAGGAAGGTTATCTATGAAATTCTTCAATGAGATTTACACTCATTCATGTTGTAGGAGTCATTCCCGAACTGTCTACTTTTGAGAAGTAAATTCGATTGGGGGAGCAGTTAGTAAGTCATTAACTTATTTATCCGTACTACTCCCAGTATGTAACTGTTTTCATGCGAGAATTGGGATGAGAAATGGGATAAACTATGTATCTACATGGACTTTCTTCATAGCTATGTTGTTGGTTGCATCTGCTTAGGCTCCATGCTTTTGTTTTCACATTCATCGATTATTTGATTGCTTAAAAATGTTAAAAAACTTTTTCAAAATTTCCCACGGCACAAAACATATCAGACATTGATTGACTTTCTACGCTACAACATAAAAAAGTTCGTATAATCCTTGCACTTACAGTTCGTCAAACTCTGCAACTAATGACAACAATCCCTGAATTCAATGTAAGTTCATATAGCACAGATAGTTGAACATTCTGTTGTTTGCGATCGGTAGAGCTGAACTGTCTTTTTTCAACTCAGATTTATTAAAAAATGGAAAATGTAGTGTTTACAGGGGTTACCATATTTCTTCTACTTCTACTCAAAACTAAATTCATCCTAGTTTAAATGTGTAAGAGATTTTTGAAGGTCTTGTTCATCATGATTGAAATCTGTTAAATTCAGATATTATTTCGGAACAGATATTATAGAAGAATGAAGTCGAGGAGGATGATGTGAGCGGTCCTCACAACAAATTTTTTTGAAATAAATATATGAGTTCCGTACTGTTTTTTTTTTTTTTTTTTTTTTTCATTGCAATATGGAGTGATCAGTTTGAAATATTCACCTATAACAATTACTTTATTTTTTTTTTTTTTATATTTATTGTTAATAATAATCTTATAGTATTTCTTACCATAATAGATGATTACCTTACCAGTAGGATCGCATACATTGCGAGTACATATTCGATTTTATTACGAAAATTTTAATGTTTCTTTATTTCCAGGTGATAATAAACAATAGATCGTTTTGATGGAAACATTATTACTCACATGTACTAGCTGATTGACCGTACAGAGTTCCTTACAACAGTACATAACTGATTATTGGATTTCCACTTCATTTTCTTATTTGATTCATATAAATTCCTTAATACTTCGCTCTAATATCCTACTTACAAAACTTATTCACAAAACACTACTGTTTTAGATTTTTATACTTTAAGTTTTACAAATTTGCATCAAAATTATTGAATTCATAGCACTACGCTGCACGCCGACCATCCCAATAGAAAATCTTCGCAAAGGGAATATCCTGATAACGATTGCTAAAACCGTTCGAAACCAATTGTCGGAGTTGCTTGTCTTTATTCAACAATCCACATCAGCCAGCTTAGCTGCATCAACGTTCGCAAATTTAGCGGCTACGTCACTAATTGTTTAAATGCGATAATATGTATAGGCGCGCGCAAGCGCGCCACGACAATGCATGCCAGCAAAGAAAAGAGGCGACGAGGTACTGCAATCGAAGTTACTTCAACTTCTGCTAATGTTGATGCTGAGAGTATTGTAACAACTGATGTAAAAAGTGTCACAAGTGCTGCTTGTGCAGTACCATCATGCAATACAGACAAGGACACCTGCATCTGCTGGACGAAATTGCTAAGCGATTCTCCTGCTGACAGCACCCGCTTCTGCTCAAACGAACAAAGACGAGTAAATTGGAGCAAAAGGTATCATTGGTACCACGAACAACAACAAACCATCAAAAAGCTGCACAGTGGAAGTGATTCACAAATAAGCAGTGCTATAGTAGAGTTTGATAATTATTCACAATCGGGTAAATATTTACTTTTAAGCAATGAAAGGTTATTATTGACCTCGAGATCTCATGGGAATAACTCATCAGCAAGAGAAGAAGAGGAAAGTTGTTGTTTCAGCAGAGAGAGAATCGTTTACCAGTCATATCGTGACCTCAGGTGTACTTCCACGCAACAATACAACACTGCCTCATCTTCATTATCATCATCCATTCGCTCCCAAAATCCCACCATTCATCATTATCGTTATCAGCAACGAAGCCGCTGCATTTTATATGCAAATTTAAAACTGTTTATTTATTGGCATGCATTTTCGTTGTTAGCTTGTTTTGCAGCAACGGGATTGTGTGTGCGTGCAGCCATCAGTGAATCATTTCTAAATGACATGAAGCATACAGAAAATGATATTCCAGATCTCCTGCAGCAATCATTGAAGTATACAGCATCCATAAGCACCAGTGCCACCACTACTGATAATTTAATATCTACCCGCCTGAATCCATTCCTGAGGCATTCTCGCTCCACTTCTGTACGACTAGGATTGTCACTAGATTCTGTTTGTTACATTTGGTCTTCAATGGCACCTCTTGATTTGTGCAAGCTAGCACCATGGGCACGGTATCAGTTTCTTCGTAAAATTTCCATCTTCAATCGCGATTGTTTAGAGGAAAATAACATCAAAGCGGCGCAGTTATTCCGGCTTACGCCGGGATATGTCAATGATGAAGCGGATCTACGAATGCGAGCAAAATTTCTTCGTGCAAATGTAGAAGGACAGGATTGTATTTTAGCTCCAGCAGGTGCCCAACAGTGCCTTTCTTGCTTTCAAAAGGTTTAGTAATTTTTTTCGTGCTCTAAAACTTCGTATGGAAGTTTTGGAAATTTATAGAAACTTGTCCGAAATTATTTTATTTGCATTATTTTAATTAATGTTTGATGCAAATGTCCTAAAATTTTTACAAAAAATAAATTTCTACCGTGTTTTTGTTCTGATGACTAAAATTCGGAATTCAGTCAAATTGATCAACTAGTGTTTTCAGTGTAGAAATAACTTCTGCTAATCAATATTCACTCCGAAAAGTCATATACTTTTGGTCCTTTCTTTCCCGTTTTGTAGGGAAGTGAGGGTTTTGCATCGTTTTTCGTTTTAATCATCAAAAATTACTTGGAAAGTTTTGGAAAAACAAAGAAGAAAAGAAAGGGAGAAGTTGATACATTATGCCTTTGTCCATTTCGTTTTTTCTTCAGATTGATCGAGGTTTAAAGAAAGTGGATAAAGCGTACGAAAACTTTAACCTTACGTTACACCGATTTGATTGTATGTTGGCTGTAGATACTGCTAGCGCAACAAGGCCTTTTTCACCCAATGGCTCCTGTACTGATTGCAAGGTTAATGTTTTATCATTTTTTTGAGAATAAACTGCCATTTAATGATTTTTTCATTCCACTAAATCATACGAGAGAGAATTCTCATATAAATAATGATTTGCCGGTTTAAATAAAGAGCGGTGGAACCATAATTCACTATTTGACAAACATTTTGCGAACACTGTATCTTGCTAAATTCAAAGACCTCTGTGCTCATCGTATACTCCATGAAAAAAGCTGTAAACAAAAATGAAAATTGATCGGTAACTAGTCGTAGTAATTCTCACAAAATCTGCATTTCCTTCAAAACTTTTATATCAAGTTGTCCACTTAATCTGAATACATATATCTATATTATAATTTCATTGCGCATTCAGAATTCTCGAGGAAGGGACAAAGAGATGCGTTGTCACCTCTAGTCCCTCCGAATGTGAGAAACCACATTCTTGTGCAATCCAAAAACATTTCTGCAATCTTACACGTTTGAGCAAAGATGCTGGGTTTGGTGGGAATTTCCCATATCCTTTTTTACCCACAAAATTCTTTCTAATGATACGAATTCATTTGTTATTCCTTGGAATTTAATACGCGTACTTATAAAAGGAATAACAGTGTGTGTTTCACTTTTTTCACCCTTAATTTTATTTTTTGTATTTCCCATATTTTGTTTTCTATTTATGCTAAGTTGCTAAAAAAGTTTTCGAAATTTTCTTTCATTCATCTTCTCGTTCTGTTCTGTTGCTATATGAATTCAAGCCCTAAGTTTTAACTTTTTTCTAAACACTGAATTCAAGAGAGGACTGGGAACACTGGGGAAGAGAACAGTGCTGTTCCATCAAATTTATTGACTTCAGTATAATGAGGGTGAAATCAGGAGAATGGCAGCTTACGATCTACTGAACAGCATAAACAAACTGAAACATTACAATAATTCTAGAAAATTATTACTAATTAATGAGCAGCTTTGGTGTTCATGTTAAGAAAAAATCATAATAAGCCTTGAAATTATCAGTCCACATTTTCGCCATGTATTTCCTTTGGTATCTTACTTGTTCGACTTCAAAACACAGCAGTTGTCATGAATTTCTCCGAACTTTAGTTGCATTACTTGTGTTCAAAAAATAAGAGTAACTACTAATCAAGCTTAATTATTAAAAGTTTGAGAAAAAGATTCATCTGTTACTTTCATATTTCATTTTTGTTTCAGATTTGGTACAGGAAATGGTTAGTGGTAAATTTATTGAATTTGTGGTCCGTTCCGCCATGTATAAATTGGTGCTACTATGTTCAATTAGCTTGTCCTCATCTTGCTACCAGTAAAGTGGTTGATTACGCGGGTCATCCAAGTTTCCAGTGTAGAGGTTGTACTTTAACAATCAAATTTATTAGTGCTAAACTCTCAGTATATTACATTCCTTCTGAATTCCTAAGCAATAAATGGAAATATGTTTTTTTTTTTCCTCTACTTTAAATAGTACAATAGGTATAGTATAACAAGAATGACGTTCACAGATCTACACATACCATCAGTTGGTGTTCCTCGAGATCCTGATCTAGTGAAGTCGACAACTCTTACAAGTTCATTTTCAAAGAAGAAATCAGTGGTAGCATCCAAGTGCGCATGTCTTCATCCCTGTGATCTAGAAGAATTTTACAATCTAGTCGATGTCACTCGAACTGCTCAGCAAAATCGGCCTAATAGCTATTCGAACACTATCCTTATGACCAGTGATGAGGTTAACCATCCTGTAGATTCAATTTGTTTTCAATCAATCCCTAGACTGTCAATTATAAAAATCTCTAGTTATTAGAAGTTAGAATCTCTGCGGATTGAAAATCAATTGTAAGGTCGATATTTCGTTTGCACGACCAATGCAGTGATAGCATTATTTTTGAGTTAAAAAAAATGCAAGTTTATAGCATTTATAGTAAGCTTTGTCAAAAAATTATTAGTCTTTAATGGAATTACTCGAAAGTTGTGAAATTTTGCTGAAACTTACTATACTGTTATTAATACTGCACATTTGTATGGAAATACTTTTATGCATTACAGAATTTTTCATTTTGCAGGAAGAGGATTTTTTCCCATCTCATCAGCATTGTATGGTCAGGCATTATTTCTGTGGCAGTTTGAAGGACGAAATAGAAGGACACCGTGTAACGCGTCGAAGTTCAACTACCAGTGCTTCAGCGGTAGGAGAAAATTTGCCTAATTTCAAGTTGGATGATGTTTCCTTGTCAAGTTACGTAATTGGTATTGCTAATTTTATGCGATCGCCAGATTCAACTGGAGCTGTACCTCACCGACAAGATAGTGCCATTCAGGAAACCTTCACTGATCCTGTTGGATATGTTTCCGAGTGGTGGACGAAACATCGAGCACGACGTTCACAGTTTAATGCAAAAACTGTAGCTACTGTTGCTACTAATAATTTTACTCCTACTACTGCTCCTGTTACTATCGGTTCCAGCACACCTACTACCATTATTAGTTCTGGTGTCGACTGGAGAGGGACGAAGTGGAGCATTTGTTCAGGAATTTTCATTTATACCTTGCATACCTTGTTTTCTTCTTTGTTATTGCTCAGAAGGCCGCCATTACTATAGGTTTTTTAAATGTTTTTTTTTTTTTTTTTAAACATCATGGATTTTCAATTATTTTAAAGTAGGAAACAAACCAGCAATTTTTTTCTTACTTTAAAGTGTTATTCATGTCACCGTTATGTGAGCAAAATGATAATTTAACATTCAGTTGACTCAGTAATGGATAGAGACTGAATTTTTACTGTAAAAGAGGTATTTCAACACATTATTCTACCGCAGAAGTCTCTATTCAAAAAAAAAAAAAAAAAAAAAAAAAAAGAAAAAAAGACTTATTTTGTTGCCTTTTTGATCATGCAGTAAAGATAGCTTTTACTTAATATGTTAACAAATTTTTTGGACAAGAAACATTTTGAACTTGCGAAAATCGAATTAGTAATACCAGTTATGAAAACTTGGTTTTTCTTCTCTTCCTTTAATAAACTGCCTTGGAATTTGTTCCTGAACTTTTTTGCAAAATTAATTTTCTTTTTTTTTGGGTCATTAGCATCTAATAAATTGTTCCAAGTCCACAAAATGATAATCAAATTACCAGAGTCTAATTAAATTTGGAAGCTTCAAGCTCAAGTCTTATTCTATTCGCTATCAGCCAAATAATGATTTTTAAAAGGTGCCTTTATTATACCTTCAAGCACTAATTTTCCACCTTTCCGTTATTAACTTACACTCCATCGATGTTCATATAATTGAAGATTTAGTTTAAGAGAGAACATACAATCTTTCTTAGTTGTTGTTACTACAAGAATTTGCAGCACTGATTGTAGGAGCGAAGCAATTTTTTACAGCTTTTAAAGATTTTTCTTGTAGCTGCTGCTAAGAGCGGTCTATTATAATAAAATTTAGTCAGTTGGGCATTATACTGCGATACAAACAAGTTGTACAAAGCATTAGATGCAGGAGGCGCAAACTGTGTGAAAAAAAATGGTTCAAAATCTTTACTTATTCCTTAGCTGGATACTGAAATTAGATTTTCAAGTGAAGGAAACATTCTGGGACATTTTGATTGTATTTTGAGGAAATCGACGAATGGTAGTAATAACATGCAAAACTCATCGAAAAATTATCCGTAAGAAAACCTTTTGCAGATTTGTTGCAATACAGTTTTAATTTCAGTATCCAACCACGTATGAATATATTATATAATCTTCAATATTAATATAACATTCAATGAAAACGAACACATTTGCCACCAGAATCTATGAAGGGCATCATATTTTAATTTCAGAAAATTTTTGTTATGAGTTGTTCAAAGCTCATCAGTAATTATGCAGCACTGAATATGTTACCTGTACAAAATGCAAATTTATCTTTTCGAAATTCGAAAAAAAAAATAATGGTTTAGTCACTTATTGCTGTTTTGTTCCTGCATATTTGATGAATGCTTCTAGCTTCTTGTTTTTTCCATTTCATTGATTCAGTAACAATTGATGATTTTAATAAACGTATTAAATATCATTTTCTTTATCGTTTAATCATTTGGCTATTTTCTTTGGAGCTATAAATGAAAGAAAAAAAAAATCAAAAGCAAAAATGGCGATATCAGCACAATTTTCCTCATAATCATTCAGTGTGTTTAAATTCATTTGACTGTATGTTTTCATGAATGGGTCATTTTATAATATTTTTAGTGAAGGAAAGAACCTAGATAAGTGTAAACATCGATAATAAAAGTTTTTTGTTTCGAATAACTTTATGAAGTCTTTTTTGTGTGGTTTGAAAACAGAAGAATAAATAAAGGCGGATTTTGTTTCTATGGGAAGTCTTTACAAATTCCAAATAATGCAAATTAGTGTCATCATTGTAAAATGAGAACGACTTATTATTACTTTTTTTATTGCTTTAACCAGATTTCGTTATGACACCATTATAAAATTATTTCAGTTGTGCCATAAAAAGCTACTAATGCAATTCATATTTATCAGATGAGTTGCAGTAAATTTTTAAAATCAATTAGAATTAGAATCGCTTGGTAGATCCATGGATTTGAAAGAAAATATTTTCAAATTAGCATGATTAAGTTTTTATTGTTCTATTTAAGTAATGTATTCATTAAATTTTTAATCAAAGCAATGTTATAACAACAGTGGAGGTATGTGAATTCAACTGATTAGAAATAAATAAATGGAGTGAAGAATTTGGTAAGAATGTGAAAATAACAAAAGAAGAAAGCTTCATAAAAAAAAAGTAGTAAGAGATAAAATTTGAATGGAACCAATGGACTGGTCTATTAATGTAAGAGGTTTGTCTTTGGCATGATGACACAAATATATACAGATACAGAATTTATCTAACTGGATATGATTCAGTGATATTTAAAATGTAGCAAAATGTCAATTAAGGATATTTATGGGTAGAGGAAAGTAAAACAATGGTGAAGAGATCTTTCTAGATGGATCTTGTCATCCTACTGTTCTGTTTTTTGATTACTATACATAAAAAAATAACTTTTCTGTATTTTCAAAAAATGTTCCACACATAGGATGCATACTGATTTATTTTGTATTATTGAGTATGTCGTCAGCCTAAAAGCTTCAGCAGAATTCAGTAATAATTTTTTTGTTTTATTTCTTTTAATTTTATTAATTTTACTGCTTGTCCTTCCGTGGTGCAGCTATATCAAAGAATTGAAATATTTGGTTAGTCTTGAGGTTCGAATAGTCGAAAAGAGAACTTTGTTGCTCGACATTATAAGAATAATTGTTTACTATCAAATTATATTACAAACAATTTGTAATAGAAAATTTTAGTTGGGATTGGCTGTGGGTCAAAGATTATTTCGGTGTAGCGGGAGACGAGTTGAATTACAAAAATTGACAAAGAGTTTAAGTCCTTACAAAGTGAGGGTTGGCTTGCAATAAGCGCATAATTAGTGAAAGTTAAGTTTAACATTATGTCAGTTATTCATAGAAAATTAGAAAACCTCTACAACACTTCCAAATTGCATATAGATTTAGTCTGAAATAATAACATTTTCAACATTAAATAGTACAAATATTCTCTGTTTTAATTATAATATTCCAGACAAAGGTGAGCTCAGCTAGAGGATTAGCGGTAAATAAATGATTGCTTACACAATGTGCAATTTTGAAGCAGTTTTATATTTGTCTAAAGAATCTTCAGTGAAAACAAATTCAGTGAAAACAATCTTTAGCCCTTTGGATTTAATACAGTTTTGTTCCGATAATTTGTCAAATTTCGGTTTTGCTGACAATATCCAACTTATGTAAATGCTAGGTATAGGAAGAAGTGCTACAGGGACGACAATTATATTTATTAATCTATGTATATCTCAAAAATTGAAGTCACAATCTCTCTTTAAAGGTTACTATTATTGCTTTTGTCACATAATATTCAAAATGTATAAATGATAAATGTACTTAAAAAGCAAAAAAGACTAGAAAAAAAAAAAAAAAATAGACCCTGCTAAACTAGAAAAAAAGTAGATCTAGAAAAATAGACCCTGTCTAGCAGGTCTTATATCACGAAATTTTTAACACTGCGTATAGTGGAAAAAAAGTACTATTTGAAAAAGGTTTCTGATTTCGGGGAGATTGTTTAATATATATGGAGAGCAACACAGGAATATAATATTTCCTTTATTAACAGAAGCAACAGTACAACAAAATTTATAAAGATTGAAGTACAAATCGAGAAGATTACAAACCGAAGAGATCATTTGTGTGGGTTCATCGATCATATTTCTTACCCTAATATTTTTTACTTTCATTTATGTTTTTATTTGTAATCTTTTAGGTTTCGCGATACTAAAATTTCATGATACTACAGACTTTATTACCGATAATCCTACAGTGTTAAATTATCTTGATCTAAGATCAATCTCCTCATCTTAAGATAACACCCTCTAATTTAAAATTTAGTAATGATTGTTAATGATTATTTATATAATTAATTATTATTTATACAGTTATAATAATTTCCTATTTACACCCCATTCGTTGTGGTGGTTTTACAATCTCAAATTTTAAAAAATTTTGAATTTGAAAAAGAGTATCAGAGGGGAAAAAAGAAAGAGAAAGCTTTGATTCATTATTGATGTTATCTACCCAAACCGCTAACATTTGTTTTTCGTTGACAGTCTGAAGTTGTTAAATTTCAATATTACAAATTTCGATCTGTTATTACGTAAAAAATTATTTATGTGTAGACAGCAATCAGTTCGCAAGCGAATTATTACTAAGGAAGGAATACTGTTCGTTTTAAAATGTGCTTGTTATTTAACTGCATCCAATTCAACGTTGCAAAGAATTTGCTTTAATTTTTTCATTTTTTTTCATTTTTTTTTTTTTTGATTTTTAAATTGTTACCAAAAATTTGAAATGAAAGCAGAATTATCAGAAATGCTTGTTATTTATTTTCATGAGAAGTAGTATATGATCAAAAGTTGAATTTGCAAAGCAAATACTTAACGGTCAAATTTAACCGCCCTTCTTTGTAATCTTTTAAGGAAAGACAATTACTTCAATGTCTTAAGAATCAAGAGTTAACGACACTTTAAAACTCCATTCCTCTCCCTGAATTCGAACCCTCTGCCACTTTCATAGTTTCATCTAGATGTCCGATTTTTGCACGCAATGATTGTCCGAACTTTACGCGCCATGATAATGTTTTTCCTTGTGTAAATAGGCGTTGTTGTCTGGGACTGGCTTCATTTCCGTATAACTAACCGTGGTAGGAAGGGTCTACCTACTTTAATAAACCATGAAATCGCAACTCGTGGCCGCAAGAGCCCAGAGACTTGTCCGAGCATCGCGTGATACAATTTCAGGTCTAAGATCAATAACAGTTTTTTCAAATTATTGCACCATGCAAAAGTAATTTATTATTATGTATGCTAGTTGTCTAATATATATTAAGTTTTGTTCTGCTCGAATCTCGGGAACTCATTGAGCAGAATCTCTGCACATATCAAAGCATCCAAACTGAATCATTGAAAATGACCATTTGTGACTCGTATAATCTGCATAGTCAGTACTCTCTCACTAGTAAGCAGCTTTTTGCGAGGATTTTCCAGCAGCTTAAAGCTAATTATTTTCATTAAAGAATTTGTTATGATAGCAGTAATGCCAGCTGAAGTTATCCATTAACTGCCTATTCAAATTATACGATGCTTATGCAACAGAAACGATGCTGACTATTTTGCTTTCCTAGTTTGAACATTTATTTTAGTTTTTTCGACAGTTGACTTTTTCCCACCATTTTCCGACAACAGTTGTATCAATTTAGCCGAAAACTTGATGTCACTTATTTTTAGGCCTTGCAATGCCAATTTTTGGCGAAGCACCATCACCTTACGATGAGACCGTTGAGAAGGTCACTGCTGAAACTTGCACCACCGAGAATTGGACATTGATTCTTGACATATGTGATCGAGTTATTGCTGATCAAAATAAAGGTGTTCATTCACATTCGTTACTTGAAGTTCCCAATTATGCCACAGTTATTAGGCTAGTTATGATAAGCTTTTTAAAAATTGGCAGATACGTAATCCTTTTGTACCAGACTTTCCCGTAGGATATCTCTGCATCTTATAGCGTATTATAGCTTATCCAAATTTGTGGACTGCAAGTAAACAACAGATGGTTTTAGGAGCCAAATTGTGTTTACTGTCCGTGAAGAAAAGATTAAATCATCGTGATCCACATGTTGTTTTGCTAGCGTTGTCTTTGTTGGATTCTTTGTGGAGTAACTGTGGAGTCGCATTCAGGCGTGAAGTTTCGTCGCGCGAATTCTCGCAAGAATTAAATTTCAAAGCTACACATGTTAGTTGGAAACATTTCATAGACATGAGATAAAGTTGATATGTATCACTACCATGTCATCGAGTTCGCTGCAGATTGTTTCATTTCTGCTTGTAAAAAACGTTTCTTAAGAAGTGTCAATATTCGTGAATAATATGGAGACAAACCTTACATCATTGTACAGGTTTTTAATGCTTGCAGAGTAATCGTTCAATTAGTGAAAAAACACGTTCGATCATAAAGAAATGGTCAGAAAATGAATGTAAACAAGATGCGTCATTAGGTTTGATTAAAACTCTTTACAAAAATCTTCTCGCAGAAGGATATTCATTCGAAACGGACACTTCATCCAAATCCTGTGTATGTTATTTAATTATTGATTTTTAGCTGCTGGTTATTACTGTATGAGTGATTCGGATCATCAAAAAGTTTTTTTTTACTTACGAATCAAAGTAAATAGCCGTAGTGACGTTGTTAATAATAAATGTTCTTTTCTAAACTGAGATACCGTGTTGGAATTATTTCAAGTGGTGAGCTTTCAAAAATCTCCATAAAAAAGAAGTGTTTGTCTTGCCTGTATTAACTCCATATATCATTAAAAACCTATTGGAGATATCATTTTCGTTTGAGAGAATGATTTAGGCGGGATTTCGTGTTTTTGGGCACGTAATCAGCGAAAAGCCAATCATATATACTTTGAATTCAGTTTACCTTGCGTTTAGCTGACTCTTTTTAGTTTATTGCGAATAAAATTTGTTATATAAATTATTTGTTGGGCATTCTTTAGCTTGGATTAAAAAGGTAATACGGTTTTTGTTTAAAAAAAGTTGAAAAAAGTGAAATGATTACCAACTTGCTGTAGCCAGGGTGAGCTTTTTGATTTTCAGTTGCCATAAATTCATAAAATTTCAGTCTCGAAAAGAATAAAATCTTTTGAAGAATGTTTTAGATTTTTACTTAAATTAGCAGGGGATTTTAGTCTCGAACTCTTTTAATAACAAAAATTCCAATTAATATTCATAGTATAATTAGTGTTCAAAAAGAAGGTATGGAAAAAATATTCCAGTTTTAAAATTCCAAAAGTTGGGGTTGACCTCACTTAGAACTAATGGTTGCAACAGTAGTTTTATTTTGTAGTGTTTTAAGATCTTTTCTCTCTTATAGCCACTGTTTTTGCTGTTTACGCCGAGAAAAAACTGAGCAAATATGAAAAAAAAAAAAATGTTTTTTTAAGTTTCCTATACGTTTGCATTATTTGGCTGTAATGGTCCAGTTACGACCAAATAATGGCATAATTCAGCTCAGAAAAAAACTCTTTGAAACTACCTATCACAGCGATGAGAACTTTTCAAAGCTAAAATAGCTATTCCTTTGATTTTTTTTTTAAAAAAAACTTTCGAGCATTCTTAAAACACGAAATCTTTAAAAGTATTCACTTCCCTAGTCATTCCTTTTTTAATTATTCTAAACACTATATTTTTTATGTAAAATAAAATGCTGTTTACTTTATGAACTTATATATTTTTGTCTTCAGTGTAACGCCCAACTAAAATTCAGGCTTCCTTTGCAGTCCGTAAACACTGATTCGAATGCTGTGCGAAGCGCAGAGGAAGAAGAAGCGTTAGTTCTAGCTATAGCAAAATCATTGCAAGAGACATCGATACGAAATGATCGTGTATCCTCTGTTTATTCACCAGTAGCAGGCGCAGCTGCACATTCGTCTACATCAAAGTAAATTTCTTGCTTATTGTTTCTGTTTGAAAATGCCTGAATAGATGATGGTTACTGTTCTATGAATATAACTCACATGAGTATTTGGATCAGTAATGATGCATTTGTAGTTTTTGATATCAGATCGAGCTAGTAGCATTTCTTAGCATTCTAGGTTTATTCTATGAATATAACTCACATGAGTATTTGGATCAGTAATGATGCATTTGTAGTTTTTGATATCAAATCGAGCTAGTAGCATTTCTTAGCATTCTAGGTTTATTTTACTGAGTGATTACAAGCTTTCATAACAGTTATGAATATCTAACTTTTTTCATGAATTTCAGATTAGAACGCGATGTACGAGCACTGTACGATTTTGAAGCTGTTGAAGATAACGAACTTACATTTTCAACGGGCGATATTATTACTGTTATAGACGACAGTGATTTGAATTGGTGGAGAGGTAGGTCGCATCGTGGAGAAGGTCTGTTTCCAGCAAGCTTTGTGACATCCGACTTATTGTCTGAAGAAAGTGAACCATTGGCTAAAGAAAAGGCAGTTTCTCTAGCTGTGAGTTTTTTATATCATAGCTAGGTAGTCTTAGCTGTGGCAATGTTGCATTTATATATCGCTATTTTAATTTTTATTTAAGTAATTGTGGTCTGTCTGTTATTGACATTAAGTGAAATGCCTTTGAAATGAAGAATTTCCTATCTCTCTTATGACTTTTGAATAAATTGCTACAGAAGGGACATAGAAATATAAATATGCCTTGATTACGAGTTTTCCGGCTTATTTAGGTTTCTGTAGCCAGAATTGACAAAACGGTGTTGGAAGAATGTCTCCGTATACTCGAAGACTGCGATCCAACAGGAGAAAGACCAGATCCTCCTGAACTTGCTGATCTGGAACAGCGAAGTTTAGCTCAAGTACTTCTCAGTTTGCACATACAAGCATTGTTTCCGTTCTAGATTTTAAACTTTATTGTTTGAATTTTGGCATTCATATGTGAGCTTTGTTTACTGTTTAATCCAGTTTACTGATGAATATTTCAGGCTTCATTAATTGATGCACGATTAGCGGAAATTGACAGGCAACATAATGCTTTGGCACAAGTGGACATTGCAATAAGAGATGTGTTATCAATGTATGATCAAGCTGTGGAGCAAGCTCAATACCAGGTTTTAGTATAATAATTAAATTTAGATCATATACGGATATTTGGTGAGATGTGATATTTGAGTTCCTATTTGGATTAAACTTCATACTGAAATTTAGGATATATCCTATGAACTTTATAACTGACAAATATTGTGCTTTCCTGCACATTTTCGTTTTGAAAATTACTTCAAATAGGCTGTGATTGTTGCAGGTATCGATACAGCAGCCATCAGCACAACCAATATTTAGATATCAGGTACCGGAAATAACACTGTTACCGACAATACCACCAAGTGCAGAATGGGGCACTGCTTCAGCGGAAAATATGCCTATGTAGATGCAAGAAATATGTATAAATCATGTAAACAAATATTTAACTAATTTTTGTAGAGAAACAGGTGAGGTAGATTTTTATATACATAATAGAAAACCTAGCAACTTTTGAACGCAGCAATTCATTGATAAATTAAGAAACAGTCATTAAAAAGGACAAGAAATTAAAATTCTTTGCGCCATTATGTCTCACTGTATCGGAGTACTTTGATACTTTCCTTTAATTGAGTGATGGTTATGTTTACTTTACGAGTAGTAGTTGTGAATCCACGTATCATGTTGAGCAAAGAGCAATATATTCTATGTCAGTATGCAGTACGGTGTATCAAAAAAATTTTGTGGTGAAATTTGTGATGATCTGGATATGCTACTAGGCGAATTTGAAGCTTTATGATTATTCCGCAAAACACCTGAGTAATTAGATTTCACTTTACGGAAAAAAATTCATATTTAGTTTAATGCACAATTTGTTTCACATACAGTATTTAAATTTGAATAAATTTCCACTGAGTATCTTCAGTGCTTGAATTCTTTTGTGTTCCGCAACACTGATTGATGGTCATGAAATGACTTGCTTATCGATCCACTTCAAATAATTTTCGCTGCCGCTTTCTATCTAAAAATATAATGGCATATCAGATTTGATTCCAAATATAGAGATCACTTGATCTGGATCACCTGGGATTAGACAATATCTATTGCCACAGCATTATTAATTTGATTTTCCTTACTTCGGGAAAAAAGGAGCGAAATAGAACTTTCTGATTTATCTTTCATAAGATTTGTAGTAAAAAGACTTAACTTGAGAGAGTTCTTCGGGGAAGTGACACTGCAAAAATGGACGGAACAAGACCGTATTCAAAGGCAAAACTTTCACAGTGATTGATATAACGCTTTAGATCATTTTTAATATACTGATGAAATGGGAACGTAGTGTATTCAGGCTCACCGGTAAAGCAATAAATTCAGGTACTTTGTACGGGTGCATGCTGAGTACTTTCGTTTTTAAGGCATCCAGCGCTGTTGATTTTGTTTTCATGACAAGTAATGATTCTTTATCTTCTTCTACCGTGCCCTCCCATTCATATCTAGAACTCCAGAAATAGAGTGACTGACAAGTTGGGAAAGAATACAGATTTTCAAAGTTCCAATAAATGAATAAGAAAGTAATAGAAGAAAAAAAAATAAAGTGCAGGACTTACGACGAGTGAAAAGTAAGTCTATTTATTAATCAGTCAAAAGCTGCTATAAACATGATATAGATGGGCATAAACGATTTTTAAATATATGGACTCTTCTGCACAAAATGAATCCTCCAAGTACCCATAGGATGAGAACTTACATTGAAGTGATGGTTGGCACGATATTAACACAAGCGGCATATTTACTCTTCACAACTTCTCTGAAACGTTATGGCGAATTAAAAGACACTGCTAAATGAACTAATGGGAAATGTAATTTATAAGCTATTAAACAATGCATACAATGAGGAACGCTTTTGAATGCCCTACGGTAGGGATGTTTTTCATTAATTTTATTCAGTCTCTGAACTGACGAAATTATTTCTCTTATTTCTGTAGAAACAAGAACTTAACCTTTAAAAAAGCAAAAAAAAAAAAAAGGTACCTAGCAATTTGTTGTGCAACGGTTGAATTTGGAACAGTAACATAAACAACGGAGTATAAAGCTTGACCTATTGATCGAGTAGTAGCCATCAGTTGCGTGAAGAGCTGATACGCCATGAAAAACAGGAAAATTGCAATCACCATGCGAGACATTGTTATTCATATTAAAAAATAAGCTCTACAATAACCGACAATGATTAGTGGTGATGGCCTTCTTTACTATTCCTACAACCTGTGCACAAGACTGAGGTTTGAATCCTCAAAATTCAAAAAAATTATGTATATCAGCTTTTGACGCAGTAATAAAACACATACAAATATTAAAGTGTAAAAAGAAAAGGAAGCAGCATAAACTGTGAAATGAACTTGCTTTTCTAAACTTACCCTCTTCAGCGATAATAATTCAGCGAATCGTAACAACTTACAAGATTTTAGAATTATCCCAACTTGAAATCAACGACCGATATCTACAAATTTGGTTATAACATCAAAAATCAGCGATGATAATAAAAAACGTAAACGATTACGATGCAAGCCTTATTGACTAAATTCTGACAACTGATATATGGAGTACCACAATGTTTCTCTACTTTTTCTTTCAAACATCCTAATTTAAAAACGAAAATAAGAACACTTCTAAAAAAATTAAAGTCGTGTGTTTTGATCAATCAGTGTCTTTAAACAGTGTCCATAAACTATGTCAAATTAAATATAATATTAAAAAATAAATATTAAATATTACCTTCCCATTCCTTTTACACAGTTAACAATAGCCAGAATACCTATATACTTTTAATGTACGTATGCCAATATATTTTACACAAATAAATCTAATTATTAACTTATAACAACTAGAATCACCCGTTCGATGATTATGGGCTTCATAACAATTAGAGATAGTGTACGATGAATATTCTTACAGAAACAGAAAACACGAAATATAGTGATAAAGGCAATTTATTTAACAGGTGAGTCATGTATTCGACACTGCGATGCTATATGGAGGCAAAACAAAGGGACATTCGTAGGAAAATTTCTAGCCAAATATTCCAGAGAAAAACGATGCAAGGCAAAAATGCTTCATCATTACAACACAAGAAGATATGCAAAATCTGCATAAAATTAAACGTCGTAAAACATAAGTTTGAGATATGGCAACATCAACAGTTCAGTGACGTGTTTGTTCAACCTGAAAGGACGTGGTGGCTTCTGTAGTCCTGAAAATTCTCGTAACAGGAAGAAGTTTGTGGTTTAGTTTTAAAGAAATACCAAATAAAAATTAAGGACTAGTCTTCTAGTTCTCTATTTAGAAAGTTTTGAATTAGCAAGAATTAAATTTACGAAAAAACGAAGAACCAAATCCGAAACTTTGAGAAAATTTTCCCGACTGAAGACATTTGAAGAGTAACAAACTAAGGTCAAACGATCAGAAACCGTCCAAATGTCCTTTCAAAGAAAACCTATATTTTCATCGGGCCCCTCCTGTACATAACTGACAGTTTGCGTCCAGATGATTTCTGGACTTTGATGACTTCACAGGAAATTCAAAAAAGGATGGATATGGAAACACTGACCTGGTGTGCGATAATGTCCAGCTGTGGTAGCTTAACGCTCGTTATCGTGTTCAACGGCATCCTACTCTGTTTATTAGAACACGGACATGCCACAGCGGAGATTGCACTGTGTGAAGAAAAATTCATAGCTTCTTTGAGAGTTGCCAAATTTGCTGCTGCAAGTTTTTTTTCCTTCTTTTAAGAACTGAAGGAAAAATACAATAACAAAAAGTATGTAAAGATTTCCAATCAACCACAAATGCCTCTTTTAGGCTGATTACCTTAGCGATATGGTTACAAGAAAGCAGTTTAAAATTTAAAGTAACTAAGAAAATAAAGGGATTTATTTTATGATAAAACCAATTCAAAATGAAAACACAACTTAATAACAAATACGCTTATAGCTTCCGATGGTGGGTGTCGTAGCACTATCACAAATATGTGATCTTTCTATAGAACAGGTACTATATTTCAGCTAGTTAACTTGAAGAAAACATGCTTTTCCTTATTTGCGACTATTTTAACTTTTTCAAGCTCAAATAGTGTCCTCTACAATGTTGTAATTTATAAACACATGAGAAATGGTAATAACTCAGAATTCTCACGAAATTTAACATTTGGACTATATAAATAAGGAATTAGTTGCCTTCAAAATCATATGCCGAGATATGAACAATTTTTCCGACCATTCAACTTGATGCCCTACAACTGCCGATAATACTTTAAAGCTGTTGACTAATTGTAAGGAAACTTAATTCAATAGCATAAACTTGAAATAGTTCAAGATATTAGTATACGAAATCTCATCTTGATAGATATTCGTATATCACATAATATAAATGAAAATAACTTTCCATCGAAAAAAAAGGTTGTCGGCGAATATGATAAAGACTCGATGGAACGCCGAGCAATTATTTATACAGTTATTGGACAAGACTATGTCACAAAACAGTTTATTGACACTTGCCCGAAATTTCTGCAGAATGGTTATGAAGAAGAATATTTACTGTTCACTGATAAATTATGAAACCTAAAATTCATTTCAGAAATTTGTTCAATAAATGCATCTTTAACTCATTTTCATCATTCAGTCAGCCAATTAAGCGGTAGTACGGTCCTTACTACAAGATGCAGATTTAATAAGCTAAACAAAAACAGTGGTACAGTTCAAGTACAAGTGAACTACAAGCGAACTAGAAAAAATTTAGTTAGAGCAGTAATGTCGAAAAAAACCTTATCTGCACGTATGACTTCAAGACTTATAAGAAATCTAGAATACTGGAATAGATCAAAAATTTAAAACAGCGGAGGAAGAATCTCACGCCCCATAAAAGAACGCTTTCATAACCTTTTATAGGTCATACGACAAGTGACTGCTAACCAAAAAAATTTTCACGCCAGACATGCCATTCAGTAAACAGCGTATATAATCAATATGCATAACAAGTAAACGCATGCAAAACATCAAAATTTTCTGAACATCTCGAATTTCTGCACCCTTCAGAAAACAAATGTTACAGCACAACCTGCGAGACAAAACATATAATATCTTATTTTAATAATAATAATAGACATATTATAGATCTCACCTTAAAGACAACAAATAATTAACCAGGAATTAAATACCTGGATACCCGCAAAACAACAACTAGCAATTTGTTACGGGGAGAAATAAATGATACAATACAATGGGAAAAAGTGTAACATTTTGAGGAAGAATCAATAACTAGAAAAAAGTCAAAAACGTTTCAAAGACATCTTACTAATGTAGCAAAAGAGGTGAAACACTACCAAATGTTAACAGTGGTATTTGTTTGTTAGACTAAATTTGCGTCATACATTTGCCCGTACATAACGCATGCAAAAATCAACGTACATAACCAAAGCTCGAAGAAATATAAATAGTGATATCATTTTTTTTTTTTTTGTTAAGGCACAGATATACTATTGTTTTCATTTGAAAATTACAAACTATTTTTAAAAAAGATTAAAATTAAAGGCACTTGGACAAAAAAAAAATTGAATTTGAATACTTCTGTTTCCATAATTTGAGTCATAATGAAGAAAGGACATAGTGGAAAGTCCATTTCCTTCTCTAAACCGTTGTGGTATCAGTCCAGATGGTCTGAAAGGTTGAAGTTAAACAATTAGATTCAAAACAGTAAATGCATCACTCTTCAAGAAAGAAAGATATTGTAATACTCACTATAGTATATCTCAGAAATTTCCAAAATATTGTTTGTTAGACAAAGGAAACTTATATATATTTATTAAGCATAATTTTTTGGCTAATAATCCTTCCCGAACGATATATGAATGCATCGATCAAGCTTGCAACCGTGAAGATACCACCAATAATAGCACATATTGAAACGAGAAATGTAGATAGACTCCTGGAAAAAAAATCCCTTCACTAACTAAGAACTTAGATTTCCTTCGTATCTAAAATTGAATGATCAACTTTATATATTTATACATATATATGTATCCAACTATTCGGAATTAATACGAATTCTAACATATAAACCTTGAGAAAAAATATGTAAGCACAAAATATATCTGAAAGAAAATGAACTAACAGAATTCATAAATAACTAAATTTCTATGAACATGATCGCCGTAATTACTCAAACTTCCCTATAAAGTTTTTGATGTTACGGTGTCCACTGTGCTTGGCGATGATACAAAGAAATCGCTTATTTTAAGTTGTTGACTTCAACTTCAAATCACGGATAAGGATGTAACAATAGAAAAATCCATCTTACCGAAGAATTATAATATCAATTAAATTCTCTCCGCCTTTGAATCTGGGAAATTGCAACAGTAATTTTATACTAATGGCACTCAAATCATAAATATTTCAAGCAGATCTTAATTCAAAATAATTGTTACAACATACTGTCGCCTTTCCTCATATTTGACCATCAACGGTGAAAATTCATACTGTATGAAAAAACCAGGTAAACCGGACGCTCCCTGAGATATATCTTTTTGATAAGTAGTGACTGAGAAAAGGTGACTGAAGATATTCCGAGTAGAATCCAAAAAAACATATGAAGTTGGTACCAATTTTAGATGATACTGATACATTATACCTAAAGAATCAAATTTCTAGAATTATTCCACTTTAACGAGAGTATACCTTACTAAAGATAAAGGTTATCAAAACTTAAAGCTGATTTCAGAGTTACCTGAGTCCTTTGCAGATCCAAAAAATTTTCCGTCTAATGGATAAACCTTGCCTGGAAATGAATTTCCAAAAGATAAATGATTGACTGTATGACTCGTGTCGAATTTCGAAGGTGAAAGAGAATGTAAATCATGAACTGAAAAAAAAAAAAGATGAAGAAAATATGTTCTCAAAATGATAAAGTAACTTCACCAAAATGTTCAACGTGTAAATATTTCTTGTAAGAAGTAAAACACGCAATACCAATATGTACTTAGCAGAAAGCTCAGCAGTTCTGTTCTCAAAAAATTACAAAAATATTGCAAAAGTGTCAAACCAATTCTCCAGTAGCCATACTTTCCGGAAACTTTTCGGAAATTTATTGCTATTCTTACCCTACTTGCCATCACTTAAAGCATTAGAAATAAGCAAACATTATCATTAAGAGAACGAAAGACAAAATTTTAATGATTTTACAATGCGATCGATGGGCTTTGAGTGGATCACCGGGTGCAATATGGAAATTACCAGCAACCTGGAACTAACTGCAGATAAACAGCTATGTAAACCGAAAAATTTAAAATTCAATTACTCAGAATTAAGTCTAATTGTAATTACTCGTGCTTTCCTCCGCCAATATCTTTTTTTTTTTTTTAAATTTGATCATTTAAAAGGTCATTTATTTCAAAGAAATTTCAGTACAGCCAACAGGAATTACAAACCTTGGCGACTTGGACCTTGCCATAAACTCGACAACCTTCATTTTTATGTTCGTTCATTTTTTTAACCCACAAATCGCTTTTACATTGCTCAACAGTTTCTATATTGACTAATTCCCATCCTTTTTTTATATACGCTTCTTTCACCTCTTCACATGTATTACAACACCTACGAAGGTAACATTACTAAGGTACTGCAATTAAATTGAACATAAAATAATTATACAAAGTTTCGCTTTCTGTTAGAACATGACCAGTGCACAAAAATTTTAATATTGGATATACAAACACCAAATATATTGATGCTACTGGAGATAATACTGACTAATTTCTCCAGTATTTTTAACTTGTGCACATTTCTATTCTTCAGCAGAACAAGAATTTAATTAACTCAGACTTAAAAAGAATATACAACAGGAATACCCGTCTTTTGCCCCATAACAACTACCACACAGAATTTGAGAAGCAGGAACTGACGATACCGTGGTCGTATTAATATTCACTCCTGAAAAGTTTATCACGCGTTATATTTAATCGACCGAATGTTAAGTATTATAAAAAATACATTAATTCAGTGTATTCCAGTGCGCTTCGCATGATGAACCGCAACTGTAAATAAATCAGAATTGCATAATTTGAGTTCTAGCTTTTAGCTGCTTACGTTTCAATAACAAAGAAGTTTTACAAACTTAAAAAAATTGACTACTACATCAATAATACAACATGAATGATAGAAAAGTGATGGAAGACAAATGTCAAAATAGTGTTTATGTCAAGCCATGTAGAACAGATAGATAAAATTCAAGTTATTCAAGATATAATTCCAAGAAAGTTTCAAGATAAAATTCAAGATAGATAAAAAGTCTAATCCCTTGACAACTAATAAATTCAGTTATATTGAAAAACTCAAGAATCTGCATCATAAAACGCGAATAAAATTTTAATCAGCTTTCATTTTGTCAAGGACAGTTTCAAAATGTAAACGAACAATCCTATCATGAAAAATGAGAAAAATACTAGCCTTGTCTGATTCCATTTCCTTCTTTTCCATTCAACAAACTTATTTTGTATACATCATCCTTGATATCATCCTGATTATCACCACTTAAATCCATTACATCAATTGTTATCACTAAAAAATATATGGAAAAAATATCGCAATACATATATTATGAACAAAGAAAGGAGAGTATTAGATGAGTTAAAGAATTTTATAGAGTTCATTTTACTATTTACACCAAAAACTGGTTGAAAATATTAAAACGAGAACAATTCGAACCAGAACAAGGTAAACGGGGAAATGTGATGTCAAAATTAACATCGACTCGTTGTTCGGCAGGTGTCGAATCTACATAAAGCTGTTCAACTATATCCACTGATAGAAACGACAGCGTTTCTGATACAAACATGAATATAATCACAGCGCTGCTTACTAGAGTAACTACAAAAAGAAAAAATTATAAATTCAGTCGAGGAAAGTCTAAAAACTTAAAATATTTGACAAAAAATATGACAAAATCCAAATTTGCTCATCAAAAATGGCAAATGCTTCTAACAAATTTCCGCTTAACACCTGATGAAAGACAGTTCTCTTCTGTTTTGGAACATTGATGATTTTGAACAATTCTTAAATGTAAAATTAAAGTGTTGACATTTGCTATGTAATACGTTCTATAACCAGTTCAAGTAGAATTTTTTGTATATAATCCTATACTATCCATACTACTAACCAGCTCCACCAGCAAAGGTCCGGACACGGAAATCATCCAACGGTTTCGTGTATGCATCGAAATCTTTGAGGCGTTCCAGTAACGACATATGTTTGAACAGAATAACTGGTTCCGGAAAAAATGTATTAGCTACTAGTGAAAGAATCAACTGGGTAAATACAAAAAAAATTAAATGAACACTCATACGTCGCTGTACTCAACACGAGTAACGCTCCCACTTGTAAGAAAGGACTCCCATTCTCAAAAAGCTTACTGTGTCATACTCCTAGACCGAACCTCGCCTCGTGACATCATCTCCTATCTTCCTTTCCACTTTTCCGTCAGCCAGAACAAAGACTCACACTACACGAGCGTGTTCCGTTAGAGTTGGAGCGTCACGCAATAGTGCGTTTCATCTCACGTTAAACCTGAGTAAACCGAATAATAAGTATAGTCGGAAGAACGATGAGGGGTTGTTTGGGTTAATCAGATTGAAACTGAAACAGAACTTTTAATTTATAAAATTCATCATTATTTTTTACTTTATTCCAGAAGTTATTTACAATTAATCAATTGAACCTCAACCCGATGTTAAGTATTTCATTCATCGATATTTAAATACCAGTTTGTCACTGAAACAGAATAGTTAATTTCTTGCACCTAAGTCTTTTTCAAGAGGCTGAGTTACGGAAAGTGAGGCGTCCATTCTCCTCATAAAAAAGTGATAATTTGTATAAATTTGTTGTTATCTGTTCGGATAACTAAAGTTCGATTCAGTCTGTTGAAATTTGCATACGTCAGTTAAAAATATACTGAAATAAATTTAACTAGATGTCGGTGCAAAATAGTTTATTGTCTTGCGTAGATATCATTCCAATTCGGTGCATTGATTGTAATGTTGCTTGGAAAGTTGCTGTTGGCGTTTTTGCTACTAGTGATCCTGAATATCCTCGATGGTCAGGTATTGTTGTTATTGCTTCGCATGGCATATTCTGGTCCTTTTTTTTGGAATGAATTGATTAGTGAATTAAACTATAATTTCACAATGTTATTTTCTTTACTTCCTGCCAAATGTGAGTGAAATTTTTGCTGAGTAAACTCCGTATATCGTTAGTACTTATTTTTAAGGTGCCTGGAGCAAGAGTATCTACCATGGTAACCAAATACATGACTCCAGTGATAACAGCAAAAGGTAATCTTACATATGAAAGTCATGCATCGAACATCGAACAGCTGCAATTTGTCATTTCAAAAGAATCCACGAAAGGACGCGCTAAGCATCCAAATGTTACTTTTGCTATTCAAATCACTCGGAAATCATGTAAGGCGTACGTCTTTGAATACAATAAAGCTGGATCTTAAACAACAGCCTTGTCTAGTTGAATGTAATTTCAGACAGCTACCAGTTTGTACGGATTTTGGCTATCTTTTCTGTCTTTTACCAGAAATTTCAGTTTAGATACGCATGCATGCACTATGCTCATTAAAGGGTCTGAATTTTCCAGAAAGACGACTCGAACTGGAATAAGGGCTTGAATCTTAAAAACTCGGGCATAATCAGTTTTTGTATCGTTATATTGTTGTCATAATTTCTATTAGTTCCTTTCACTAATTTTTTTTTTTTTTTTTTGATTTTTTTTTCTTTTTTTTGGATTTGTATAATTTTGTCACCTTCTAAACATTTTTTTTACTGTGTTATTTCCTTCGTTTTCATTTTTTCTTTGTGGCCAACAATTTGTCGGAAAAAATAGGAGTTTCAGGATAAAACTATGTTTCGGGAATGAGACCAATTTATTTCGTCATTTGGAATTACTCTCAAAGGTAAAATTTGGTGAGAAAAGTTACAACAGGAAGTTAAGCCAGGGAGTTTTTGCACTGGTGGAACGTTCGGCATATGAAGTAGATGCGTGCTCGGGAATGACGGCAATCGAATGGGAATTCCCGGGAGTGTGGACATGGAGCAATACGAGTCAGAAAAAAGGATATATGTATTACTCAGCTTTATACAAAGGTATATTTATTAGGCATATGCTGTAATCTTCCATATCATCCACACTTTTAGATCTAATACATTACCGCTGCCTATTTCCCTGTTACTTATGTCGATTCTAATTAAGACAGAAACACAAAAAAGAGTTTTCCAAAACTGTGATGTTTTCAAAACAATTTTAGATAATTATACTATTAATAAGTTAATTACAAATTACAGGTGGAATACCAGACAGCTATCGCAGTAAAATGAGTGGTATGTCAAATGTCGAAACAATTATCATACATAATGATGTATTTTTTCCAAAAATTTTCACAGAAAAACTTTTCCTATTTTATTTTTGCACAAGGAGCAGCATTTTATAACTTTTTTAAAGTTGCTTACAAAGAATTGATCGGATTGTTGTTTGGTTTTGAAAAATCATTTATCTTTTGAAACAAGAAATTTTTAAAATATTTTAATGCACTCGATAGCTTACGATTATGCACAGACATCATGAATAATACTTTGGAATAAGATTACCAAAAAATTCGTTTAATACGAAATAGAACAATGCTACAGGTCTGTAGATGGCTTAGTGATATAAGGAAAGACTTGTCCAGATAAGATAATGACTATTTATTGATCAGATCATCTCTAAAAATATGGCTGTTAGAATGTTTAACAGTGTAAAGTTGAGAAAAAAAACAAACATACGCAGTCCTTTTTGGCTTTCTGATTTTGGGAAAATTATTCTATTATCTTTCTTCGGATTGGCCTTCATTTATTGTAGTTAGTTGTTCCGTTATTTTTGTTGCTGTTATTACAGCTTGATTCAAAACCGCAGAAACTTGGTTTGGAAGTACGACATGGGCCAACACTTTTCAACAAGCCTATAGATGAAACAACACCTGCCTACACTACATTTTATGAAACATTCGATCTGTGGTCCAAATCGAAAGCATTATATTTTGTTTTAGCTCAGGATGCCAATAAATGCGGGGCGCGTTTTTCAGTAAGTAAAACTGGATTTGTAGTTTTGAAAGTGAACCATCTGCTTATTTAAGTAAAACATGAATATGAGAAATTCTTCTCTAAGCTTTGCAAGTACACTTCAAAGAAAAAGATCTACTTAGTGACAATTTGCAAAAATTCAGCTCAGAAATACCATTTTTCAAAATGAAGCAACTTGTCCCAATGTCATCTTTGACCATGCATGCAAACTAATGTCCATGTGATTTAGCAGATGTAAAAATTATAAATGCATTCCGATATATTCATTCGATTTCAGGCACCGTTGACTACTCACACATTCATGAAACGTGACGTTATTTTCAATTTCCGTCCTGGAATAGTGTAAGCATTCCCCAAATCTCGGTTTCAAGTTCTGTTTGGCTTAACTTTAATACCTATTTCAAGTTTAAAATAATAGACACCTATTCAATTTGAACAAATGAAGTATTGAAAATAATTTTCACATAAGCGCAATATTTTCCAGATACCGCGTCAGAAAAGGTGTAAATATCTGGTCCATACCTCTTGGTTTCATTGTTGGTACCTGTGTTGGGTATGTATTTATTTTCTTGAAAATATGCTGCAAAACTTACATTGGTTTCATTTTTTTCTTTCAGGTTTCGAGTTCCCTTTAAAATGTTAAAATTTACCTGTTAAAAAAGTGGCCCAGCTTAAGTTACAAGTACAAAAGGCAACCTATACACTTTTCATTCAGCAATTATAACATCTTTAAAGAACTTCCCTACTAAATTACTTGGCTTTTTAAAAACGTTTGAATTGATCAGAATGCAAAAAATTGACTACTTTAATAATGTCATTCATAACATTATTTTCCGACAAACAAAATTCTTGACTAAATTTTGTAGAAGCTAGCAGAGTCAAAAATAATGCTATTGATTGATTATCCCAAAGATTTCAAGGTATTATGCACACACACTTTATTTGCAGAGTTTTTGGAGCTGGTTTTTTGCTGTGCCGAAACTCCAAAAGTTTTTATAAACGGTGGAATGCGCAAATGAAGAAAACATATGGGAAATTCGCAAATGCCGACGTCTCTTTACATTTCTTTCCTCCAAATAATAGTGCTACTTTTAGAGAGAAACCTTTTCCCACGACACTTAGGATTAAGGATTTTTAAGGAACTGGAAAGGAAAAAAAAAGAAAAGAAAAGAAAAGAAAATGATCTATAGAGTGATCCACGGTTCTTTTTAAAAAGTCAACATTGAACGGTTTTTTCAATCCTCATTCCAATGTTTTATTATATGCAATTCGTTATAGGTGACAACAATGGGAGGTGTTTCACAAGCAACTATAGCTGGTGGCATATCTCAAATGACGGGGGTATCACAAATGGGTGATACTACAATAGGTTCTCCCAGTAATATAGGAGGTAAAAACCATTTTATTTTGAATCAATACTCAGCAGAAGAGAACAATAGATTAAAGAGATTGGAGATTTGATCCAAATTAAAGTGATTTCAATTTTCCGCACAAATCAATTGAACTTGAAAGGCATTTTGTTATTCCTGGATCTATCGCATTTATATTATTACTGTTATAACTTCTTTTTCAGATGTATCGCGGGTTAAGTGAAGTCACACGTGTAGTCTATTAAATGAATCGATTTCTTTTTTCCTCTTAATGTATAATGTTACGATTTAAAACAAATGATAAATCCCACATAGAAAAAGAATTTGTGACAAATAAATGTTTTGCCAATAAACGGCAAATAAACTTCTTTCTTCCACTGTATACTAATTTCATTGTCACTTTAAATTAAGTGCTCATATATGAATGCTATGACGTTTCATTGTGTGGAAACGATAAGTTAAGACTGATACTGATTGTAATATCACTAGTACTGTCCCAGCACATGTTTTTAAATGTTTTGTTTAATATCAGAATTATGTTTTTAGTCTTAACTTTTTTTTTTAATCAGTAAGTGTCAGTAAATCAATAAGTGCTAAAGCCAGAGAAACTCATAAACACATAAATGGCCTATCCAGAAAACTAGAAATCCAGAACCAATGTGTAATATATAAAATACAATTTTCTTTATGTGAGACTAAAATTTATCAATGGCTGAGCTCGTTATTTAGTTGTAGTTGGATGTCCAATTAATTGGTAATCTTTTTTCTACGATTTTTTTTTTTTTTTTTTTTTTTTTTGATATCTAACCTTTGTTAACCTTTATCACTTCATTGTCAATGTGACTTATTTCAATTGTTAGTGGAAAATTAAATATTTCTGAAAATTAGAACAAACAATGTCATTTGTTGTTATGACAAACGTACTACTTTTTTGCTAATTTTTATCACTTACTCTTTTTCCTTTTACCCATCCAGAAAATTTCTCTTTCAGTTATTAGATCTAATGTTTATAGTAGAATTTTCCGAAGTTCACTGTTCCTATGTTATTTATTCATTTTGTCATAAAGAGTGGATGTAGATAAAAAAAAAGCAAGTGAATATCGATCAGTATTTATTGTCAAAATTTAAAAAATTTGCTGTTCGGTAAAGGATTTCGTTTTTGATAAAATCTGAATAATGAAATTGAATATAAAATTTAAATCTCATTTTACCATCGAGGAGTGCTAAGTTGAACGAAATTGAAAATTTTTTCGATTAAGTGAGATGATCGATCGCCGAATGTTTCAACTTCTTTATTAGTTTAAAACATCGTACTTATGTTGTAAACTTTCTGTCGATGAGTTGTCGAAGATATGTCAAATCATTTACGATTGCCTTTGTATCTGCATCGTACTTATGTACTTCTCTCAGTGTCTCTCCAGTAGCCAATAGCTGTAGTACGTCAAAAGTTGATATATTAACATATCATTTTTATAATGTTTCAGTAAACTTCAAATCTGCTGGACGGGAAATGTAGAAAAAAAGACAGAGAATAAGTAATACTAAAATTCACATTAAGTTAGCTTAGAAGTAATTAAGTTAGCATATAAATGAAACGATATATAAATAGTACAAACCTTAAGATTAGAAATATTTCTCAGAGCTTTTCGAAGAGCCAAGCAACATTCATTTATGTTTTGCACAAAATCGCTTATCTTGGTCTCTGTTGTAAAATTTTTTCCCTTTAAAACGAATTATCAGTAATATTTTAAAACTGATATTAGCATATATTATAAACTAATTTGAAAAAAAAAACTTTTAGAGGAAAAAAAAAATTAAGATTCCATTTTTTCATTCGGCTCATTGGTAACAAAACTTCCTAGCTGTTGAATTCAAAGAAAAGGAACCTTTAGCAAATCAGGTGTATGATTTTGAGAAATTTTAACTGGTGGCACTCTTTCTTGCGGTAAATCAATCCCACTTTGTTTGGCCGACTTCTTTTGTGCAGATTCTTCACTGTTATTTGCCGTAAATCTGTCATAAATTTTAACTAACTTTCAAAAGCCGTTCAAAATTCTGTTGTAGAAAGATGTGATCTCAAACTTTATTTGAATCAAGATTTTCAAGATTCGTAGAATATTGTTCGCCCGTCAACTCGTTGAACAGTTGTGATATAAACAGATGATACCTCAGCTTGGGCAAGTAAATAAAATTGGGTTTTTTGCAAAGCGGAAAACATGTCGTATATGCCAGTCTACTTATCTCGTATCCATCACGAGTACACTGAGTGATGCATAGTTCTTGCAATAATTCGGTTTTGTTCATAATTGCCAGTTGATATGGGTTTTCACGTCCTTCAACTTTTTGGCTATCACGTGGTGGTAATGCTGGAGGCGAACTTGACGTCCCTAATTGACTGCTTGGCTGCAAACACTCTCGCAGTAGAAAAGAACAGCTTAGGAGAAAAGGGAAATTATGTGTTAAGAAGAATAAGAGTTGTTTTAATTATGAATAAGAAATGGAATAACTAAAACCAAATTCGGAAATTTTGGAAAAGCGCTGGCCTTTCCTTGCCCGGTAACTTCTCCTGATGTGGACATTTTGCCTTGATTTGCACTTGTCATTTCTCCAGATTCCTTATCTTCTTTTTGTTTCTCCTTCATCGCTGCAGCTAAGGTTGATGACTGTGGTAGTGGCAGTGTTGGTGGGCGTAAAGGTGACGGAATATCTTCTTTCGTTCCAATTACATCCTTTTTGCTTTTGTGCAGGCGTTTTGATTTATGCCTTCTGTGACGACGGTGGTGTTTTCTTCGATAAGACTCATTTTTCTGAAGAACTAAGCTTGCATGAAGTTTACTTGTACAGACTAACATCTCTTAAGGCAAAAGTAATCTCTAAAGTTAACCTAATCCTCTACAAAGATAGTTAATACAATGAAAATTCCATCAGGTTTTTGAACAATAAGTAGAAGCCAGGAATTTATTTTAACTTTAAAAAAAATTAAGTATTTCTCTAAGCACTTGCAGAATTAATTGCTTCTATTGAAAAAAAACAATTTTCAAATAACATTCTCACTAGTCTGGGACGACCACAACAGGAAACATCATCTTTACCCTCCGAATCCTCGAGTTTTTGATCTCTATGGCGCTTTCGCATATTGCGCTTATCTTTACCATTCTATAAGAGAAACAAGAAAACGAAATAATCTCTGTATTTATTTGAAGTACCCAAAGTACCTGAATTTCTATATTCTATTACTTCAACAAGAATATTGCTTAATATAGTGTTTTTGGTCTCAATGGCGCTTTCGCATATTCATTAATCTCTCTTATCGGATTCTGATCAATTTTTGATTATCAGTTAGTTTTTTAAGAAACAATACAATTGATAAATCGATAGAATTGCATAATTGCACAAGCTTTTTCTAAGGATTGATATTCATTTAAATTAAGTCTGTTTGTTAATTCGAAATTTTAAATTTAAATTTCATGGAATCCTTATTTATCTGTTGGACTTTTTAATATTTCAAGATAATTTAATTTTTTGCAATTTATGCTCCATTTTTTCCTAATTCCCAATTAACGCCGTTCTTACTTTAAGCTTTATATCTTCGAATGACTGAAAAGAGTGACACTAGGACACTGTTGAATCGCATTAGATGTCATAAAATACGACCAAACATACCCCCCTGCGCTTTCGAGAACGCGATTTTAATCTATCGTCTCCTTCATCCATTCCTCTTTCTTTGTGATGTTTGATCAGTTGGAGTGCGTAAAAACAACCAAAATATCGAATGAAGTATCTTAAATACACTAGCCTTTTATAAGTGATGAATAATTCTGTAGCAAAATTTCAAGAAATCAAGATTTGCATATTCATAATTGAAATAAAGGGTAAAAGGGATAAAGTCATATTGATAAAAGTGAAGGGTAAAATCACTATTAACAACATTATAAGGTTAAACTGAAATTTCATCGGTAAAATTGTATTACTCTTCGTGAAATGCAAATGATTATGTCGCATGATATCATCTTACTTGAACAATCTGAAATAAATTTGTCATGATTTTTTCATTTAAACATTAATGCAATATTTTGGCGGAAAAGTGCAAATACACTAAATCAAATTTCTTTGTGTTTTATACATTCTCCAAGTTATTTTCTGTCTCAAATTTGATAGTGAACAAAACAAGAGTGAAGTAAGATTTTGAACTAGCTACATACATATTTATATTTCTCTTTGTAACAAAACTCATTGAACAAATTGAGTCAATGAGTTAATAAGTACTTTGTAAATATTTTAAGGTTAGAAACTTTTGAAACAGAGGAATAAAATTAGGGAAAGAATGAATGTGAATTGTCCATTGACATCTGAATGCCAGAAAACATTTCTTTTTTCTGAACCAATGCAAAAGTCATGGAGTCATCCAGGAAAAGTGTGCAAGGTAATGAAATAAGAATATGAACTTAATATTAATTACAAATAATGAAATAACAATACAGTCTTAATATTAATAAGAACAGTGAAAATGAAGCTCTTACAAATAATTTCAAATTAATAAAGAAAAATATTAATGGTTATTCCTTTTTAACATCGGATAATTCGAAATTAGACAATATTAAGAAACTTATATTATTTGGCTGAGTTGATAAGTTTTTCTTGACTTGATAAAATTTTAATTTTGACAACTTCGGGACACTCACCTGGATTTGATTGAGTTACTAGTTCCAGGATTAATTGGAGAAAAAGATAATAAAGGTTGGAAATTAATTAGATGCTTCAATCTTTTTTCTTTTATCCAATGATTTTTTTCTAAATAAATTTTTAAAAAATAGCACATTTAAAAGACACGAAATTTATGAAGTCAATATTGTTTTTGTCTGCATTTATTTTCCAAACAGCTAAAATTTTTCTTGACTTTCATTTATTTATTTTATTTATTTCTTGACTTTCATTATTAATACAGAAAGGATAAATTTTTTTGAATGAGTGTAATCCAGTTGGTTGCAAATAACACAAATGAATTTCTAACAGCGAAGTATTTTCCCACTCAAAGTTTTTCTTGTTTGTCGCGAATTTTGATTTCAGTCAAAAAATATTTTGTTTATTCTTTCTAAGGAGAATATTTTGTTTGTCGATACAACAAGGCTTATATATTAATAATGAAGTTCTTATGCTTCTTTAAACTTTGTTTATTTTTAATAATTGATTTTCATTTAAACTCATTTACCCAGATTTTTAAGTTAGAAACTCTGCTGTTATCATGCGAAGTAATCTTTTCACTGAAATGAAAAGTACACCGCAAGGAAAAAAGAATTACATATCAATTAAATTGAGAGGTCAAAACTAGAGATACGAGAATCTTATTTTGGGGTAAAATTGTCAGTTGGAAAGAAAAGAGCTCAAGAAATATTTATTTGAATACTGGGAGATTGGTGCTTGAGCAATATCTTGATTTAAAGTTTTTAAGTATATTTTAAAGGAGGGAAACATAGGTGAAAAGGGAAAGTAACCAATGTCAATGTTAAGCTGATATGTGTTTAAGAATGTTTTTAGCAAAACAGATTAAATTCTAGGCCGATCTTTTCCAAAGGATTAATAATTTGTGATTAGTTAAATGACTTGTAACGAAGATTTTTCATTTCTAACCATCACAAACAATTTGTGAATTACAGGGATTATACTCTTGTAAAGATGGTATGAATGTGTTGAAACTTGTTTTCAATGAAGGAAAATGGCATAAACTAATTTATGTTAATGTATTTCAGAATTAACATATCCCGCACTTGTCTCGAGTTAACTCTTTCCATTATCATTTTTTACATAGTTATCCATTAATCGGCATGAATGTGCAAATATGTATTATTGCTGTCGAAAATTTGCTTTTTTCATAATACGAAAAAATTTTTTTAAATTTTGTCGAAAGAAATATGATTTAATGCGTAAAGATGGTATAAATGTGTTTATCATTTATATTTAGCACTGAACTACATTAACAAAAGTTTGTAAATAAAAAAAAAAAAAAACAATTAGCATCATTCTGTCTTTGTCAGCAAAAGGACTTTTTCCTCCTACACTGACCAAAATTTGATTTTGGGTTTTCTTTCGGGCTTTGTTTTGGAATCCGACAATGACATGCAACTAATCAGAAGACCAAAACAAGACCATAATAATCGTTCATACAAGGCTATCCGACCTTAGAAAATGTGAAATGTCACTTGCATCCGCAAGTGTTTTTAGAAGCATAAGAGTTTTTGAAAGAAATAAATTGAGAAAATTAGTCCGAAGTATTTTTCCACATCTGACCAACTGAAAAAAAAATACTTTAATTAAGAGATGTTTGCCAGCTAGATTCTGTTTTTTACTCCATTTTTAATTGATGTAAGTGTTGCAAAGATAAAGAAACATCAACTTCGAAAAGAATAAAATCAACCAAACTGCTCAGTTGTGTCGGCAAAGACGAAAAAAACATTCCGAAAATTTAATATCAATTGGATATTCCTTCATAAAGCGACAAGGCATGAACAATAGATGGATCTGCTTTTGCGCCCTCTTTAAATTCTTCCAGTGTTAACTGAGCATCGTTATTCTGCAATAATTTATTCGTTTTGAGCAAAGTAACTCTGGTATTCAGGTAGTTCTAATTCTACAAGAATTCAACAAAGGTCACCTTGGACAATGAAATGTGCTTGTCTTAGCTCACTGTACAAATCGTAACAAAAGATTCTGCAGTGACAAGGCTTTAAAAAGAATTTTTTATAATGGCTATCAACCTCAGGAAATTGTTGAATAAAAAGATTACTTATTAATGTTTAATAAAATCGATAAATTCGATTACAAAAAAAAAACTCAATGAAGTTTAATTTACTTTGTCCATCATTTTAAAAATTCGATCCACTCTTTTTTCTGGCGTGTTCTCTTCTTTCGGCAATTTCACCGTTGAACCTACCATTTTATAAATACTTCCAACAATTGATAACATTTCATCTCGTGTTATAAAGCCATCGTTGTCCAAATCGTATAATCTGAAAGCCCCTGTAAACAGACAACTTAGGTTGTTGGACTAAACATCTGAAATTTATATTTTTCCAGTAGTTTATTCAAATATCTTCTAATTGTAATTTCTGGTTTCAATCACCTTTTATCAAGTCTTAAGCTAAAGCACCAAGAAATGCTATTTGGAAATGGTTCATTATCACAGAATTCTTTCATAACCATCAAAATTTAGTTTTACTGGCAGAAAGGTCAGCTTAAATTAAAAATTTATAACTATTGCTTACAGTGTAATTTTTCGTCCAGATTACCCCTAGATGTAATTGACAAGGCTCTGATAAATTCGTGAAATTCGATCGCTCCATCCTGCAAAATTTATATTTCATTCTCTTCCAAATTTTATCAGTGATAATAGTTAGCGTAAAAATTTTTGTATACAAAATATATTTGAAAAGATTCAGTTTATAGTTATTAATACACAGAATGTTGTGTTATGTTTATTTACATGTAAGTTCACTTTCATTTTCAACTTCGAACTAAAATAATTTAAAATCTATAAAATAATGTTGGATATGCATAAACGATATCGACTAGAACACTATCACTTCACGTAAATTAAAACTTACAAATTGAAATGATGTATAGTATATTCGAAAAAAATAACATATTGTTCTTAAGAATGAAACAGCACAAGCAATGTTAAAGTCTATTGGGAGGATTGCTCTGATAAGCACTGCTAATGAATTCGAGACAAATAAGGGAGTGAAAGCAAGAACTCATAAAATTTGTTCATTCACTAGAGCTGTCTACGTCATAGCAAAGTTGTTATTAGCTTTAAATATTTAATATTCTACCTAATTTTCATCTAATGTAATGATTTCTTGTATAAGTTGTTTATTATATTAAAAAGCATTGGTTACCTTGTTTTCATCAAAAACTTTGAAAACGAATGATGCAAAGTCTGACGGATCACCTTGTGGAAAAAATTGTTTGTATATTTTTTGGAAACCCTATAATTTAAGAACAATTTATAAAACTTTCAAGAATGGCGTTTAGTTTTGCTAAATTTGTTATTAAAATGCACAAGCAAGTTTTTAAAAACTTCCCCATCAGTCAATTAATTTAATACTTTCACAAATGAGTATGATGTTGATGCTTTAAGTTTAAAATATTCCCATTTTCGTCACCTCAATGGGACTCGATGGTTATTCTGAAATAAAACCTATTTGCACTGCTACTGATTAAATAAAATTAAAAAATTTTCCTTCCAGGAATATATCTTTGCTAAATTGATTCAATAAGCTTGCCTCAGCAAATTTCTTTTTATTTGAAAGACTTACAGCTTCAGTGAGCATTCCATTGGGACAATCACGGACAAATCCTTTGTGCCTGGAAAATATTATTTTTTGAGTGAGCAGCAAACGACGTTGCGTAATTTGAATTTTATTATTTTGCAATTTGTGTAGGACAAGAAAGTCAGAAACAAGTATTTTAAATGCCATGTTACTTTTGAAAGTTCACACTAAAAACTTTTTTTTCTTAGTTGTTTGCCACAGTCATTCATTTGGTGATGACAATTCGGACACTTATTTTTGACTTTTACATCACAGCTGGAAAGAAATAGCACAATAGTTAAAAGCATAGACTTACCATTGCTTGATTTCCTTCTCGGTAACTGAAAAAGCAAGAAATACTTTTGGTAAAAAATTTTCATTTCTTTGGTTTGGATTATCCTTTTCAATAGAAAATGATTGACAAGAGATCTTTAATTCAAAATAAGCTATATAATTTAAAAAAATAAATAAATAAATGCATAAATATGTCTAAAACGAGAGCGTAGCATGAACTGTCAAAGTGATGCCAAGTAACAAGAAAAGAATAAACTAACAATAAGTTTGTTTAGCAAGCGTTTTCACTTGATCTCTTTTGAGTTTACTATTTGGTTTGCCCATTGTTGACAAGCATTTTATGCAACTTCAGCATTACACTTTAATAAAAGTAATCAAATTGCAAGTTTACTGTACTCCGTGCTAAATCCCTTAGTGTTGAAATTCAACGAAGACTTCTTGAATTAAAATGTAAGTTGAAAAATGTTCTGTTCCACAAGTTATGAATAGATTGTATACGTGAAATGACTTATTGGATCAAAGCTATAGTAGAAAAGTGATCTCTATAGAATTGAAGGAAGAATTGGAACGATTGTTTTCCAGGTTGTCTACTAGTAATTTACTGCAATCGTCTTGGGTAATCAATAGCGTCAGCAGATAACCTAATCACAAGCAGATATCCAGAAGAATTTCGGAAATTTTCAACAATAATTGACCATTGTTAACATAATACTTGTAAATAGATTCTTGATTGACTTCTGTGGCATTATGTGTTTCTACCTTCAAAATCACTGGAACTGGATGTATCTGTAAGACATTTACTTTTTGTGATGCTGTAATGACGTTCATGAAATTAAATTCGACGAGCCAGAAATCTAGTTCTGACATTTATCAGTCATTTCAAAGTTGCGATCCTGTCAGTAGAATAGAGTGAATGCACAATCTGTACAAAATATACTTGAAGAGAAAGAAATGGAAGATCGATAAAATACTTCAATAAATATAAAAAGTTTATATTCACTGACTTAAAAGGTAAGAACAAATAAGGAAATAAATCAGAAATTAGACAGAGCTACAATCATTTCAGATACACAAATGAACAAGGCACGTAAACAAGAAAATTAGTTATAAAAAATAGTCATTCACTCAAAAGTACAGTATCTGCTTCAATTTAGCCTAACATGCTAGAATGAATTGAAATTAATTTTTGAACTTAAATTTGTTAAGATCCATTTTACTATTCATTATTTGTCCTTGAATATCGATCATTTTGATTGAGTTTCGGCTTAGCTTGGCATTAGATTTATTTCAGAAGTGTTCAATATGCCTGCTTTTATTCACAAAATTGTCTTTATCCAAATTCAACATGAGAAAATTTATTGAAAAGACAAAATTAAGAAGTGTTTACTTTTTGCCTTCTTCTCACAAAACCAGTCACGAAATTGTTCGCAAATGAATTTGTTGCATAATGACGACTGAACTAAATGAATCTCTTCAATATGTACTGATGCATAAAAACACTTTGTTTCTTCCTGTTTAAGACAATTGGACGTTTTTCAGGAAACATGGATCATAACACTTATCATTAATGAGAATTTTTAGAGTGATAACAAGTATCCCAATTATTTAATTTCAGGAAAATAGAACGCAAAAAAAAAAACTAAATTTTGAGGAACTCAAGTCAAAATCAGATATCATAAAACAAAGAAAAATTTGCAGCATCTACTCAGAAATTAAATACTTGCACAAAGGCTACATAAAAGAAAAAAGACGGACTTAGTGTCATATCGAACGAATTTCTTAAATTGCTCGCTTAATAATTAAAGCCATTTGAAAGTTAGAGCAGCAAGAAGCTTTTGATATATATGTTTGCGTGCAAAGAAGTCTAGATTTATCTGAAGTTAGCATTGACTATTTCAAAGTTATTCTCAGTCTTTTTCTTACATCATTTCAATCTCACATGTATTCACTTGAAGATAATACACATAAATGATTTGTCCTTATCTATGTTATCACTAATATCAAGTAATGAAATTATTGATAAGGGTATTACAGGAGATACCAAAGACCAAATTCTGAAGTTTTTCCGAAGTTGAATGTAAAGTTAAGGAAAGAAACATTTGAAACATTTCGATGGACATAATTTAAACTAATTCAAATAACAAACTCAAAGTATTTTGTTAATGGCAAAATATAATAGAAATAACCTCGCTTTTGTTCTTTCACAAATAACAGATATTAAAAACTGGCAGTGCAAGTTAGGCATCAAACATTGAATTTAAGCAATTTAAACACATTTCAGATAAATTAAAATATTAAATAATATGATTCGATTGGTTTGCCACAAGTTCAAACAGATTATTATCTTTATTCTGACACTACATTAAGGTTAAAGCTTACCAAGAACTGGATATGCACTGTGACTTTTGTATTAAAGGTCCGTTGTAAACGGAAAATTAAACGGAAAATTACTGTCATACTTAACGTACTCGTCAGGAGCATTGAAAAAGTTCCACTGAAGTTTTAATAAAGAATAGATACAAAATAAGTATTACTAATGGACTTGTGTTCAAACATTCTATGCTTCCATTTAATTGCTTAATAGTGCTGTCCCGTGGCGATGTCTCAAATGAAACGTTTCGTATTAACAAGTAATAATGGATAATCTAGGATTTAAATTTCGATTTCGAGGAACTACATAGTTTATATAAGAACAGAAATTGGTGCAAAGGTTAAGTGCAAATATAAATCTAGAGATATTCCACTGATAATTTTAAACAAGTCATAAAGTGAGGATACTACAATTTATTACCACTGCAATATTCTCTACTGCAAGTTTTTCGCACTGACATAGATATAAAAATATATAGATGCGCAGGATATGCAGTAGAGAATGTTGAAGTGATAATAAATTGTCGCATTGTATACCTATGTCGGCTGAAATATATTTCAGATTGAAAACTTTGCATAAAAGTTTATTGGCGTAGAAACATGAAGAAGTAAAGATTTTTGTGTTGGAATTCAATAACTCCTCTTGACCAGACTCTTACTTCCTTTATATCAAAATACATAAGGAAGTCAACGAAGCAATTTCCAAGTTTTCACCAATTTCTGCTGATGGGTGGAGAGTATCAATCCAAGACTGAATAAAGTGTTCTGTGCTAGTAAGTGATTAAATTTGTTAGAAGAAGGCAGTAACAGCTATCGAAATGTAAATGCAAAATCTTTAGTCTTATTGATTTGAAAAACTGATAGCAGATATTATAGTAATCAGAGACTAGAGGCTAAGGAAGAAGTATTAGCACACATATCTGTCGAGTACATTGCTGACAAAAAAAGCGGAGGGAGAATTCAGAATGTGCATAATAGATGAAATGTGCATAATACATTCCCGTGAGAATATTCCGTGCTCCATACTGCTGTACTTTTGAGCCAATAGAGCATGGAGACTAGACCCAAACTAACAAAGCCTAGTGGAGTACTTCCAATTTATCTCATCTAGATAGTGACGATTACATCTGATCACTGCATAGAAGAGTCTTAGCCATGCGACAATATTTTGCTTTTCCAGTTATAGATTAACTTTTCTAATGATAAAGATTTTTAAATTACAGCACCTCGGTTCGATTCGAAAAACTTCTGAGGTTTAATCCTTACTTTTTTTTTTTTTACAATTCGAAAAAGTCTGGATTCGTCGTATGTCATGGCATAGTGCCAGTCTCAGGGATGCAGATTGAATTTGAAGAAAAAATTTTTAATGTTACTAAAGTTGAAATGAACCATGAAAGCGTTCTCAAAATTGATCAATGCAAATGACATAAATGACAGTGAAGAGAAATGGCATATTTGCAAGTTATGAAACGCTTTTGTTCCTAGATTTGAAATTATTTGTATGAACTGAACTGCATCATAAAGGAATTTAGAGTTTCAATCATTTTGCGCAGATTATCAGATCACACTTTCTTCTTTCGTCATAAAATGGCAAATACCCAATAAATTACTATTAACTATTAGTTTCACTGTTAGGATGATCTGATTGTTCTATACATTACAGCCGAGTCCTCAGTGGGTCGAAATCGGTTTGTGATTACCCAACTGATCATCTATGATCACAACAATTTCTACCTATTATCTTTTTTTTCATTCTTGTTTCTTCTATTTCTTTCTTCATTCAGTTTGATGTTTGCTCTTCAATTCAATAGAAAATTTGGTTCCGAATTAAAGTGGTAATATTGTTAAATTTCAAAAGAAGTATTTGATAAGCTTTACAAATTTCTTTCTGTAACAATATTATTATTAGCTACTACAATGTCTATAATGGAGTTATTTTATTTTATTATTATCAATCATTACTATTATGGAATTACTCAAAAAACATGACAAATTCATTAAATTTTCATAACACACAGCCATAATAATCATTAAAATAGAATTACATAACTGTAAATGAATATACTAAAACAATGAATCAGAGATGACAATGGACAGTAGACGAAAGTTAATACTAATTGGCGAACAAATGATTTTTCATTTTGTTTCAGAATACTTTCTGATAAAAGTATGCCATTATGTCAGTAGACGAAACAAGCTGATTAGTAATACACATATTGTCTTCTTTACTTCGAATGGACAAATGCCTTTCAGGCATTAAATTTAAGAAACTTTCGAAAAAATATTAGAGAAAAAATTTGGCTTCAATTATAGCAAAGAGAGAGATATTGAAGAAAGGATTAATAAGTTGAATCTCATCATTTCAAGGAGAAAAACAAAAATTTCCATAAATTCTTTTTTGAAAAAGAGTTAGAGAAAGAAAGAGCAGTAAGAAGAATAGAAATTACATGAAGGCGATTGTGAATAGGAAATGATAACAAAGGGAAATGAAAATGGTCATTGTATATTCATAAAACAAACTTTGAAGCCTTAAAGCTCTCCGTTGAAAGCCATAAAGCTGAGAACTATGCTGCATTATTTTTTTCATCACCTACAAAGTGCTCAATAAAATTTTAAATATTTCTGCATTTGTAAACCCATTTGTGAAAAGATATTTATCTCAAATAGACAATCGCTAATTCCTCAAAAATTGAAAATAAGAAGTAACAAACCTCATAAATGAATTAAAGCATTATTACAAAAATGTAGTGTTTCAGAGATTTTAACTAAAAAGGGTAAAGAATGAGGTACGAAGTAAAATCGCAACTAAGTTGATAGTAAAGGGAAAATACTAGACGAGATTAAATATCAGTAAGAATTTTCAACTGTTTGAAGAAGTGAAGTGATATTGAAATGAAATTTTGGGAAGGTAAGAGAGGACCGTGGAGGTAGGTGCTATTTAGCGAGTAATGGATAAAGGATGGGAGATGAAGTTTGAAACATTTCTCGTTGCCTGGGAAACAAATGAGAAATAAGAAGCAATCCATCTCAAGCAGCAATTAATTTTCTACTAATGCTTGCTAGTTTTGTATGCAAAGTGGAATAAGAATATTTATTATAAGAGAAATGATAACAAATTGGAGCAAAGTATTTTCTTTTTTTCAATTTACTCCTAATCAATTATGTTTCGAAATTTCAATTCCATTTAGAAGCGGAGTAATTTCTCTCTCATACTTTCTAAGATACTTGCTCTCCTTAAGATATCATCATCAGTAGGACTAATATCCAATGAACACAGGAATCTTCATCAATCTTTCCAATGAGTGTTTTCATCGACTCACCGTTGATACTGTACTCAATATCTGTTTAAAAATGTAGAAATGTCTGCTTCATAGAAATTACTTCTTGCTATTTATCGAATTTACAATGATTTCTATGTTTCTTTAAAATCGATCTGAGGACACTTGTTGAGTGAATAAGAAACTGTCACTCTACGCTCGCATAATCGGAAATCAGAAATGCTATGAGGAATAGAAAAGTAATGTCATGAAATCAGGTCGAATTTCTATCCATCTTTCTTTTCCTTCTCTTTTTGTTGTACTTAGAAAAATGGTTGTCAAAAATATTGTAGTCGCTTCTTGTTATAACCTAGACATAAGACAGCTGCTTCTAATGCACTCAGTTCTTCCTTTAGCTTGTACCAAGTTAAACCGTTAGTTCTAAACTCGATAAATCACAAGGAGGAAAAAAGACATTTTACGAAAATAAAAAAAAATTGTGAACAGTAGAAATACAAAAGATAGATAACATTACTTTCACTTCGGTTTTGTAATCTCCATGAGAGTCTAATAGGAAAGCAAACGGAACAGTAGTTAACTTCCATTACTTTAACTTAAAAGAGAAATATTTCGTCAGAAAATTTTTAATCAGAAAAAATTTCTCACAAAAAATATTATTCCGATTGCAAACGATCGATTTTTTCATTCCTTTCTTTGTCACTTCATTTAATAACTGTGAATGAAGATAGTCAGTCCTAACTAAGGAATTATCTGTTCTTTTGCCGCAATTGGTTTTTTTTTTTTAAAATGAAGCACAATTTCATAGAAATTCACTCCCATGAGGAAAGAAACCATAGAAGCTATTTCATACTTTTTCGCATTTACAAAAAAAAGCGTTTCTTTGAAATAATTTGTCTTTAAATTTTGTGCAGTAAAGACTGCCACAACTTAAACAATTTTGTATAATTATGTAGAAGGACTTTACTATCAATGTAAACAATGAAATTTAACAGCACTACTCGTTTCATGGAAACACCTGCTTAGCGCTAATTTTTCTTGATAGGAAATGATTATAATAGTTCATATTAAAAGGCTGGTATGGAGAGTTTGTAGGATTTTACTGCAGTATGCTATTTTAATATCATGGAAAATGCATTAAAAAATTAGCGATTAGTTAAAAACTTCTCGAACTTTCGAACAGACAATAAAGCAGAATTCATTAATTTGCAAAAGCGTAAAAATTTTTATTAAACAAACGTTCAAAATATAATGCATCAATATAGATCAAAATTAATGTTGTTAAATACAATTCAGCCAGAAATAAGTAGAGTATTATAACTTTACAATGATTTGTAAAAATTTATTCATTCCATAGCTTATGATATCATTTTATTTGCTCATAAAATTGATGGAATTTAGTGAGAAATTATTTCAGCATTTAAAATGGTATAAAAAAAATTAATGAATAGAAAGCTCAAGTCAACAATAAAGGAATCATTGAGCAGATGCGCTTTCAGTAAAATAAACTATTCTAATTCAAAATTTGAGCTGTGGTTCTTGAACTGAAAAACAAGAAAACAGCATTTAAACTAATGGAACCATTATTAATTGTAGCAAGAGTTTTTGTCCGCAATTTGAGAATCGAAAAAAAAAAAGAAAAAAAAAGACGAAAAAGACAGTTGTGACTAATCCATCGAGCTAATTTTATTGCATGCAGTTTGTAGATACAACATCAAAGTTAAAAGTTTAACGCAACCATTAATGTAATGGGGAATAATAGAAATAGCATTGTCTACTCGATTCACAACCCAGATTTTTTTACTGGCTCCCTGAAACTGATCTGCTAAACGAAAATCGATGTATTCACCTCCTAATGCACCCTCCAGGTAATTGTATTCCTACATATCTCTAAGCAATTCTTGAAGCTGCTCCAGAAGATCTACAAACTCAATGCAACATTGGTGCTTTGCTAAATCGAACAAAGGTATTTAATTTTAAAGTCTCTCTTTATCCATGAAAACAATACGTTCCTAACATCAATTAACACAATGCAACATCAATGCTGGCGAAATTTAGAAGTGTTTATAATAAGCGCACAAAATATACTGAGAAGCAGAAAAATATATTTCCAAATATTATAAAGAGTTGAGACAAGGCAGAATCCATTTAAAATTTACTTTCTAGGAATGTTTCTCCAATTCAGCATTTCCGCTGCAGCTTTTCAAAAGAAACTTTATATAAAAAGCTTATTTCTGTAAAAAATTCGCAATGTTTGTACAACAGGTAGCAAAGGGAGTAAAATAACATATGCAAAACTTGCAAAGCGTGAAAAGGAAATGATCTTAATAAAAAGGAAGCTGTTGCGAGAAAATGACAATAAGTCAAAAGGTTTGTTTAAAATGCACGGCAAATCCTTTTAGATACTAAGGCTTTAATATTTTCCCAATAAATACGTGGAGTACTCTTCCAAAATATCAACATAAGCAGCTATTGACTTCTAATCCTTCCAAGCTAAACTCTGCAAACAAAACCTGCGAATATGAAAATCAGTACTGTTTTAAAAAAATACAAGGAGCTGGAACAAAAACTTGATTGGATTTAAAAAAGACAATTCAAAAATCGATAACCAATACAAGTCTCAAGACAGTGAGATCACTTCAATCGCAATATAATAATCGAATTATTGCTCGGTTACTTCACCACCAAGAATTTCAGTAAGCGTTTTGTCACAGTCTCCGTTTGTCATTGGGTTTTCTAAAATTTAATGTACTTTCGAACATAATTATTTGCAAACTCAAACAACAAGTAAGTAGTAAACAGTGTAATTTACTTTCATTTAACAGTTTGAGACTGTTCTCATCCAACAATTCACTGAAAAGACTTCGCAGGAAGCGATCATCGGTTTGCACGTTGCGCAGTAAATCAGCCACATCAATCCTTTGTTCGGGTTTAGGAAATATCTCTTCATATGTCTCTGGAAGAAGCATTTTTCGAAAAATATAACATTATAATTAATAACGGAGAGGACTAATTCTAAAAATAGAAAATATTTATTTCATTTAAACCGTGCCTTTTTCTACTTCAGATCTTTATTAGTTTTTAATTTTAAGGAGAGAACAGAAATTTCTTTTAAGCATTTACCTATATGTTCTTCGAAGTTAAACTTTTCGATAGTATCGTCAGTTTCTTGCACTGGATCGAAATCTCCAGTTTCCGGTGCAAAAACTACATTCCTCTCCTTAAATCACATGAACTCCGCATGAACAAATCGATGTTTTCTTTGCAACAGTATATCAATTTGAAACTATTTTTAAGTGTGATGTACTAATAAAAAATTTAAAACATTTCAAATTTCTATTTTATTAAATCAGTGTTTTTTTGCTTTGCATCAATATCGGTGAGTTCTAAATACGCATGTGAAGCTACGATCACCAAATGATGCTGAACTTATTTCTTACTACATATTCGAATGCTTCTCTTCCATGTCACACAATAGATTCAGTTTTAATAATCTGAAGAACTATAATAAAAGTGTAAAACAAATTTTCAAACTTACGTGTTTATTAGTTTTTTTATCATGTAATACATCAAATGACGATTGAGATTTTTCTGGAATTCTTCGTTTGATAGCAACACTAACCGGTGTCGCAAATACATTTTTCAAATCACCCAAAGCACGCCGCGGTGTTCCGTGCCCTATCACATCTATCACCTTCCCTGCATATATGTTTTTTGCAAACAAACAAATGATAATAAACAATCAGTGATCAAATAATAATGTTAAGAATACTTCACCGAGCTGTAGAGAGCAAAGATGGAATCATAAAACTACAACCCTCAACGATAAAAGCTTGTAATGCCGACCATCTTTTGTATAGCATACTCATTAATGTTAACAAGGTTTCCAATACTTACAGCCAACCGATTTTTGCGGCCAATTATGCACAATGTTAGTTTCTTAATGACTTACATACCATCCGATATTCCGATTTACGTCAAATGCTATCTCATTTCCCAACAAATCGTTATAATTAGGGTTTTATATGCGCAAATAAATCTGCCTCAAACACCGTAGGTGAACTTTTAGTCTTCTGAATACAGAAAAACTTCTGTACTGCTAGCAGGATGAGACAGTAGTACAACACTCTATTTCTTTTTTTTTAAATTTCAGTTTTAATAATCAGTATTACGACAAAAAAGCTGTTTCCATAACTACTCAAAATAACCCCCGAAAAAAACTCCATTAGTTCAAAGAATTAAAATTGACCTTTGATAAAACTAGAGTCATTTCCATTACCACTTCCACGAGAGATCGCTTCAGACATTTATGGACGTTTTTTTAACTGGCAGCAAATAAATATAAAATTAAAGAAAAATATATTTGCTGCAAGAAGCATGAGATACTATTTGCAGCGTACTATAAGGAACTTCAAAAAAAAAAAAAAAAAAGCGAGTCACTTTTGTATACTGGATACTCTGACTGCACACCACTTCCGCAGCGCAGAAACCAACGAAAAAAGAAAGATTAGTGAAAAAGATCCATTTGCATAATCAGTCTAGACAAGCAAAATGAAATACCTTCAGTGAAATTTGCGCCCTAAACTTATTTGAAAACTCAGACTCATTCCATGTTCAATTTAACCCTAGTTCGTTGTTACTCACACATTAAATTCACAGTTAGTAACGAAAACCAACATTAAATTCAAAATTCTGACTATGTTGACCGCAAAATATCCGCACTCTTCAAATGAAGATGACATTTCAGAATAACACAGAGAAGTCTATGCAACTCTTTATTTTTAATATCAGGACAACGAAAAAGTCTGACAAAAATTAATACTGGAAAATATAATCTTTGAATAAATAGAAACATGACAATTATCCGCAACTCTGAAGACAGAATAGGGATGTATAAGCATCACTTCTAGTGGTATATTTGTGGCAATTTCAAAAAAATAAGCTATTCATGCACACCTTCGCTGATACAATACACAGTCAAATAATAAATTAAAAGTTATCTCTTTCTTCTACTTTATCTGATCCTATTTCACTTACCACTCAACACTTTCTTTCCAATAAATCTTTATTATCTTAAATTCAACTTTTTCGGCCGGTCACACAGATACCAAACAATATAATACAAAAAGAAAGCTAAAAAGGATAGTTTACATAGAAAGGAGGTAAATGAAGTTTGTTTCAAGAAAGGAACAGCATGAAACTGAACTGTTTGATCTGCACTTAGCGAAATTACAGCTGTTCGATATTCGGATGCCAATCCTGGATAATGAGAACATTGCCGTGTATTTTCGTCACTGAGCGGACCAAAATCGTAAGTCTTTTGAGGAAGGAATTCAACAGCTGAAAAAAAAAAAATTATTGAAAATGTTCAGAGCAGGAAAAAAGGAATCTGATCATTCAGGAAGATGTTCACGTCTACAAAAACACTACAAAACAATTAAGCAAATATAATGTTCTACCGTAATTAAAATAAGGTAGTTCTTACCAACTTCTCACTTATTGTGAATTTGTAAAAATTTGCTTCATTATACATTTTACAAGTTTTAAAGACTTACTAGCACATAAAATTTTTATGTAGCTAAAAGTGAAAGCGAGAGCATAAGAATCACTTTTAGCAATTTACTGAAATAAAAAAAAACCGAAATTATGATTTTACCTGTAACGAAGATGGTGTGTGTTTTCTGGGCAAAATATAGCAGTTTCAATTCATGTGTATCATATATACCCACGCTTCCATCCATTGTTCCAACGGCAAAGAAGTTACCACAGCCGCTAACAGCTAGAGCTGATATTGTCTATAACAATTTTATTGCAAATTATTTGTACACCAATTTTCTCAAATGATCACTAATCGTTCAAATCGACAGCAATTTAGTTTAAACACCATTACTTCGGAATTTCAACAGTTGGTGGCAGTACATGAGGGAATGGAATTCCAAGAAAATTCAACTTTGGAATTCAATTATTTTCACAGGGAAATAAATATGCCGAGATGAAGAGAGAATTGATAACAAAATGAAAGTTAGATAATAAACAAAGGCAAATAAAAGATTGAATAACCTCTTTACATGCTTCTCGAACAAGTATTGGCCGGCATACATCTCGCTCATTATTGAACGCCCATAGCGCAACATATGACACAGCTTTTTTTGCAAGTCGGATTTGATTGTAAGTTACCAAAAATATTGTGTTCTTAGAGCCAAGAATCGTAAAGCGCACTGACCGAACCTGCATGGCAAAGTTCACTCATTTCAAAAATTTAAAAACAGTTTGGATTGTAGCGGATATTTTCAAAGCTCGCCAATTTAATCTGATGTTCATATTTTTAGAAGTCGTATATAAAAATTTGCCTGGTAGGATATATTTTTCAAAATTTCCATAATATACATATACAGAGCTTATGTCACTGACCAGCATTTCAACTAGAATCCACAATCACTTACCCTAAAATCAGCCCCAATTTCATTTGGCATTGGTAAGCTACAAATTTTTCTTCCATTTACTGCATTCCAAACATATACAGATGTATCATGCCCCACACTGATGCACAATTTTCCACTCGGCGAAATATCCAAATCATCCACATCCCCTTGATGAGCTTCAATTTTTATCAATGGAGTATGTTTCAACGCACAACCCTATAACACAAAAGAACCACCATGTATAATGTTCTTAGATAAATAAACAACTCATCCACAATTTTAATAGATACAAGTGAGAACTTGAAATATCCTACGAAAAAGGCCTTAAGTAACGAAAACACTTACTTGTCTTAACGTTTCTACATCCCAGATACGTATACATCCATCTGCACCACCTGTATACAACCTCTGAGGTTGGCCTTCAACACTTCGATCAAACCGAACAGTTTTCTGCAAAAAATCTTTCCTTTAATCCTTACTTGTCAATATATTTATTTCGCAATGTATTTGATTGGTTCTCTCCCATGAGATGAAAAATATTTTTATTATTGTTCTCTCTGACTGAAAAATTTCACCTGGTAACCGTTATTCGACTTTTCATCTGAAGTAATTCGAGATATTTTCTCAAAACTTAACGCTAGTTGCGGTTGCTCGTTTTCCTTCGCTTTTAATAAAGAAAATCCTTTCGATTCGTACAAATCGCAGTACTGAAGTCAGACAAAATTTTAGACATACTTATTAAAAAGACACATTATTTGAGGGAGGGGAATTCCTTCAAATTACAAAATGATAATAACTGTGCCATTGAGAGCACTCGATAATAAAGAGGAAGCCAAAAATGGATAACAAACCACTGATGGCATGCAACAAGCAAAAAAAAAAACTTTGTGCATACTAACGATCTGTAGTGATTCGATGCTATTTCTACCACTGTTCTTTACAGAGGTAACAGATATTTCTGTAATTGTTTCTTCATAAAGCAAATTTACTAAAAAAAAATATAGGAGTGGCGAATGGTGAATAAAGTACTGACCTGATCATGTCCAGCAGCCAAAAGATATTTACCCAGTTCTGAAGGTCCCAATAATACACAGTCCATATTCATTGTTGCAAAAGGATCGGTTTCCAATGAGTTGGTAACCTCCGTTACTAACGATAACTGTTCATTTGTCTGTGATGAATTCCCTGCTGCAACTGCCAATAACTTTGAATCGAACGAAAGCAGCAAGGTCTGCAAGAAGCATTGCTCTTCCACATCATTCCTTTAATTTCTTAACAGTCACCCACTTCACGGATAATCAGTTCTGACTTTAAAAACACAATTCATGCTACAGAATTAAAATCCTTAGCTGTGTGAAACCACCAAATATAATCTTACGCAAATCCATTGTTAACAAATAAGTCTTGACGAAGTTGAACATCAGTTACGACATCATTCATTTTAAACCTTTTTTGTTAACCTTGTCCAAACTGAAACATACCTGTACGTAACCTAAACCTATAATTAGTACAACTTCAGGACATAAATTCTGGATTTTTCTGAGGACTCTTCTCTCCACTGTATATCCAGTCATCCTCATAAAATGCAGAAGAAGGAGGACAAAAGAAAAGCTATAAGCGTAGGGGTAATTTAAAAGCTGTATGATAGCAGTATTATGAGTGATAACAATAATTAATAATAGATGATACTGATGACAGCCAAAAGCTATTACAGAAGTGCATCAATCTTTCTCGTTTCACGATGTCATCAGTTGTTGTACCTGTGAAACAGATCTGATGCATTTCACGGAAATACTTGACAGAGGTATGAATAAGTACGCAGATGAGTTAAAGGATGAAGAAAGGAACAAACCTGGATGTTGTTGGGTACTCCAGTTTTGGACGCTCCTCCTCCGCCACCAAGGAGAATATGTCTGCTACCAACAACCTGGACACAATAAGTTGGCGAGGAGCAACGGGCGATGACAGGAGCGCCACTTCTCGACGTCGAGTTTCCCATTGAACTAACCCTCACAAGTATCAATTGAAAAAGGCTTTGTGACAAGCCTCTTTGATGTATATAGAAGTCATGCTTTCTTCTTAGGACCTTTACTGACGTTTTATTTTGAATTTGTCCCGACAGTACTACCGCATAATGTTATACTTATCGATTATCATGTCCTCATTTCAGGTTATGTCTGTCAGTCATCATGTCCTCATTTCATGTCTATCAATTACCACTGTCCTCGTTTCAGGTTATATCTATTGGTTATCATGTCCTCATTTAGGTTATTTCAGTGAAGTGCCGTGTTTTAATACCATATTTTAGACACTTGGAAATTTGTGATTATATTACGGATCGTAGCATATTTAACAAGAAATCTCAATAAAAAGTGTTCAGTGAGCTGAAGAAATCTACATTTGGATCAACATATTCACTCTTGGCTTAAATTCAATCTTTAGTTTGTGTTTTAATTTTTAAAAATTGTGAATCCGTTCCATCTTTTTGATTTTTTTCTCATTTTTTGATTAGTTCTTCTTTCGGTCTTAAACAGTATACGATGCAACATAAAAGTTCTTGTTTCCAAAAAAAAATTACTTCAATTTAAGAAATTAGAACATCACTACCATAACATAGTTCACAGCAAACACAATGATAAAGTCTAAAGTCCACAGTTTATCATTTTGCCTTTTTTAATGTCGACGCCATATTCAGTTTAATGTTTGGTGAAGGTTTTTTTCGAAAAACAACATCTCTTAAATTTGCCATGTTTTGAAAATCTTTCCTTATTTGTTTTCTTTTCCCAGTTTTTTAGCTGAAATTGCTCAAATTTTTGTCTCCAGTGATATTTAAGATTTGTATTAATAAGGAAACTAATAATTCAATAAAATTTACTGACTTTCTGTTACAAATGTTTCATATTATATCGTCGGCTATGATTATTTGTGATACAATTGATCCGGTTCTGAACAGACGCCATGCATTATTGTTCTTTAACAACGTCTTTATGTTTGATTTAATCCTCTTATTAAAAATACGAATTAGCGCCTGATGTTATGTATAGAAAATATAGTTTAGTAAAACAGTCTTATAAAGTATTGAATACAAACAATTCTATAGTTTGTTTTTTTTGAAGTACAAAAACTTACCTGAAAACTGATAAACTAATAAAAACTAATGGTGCTTAATCAAATGTTTGGATTTAGTAACTTTCGTGTAGTAAAGGATAAAGGTATATTAGTAGCAAAATCTAAAGTGAAAAACTGGACCTTAAATTTTGTGAAGATGTTGACTGGTTTATCAGCAACTTTTTTTTTTCAGATTTAAAAAATGATTGCAAGCAGTACTTCAACCTGTAGTTTTCTATTAAAATTGTTTCGCCTCCAGTACTCTACTTCCGTTAATTTCGGTTTTGGTTAGTAATAATTTAAAGAGGAGCTCGTTTTTCTTTTTTAAAAGAACTGATCAATAATTATGAATGATTTGAAGAATACTTACGGTTTACTTAATAAGTTTCAATTTTCCAGACTTTACGGATAGCCAGCAGCAACTAACTAAAGCTGCACGTAAATTTGTAGCTGATGAAGTGATGCCAGTAGCAGCTAAATACGATAAAAACGGTGAATTTCCATGGGATGTGCTTAAAAAAGCTCATGCTAATGGGTTCATGAACACAACAATTCCTAGAAGTTGCGGTATTTTTTCAGTTTTCATTCGTTTTATTCTATTAACTAATCTAATAGTATTTTATTCTATTTTCTATTAATAAATAATCTAATCGATAATTATATTGCTTACTTATTTAGCTACTTTAGTTGTAAAGTTGTTTGATTTATTCAACTGATTCAGAATGTTGCCAAAGAAAGTGCCTTTAGATGTTTTAATTAACCGAATTTACGATAATATGTTACCTTTAGCAGTTGTCGTGAAAGACGAAATATTTAAATTATTATATCCAAAACTAACAAATTCCTCTTATCTGATTCCTTTTCCTCACACAACAAAAACCCTTTGTTAGCAAAACCCTTTATTAGCAGTCTTTGTTTCACATCAGTTAAATATCCTCTGCCGGATATCTGGTCAGCTCAGTTCTGTATATAAACCATCGTCCTCCATATTCATTCTGCATTTTGGGGTGGTTTTGATATCATTTTAATGTTTTATAATTATATCTTTCGTTACGCGTTTGTTAATCGATGTAGCATCCGTACGATATGTATAAAGCGCTATTATTTGCTTCATGTTAAATAAAGGTTTAATTACCCAAGTTTGAGGTTTCACGACAGCAGTTGCAACAACATTGAGTTTTAAAATATGAGCTCATTTTCGAAAGTCATTACAGGTGGCCTGGGATTGGATATGGTCACAAATGTTCTAATTCATGAAAGATTTGGATATGGTTGTACGGGAATAACCACAGCTATGTTAGCGAATATCCTTGCTGAAACACCACTGATTTTAGCTGCTAGTAGTGCAATTAAAAAAAAATATCTAGGGCGAATGGTCGAAGAGCCTTTGATGGCTGTAAGCATTTTTTTAGTGCTGATTTTTCCTTTTTTTTTTAAATTTAAATGTTCAGATTTTATTGCAGATTGATGCAAACACTTTGTTTTGCATACACTTTTAGTAGTCTCATCAGAGGACCTCCTGTTTGATTTTCAGACCTCATTTCACTTTGGTCCCATTAACTTTATTCATAAAAGATGACAAAAACACGAAATTAAAGATGGATTGATAATTTATTGCTGTCTGCACATCGCATTAATTTTTGATTTATTTTGCTTAAAGTGTATGCAAACTTATCCAGCATTTTTTTTTTTTCTAATTTGGGACTTTTAACTATAGGACATTACAGTCATATGCAGTCACAGAGTCATGCGCTGGTTCAGATGTTGGGGCTACACAGACTTGTTGTAAGAAGAAAGATGATAAATACGTCATTAACGGGTCCAAGATGTGGATTACCAATGGTGGTGTTGCAAACTGGTTTTTCGTACTTACACGAAACGATAATGATCCAAAAATACCTGTTAGCAAAGCCTTTACGGCATTTGTAGTTGATGCTGATACACCGGGCATCAGTATTGGAAAAAAAGTTAGTTTTGATAAGCCTTTCTTGGTCTGACAGCTTGAATTTAACTGACTTTACTTACAAATCTTGATGGACTGGAGTTATGAATTTTGTAGCTATTTTAGCACATTAATGGATGCAATTAAAGAGATAATAATGAAATTGTGTGAGAATGAAAAGGATTATTTCCTGATTCCAGGAAATAAATATGGGTCAACGTGCGTCAGATACACGAGCAATAACATTTGAAGATGTTCAAGTACCGAAATCACAAATGATTGGTGGTCCTGGCGAGGGCTTCAAGATTGCTATGAAGACTTTTGATACTACCAGGTAGGCAACTGTTATATTAATAACTTCGCTTTGAAAATATTTTTACGAAATCTAGAAGAATTAAATGAAAAGTAAAAAGAAGGGTACTTCAGACCACTGGTGGCAGCGATAGCAACGGGATTAGCGGCTCGTTGCCTGGATGAAGCTTGCAAATATGCATTAGAAAGAAAAACATTTGGTACTCAAATCGCTAACAACCAGGTAAAGTTACTAACACGAAAACAATGATTTAGAGCTTGCTTCTTTTTTGTCTCATTAATACTTTCCTATAGACAAATTTCTTAGAAAATCATAAACCTCTTTTAATTTTACATTACTATGATCACTTCGGCACTACTCTTGAGGCCAATTAATAATGCCATCTTTCTATGTACATCATTTATTACATGTAACTTATTAAGTTCAGTAATATTAGGGAATATCATTTATGTTGGCTGATATGGCTATAAATGTGGAACTTTCACGGCTGATAACTTATCGAGGTGCATGGGAAGTGGCACTAGCACAAAGCTCACCTGCCTCATATTATTCGTCCATTGCTAAATGCTTCGCTGCAGATACTGCCAACATTGCTGCATCTAACGCTGTTCAGATCTTTGGCGGCAAGAATTATTTTTGTTTTAAACTTGATGGCATATTTACAAATTGTTGTCATAACTGCCAATTTAAATGCAAAATTCTTAGCAGCTTTCCCTTCTGTCAAGTCTACATTTATAGCATAATGTTCTTTACATCATTTAATTATTGTAGGGAATGGATTCAATATAGAATATCCGGTGGAAAAGCTAATGCGTGATGCAAAAATATTACAAATTTATGAAGGCACCAACCAGATCCAAAGGATTATTATCGACCGCAAGTTAACTGCGCAAATTCAAAAAACCGGAATCACAAGCATGCTTTAATGATGGAAAGAAATAGAGCTTGATTGACGTGAAAGTTTTTATTATAAGTATAATTTGGGAGCTAAGACTTTAAGTACGATAATTCTTAAAGTGCAGCCATACAAAGCTTTATTGAGAGAAAATTTGTGCATTTGTGCAAATTAATAAATTCTTGAATTAAAACTAATTTTTGAGAAGTTTATCATTTATGATCAATCCTGTGAAGAGTTATCACTTTGAGCTCAAAAGTTCACTTTTCTGTAATTCTTTTCATCAATTCCACAAATGCTAACAGTAGCTTATATTATTAAATGTGTTATATATAACTTTTCACTCATGATGAAAAAATAAGTAAATGCTATAAAATATTTGAATAATGTGATGATCAAATGTTTGGTAAAGTATTTCTAACGATCAAACCTCTCATTCATATAATTGATTTAAGCTGTTAAATACTTTTTAACCTTTCATTATCAGTATCATTTTCGTCATTTTCAAACATGTCATATCGCGAAAGTATATTCTAAACTTATTTCTAAAGTCTTTGAATTTTGATTTGGGAAATTTCCGTTTTGGTTTCATAATTTCATATGAAGAAACAGAATTCTAATCAAATTAGTTTCATTAAAATAAATATCATACTAAATTTTCTCCCCACAGAGACTTTTTAAGAAAAGCATTTGTTTTTAGAGACTTTATGATGTTTTCGAGATATATGCTACAAAAACTACAGTGCTGCAGTATTCAGTTTCAAAATCGATTCGTTTCATTTGGTCTAATCTTCATGATTTATTTACAATGAATTAATTGATTAATTATCTTAAAATCGCCGTTAACCTTCAATGTACCTCTTAATATCTTTGTTACTTCTAATACTTCGAACAGATAATCAATAGGCTTATCTATTGTTTATTTTTTTAGGGCTCTCCGATACACAGCGTAAATATCGCGATATTGCAATGAAATTTGCAAAGGAAAAAATCATGCCTGTGGCAGCTCATTACGACAATACTGGCGAAGTAAACAATTAATTTCAAAAATTTCAGCACTAAATTTGTTCACAGAAACATCGAAATGGAACACTTTTAAACAGTGATCTCAAAAAAAAAAAAAAAAAAAAATACAATAGTCTTTGCCATAGCTCAATGCAGCAGATGGTACATTTCATTTTTTTTTTACATATTAAAACTTTCACTGGAATGAAATTCATTTGTCCATCTTTTAGTTTCCATGGGATATTGTAAAGGAAGCACACCGAATAGGTCTCATGAATCCACAAATCCCTAAAAAGTATGGTAAGGAAATAATTGTTTCTGTCATTGATATAAACAATAAATATAATAATAAAATAAAATATTTTATTTTTTAGGTGGACTAGAATTAACATGTTTGGAAACCACTCTAATAGTTGAAGCATTGGCTTACGGTTGTTCTGCTATTCAGCTTTGTATCATGGGACCATCGTTAGCTGTTGCTCCTTTTATCATAGCCGGAAACGAAGAACAAAAAAAAAAATATTTAGGAATGCTTGCTGCCGAACCTATTATTGCAGTAAGTCTTCAAAGAAGGAGAAAGACAATAAGAAAATAGAAAGAACAATTTACTCAACATAATTATTTAAATTTTTGGAAATTTCAGTTCAGATACTTTTTTGACAACATGCCATAAAAAACGATAGCTGATTCCCTTAGTAAGAGTCAAAATTTATAAACTTCTTAGATTACTCAAATAATATTGAGATTTTTAAGAAAAAGCAAAATTATATTGCTAGTGAAATTGCAGTAATGCAAATTAGCATTCCGTGCTTTATCATCTTTGTTCATCAAGTTTTTTAGGCTTACTGTGTGACAGAACCGACAGCAGGCTCCGATGTTTCAGGTATTAAAATGAAGGCAGAAAAAAAAGGTACACTGTTAATTGTAAAAAACAGTTGTTTAGATTGATGTGGAAAATCAAATACTTACAAGAAATCAAAATGAATTGATTTAAAATGTTAAATTCAGAAACCATTGAATTACTCGGAAAATTCACAGAAAAGAGCAATGGATCGAATTTTTAGGGGACTCGTATGTATTGAATGGTACTAAAGCTTGGATAACTGGTGGTGGACCAGCTAAATGGTTTTTCGTACTGGCAAGGACGGATCCAAATCCAAAAGTACAACCAGGAAAAGCATTCACCGCCTTTATTGTTGATGGAGATACGGAAGGAATTAGTAGGGGAAGAAAGGTAAAATTAGTGTAAAATTACAAAAAAAAGGGGTAAAAGAAAAAAGGTGAAAGCACAATCTGCAGAAGAAGCGAATAGTGGTAACTTAATCAATTTGCTCAAAAAAATAAGCGTCAACCATTCCAGGAGCAAAATATGGGGCAACGATGTTCGGATACACGAACAATAACATTCGAGGATGTTGTAGTCCCGATGGAGGTAAAAATAAATGAAATGAAAGCTGTAGCTTCCAAAAACATTGCTGCTGATTGTTTGTGCTCCAGAATCTAAGATTTTCACTTGACTACGATTGTGGTGATTACATAAGATTTTTTTCAGAATATTCTCGGTACACCTGGTGCAGGTTTTAAAGTAGCAATGGAGGCATTTGATATGACCCGTCCTGCTGTTGCAGCTGCAGCAGTTGGACTTTCTTGGCGTGCTCTCGATGAAGCATGCAAGTATGCATTAGAAAGAAAAGCATTCGGAGTGCCAATTGCTATGGTATTCGTCATGACTCATTGTTCAAAAGTTTCTAAACATTAGTGGTAGTGCAGTTATAGCTGTAATCAAAGGATTAAACTAGTGTTGCAAACATAGGAAGAGTGTTGATGAGCAGAATCTCTCAGAAGTCTAGTTGTATAATGTTATATATTTGCTGTTATAGATCTCACTTTCCTCTCTTATTTAGAATCAAGGAATATCGTTCATTTTGGCAGACATGGCAGCAAATTTGGAACTCGCTCGGCTAATTACATATCGCGCCGCGATGGCTGTCAGCAATAAAGCATGCTTTTCTTATTACGCTTCGGTAGCTAAATGTTTCGCTGCTGATACTGCTAACATCGCTGCAACCAATGCCGTACAGATTTTTGGAGGTTTTTTTTATAAAATCGGCCTATAATTACCCTGTTTGTTTCGAGAAATTAAGTTTATTTTTAATTAAAAAAAAAATTAAGGTGTTTGCAGGGACACAAAAAATGTTTTTTGTAGGTAATGGATTCAGTAAGGAATATCCAGTAGAAAAATTGATGCGCGATGCGAAAATATACCAAATTTACGAAGGTACAAGTCAAATACAACGAATCGTTATCTCGCGCTATATTCTACAGAAAGTTGCAAATACAGGAAGCGCTTCTTGATATTCTCAATAGTATGTATAAGCATCAAAAAAAACAAAGATAGATTTGATTGATATGTTTTGTTTCACGTAAAAGTGAACGACGCTATTTCTGTTCATTAGTTTTTGCTTATTTAAGCATTGTGTCTGCTCTGTGGAGTGCAGAAATACTTCACATAAATATGCTTAGATTTTTTGATAATAAAACAGTGATTTACTAAAGCTGCACAGTGCATGGATTTAAGAGCGAAGTTTTAGTGAAGAAACTTGAAAGAATCAAAGATAACAGAGTTTGAAAAAATGTGGAAGGCGAAGAATTTATTATAACTTAAGAAGGAAAAGTAATCAGATTTCAATTCCAATTTCTGTCCTACCAAACATAGAAACAATAAATTAAGGGGATGCAATAATAAACTAGTATAATTTTCTTCTAGAGTTATTTCGTAGCATTCTTTCGAATCCCCACATCTTTACACACTTAGGGTATGGATTCTTGTAGGAATTAAATATTGATATTGAGAAAAGTAAGTGTAAAAAGAATTTAAAGGCTTTTTGGCTTTTCTTATCAATTCGCTTCATACTGTGAAGTACTTTGAGGAAAGAAGAATGAGCAAAGTCTGGCTAGAACTTCTTCCACTTCTTGGAACATTTTGTAAGTTAAAGAAGTTGACAATGACAATTAATTTCATGCGTTATAGTTATATAATAATATAGAAGAAAATATAATTAAAGCATGCTATCATTCGAATAAGTACAATACGTGCTGGATTCTTCAAGCGTAACGTGCATAACTCGGACGTACCGACGTAAAACATATGTATTGAATTAAAAGTGTCATTTCATATTCTTGTCACTGAAGGATGTTACAATTGCATCTTGCATTGAGAAATGAAAAGAAAGATGCAAAAAGTGGTAAATTTGCTTATCAAAATGAAAAACTGTGAATGTCCGCAAACAGTGCAGATGGCGTGGACAGTTTTAAATGCAAATAGATAGCAGGAAGAGATAGAGAAGGGGACAATGAAGTAAACAAATGGGCAGAGAAACATATTTGTCGTCTATTGGTTGCTGTGTTCAGTAGATGATTCTTCCATTTTCTGGAACGTAAAGCTACACTTTTTATTTTCTCATTTTTAAGTTCAGTAAATATCCATTTACGGATCTTTCCTTTATTGGGCTTCAATTCACAGCATCATATTTTAAATATTAAACCTACTTTAATCAAGCGCAACGTGCAGCAACTTACATCTATAATTTGTCAAATTAAAAGTGATTTTTCATATTTTTGTAAGGGAAATAAAAAACAGTGAAGCGATTTTTGAACAAATATAAAACTATTCTATTCAAAATATGAGGGACAATTCTGTTTCAATTTGACTGATCTTTTCTCTGCTCTTAATTTACATGATAGTAAATTAGTCAATTTTCAACAATTACTACTGAGCTCTTTTACTAACTGCTTCCAATCTGCCAACTGGTTCTCACTAACGGTTGAACTAGTGCACAAAATCTTTTACAATATACTCTATCTAAAGAATACAAAGATACATTGAAAGGAAGCGATTCTCTTATTTTCTGTTCTATTTTGCCATCAATATCCTTTAAAAAAGAAATGATGACGAAGTATCTCAAACAGTTTGTCATCAAACATTTTTTGTTCACCGATTGTAAATGCATTACATGAAAGCTCTGCTTATTTAAAATTTAAAAAATATGAGCAAAACTCACAAAAACCACAAATTTTGAAAAAGCTCAAATATGCATTATAAAAATAAGAAATGTAGTTAAAATTAAACTCCAAAGTTACTGTGACATACCAAGAATGAATCTCGTCTACTTATTCGTCTACTCGTTGCATTCCCCGCAACTTTGAGATATTCTGACCCTGTGAATATGAGACATTCTAACTGTCTGGAGATCTAAGACGAAAAAGCAAGAATCCAAAACAAAAGCCACTGAAACAAACTAATGAATTTAGTTCTGTCAGTCAGATAATACTAACTTAAGTCAATGAACCTTTCTATGTTGTTCTTTTGAGTGATTACATTTGATATTTTAGTTAATTAAATTATCTACATAATGGAATGAAGCAATTAAAGAAGAGCCTTCCTTACCATTTTTTCACAATGCTTATGCATATTTTACAATTAAATAAAAAATGGAAATGAATCAGTGATTTTTGTCCCAACCACTAAATACACTAGAAGAGAAAATGCAGTCTGGGTAATTTGCATTTTTGGGCATCGTTTTCTCCAATTTTCTTTTCCACCTCTCTCAGTTTCAAATATCCCTTTCAATGCATCTTTGCTTCACTCCTCTTATCAACTGTACTACTGTACACCACTCTCTCATCAGCTGCCAAATCCATTTTTTTTTTTTTTGAATCTTTGACGATATGCAAAGTTCTTCGTTTAAATTACTGACAGAAGAGAGCCTTCAATGAATCATCGCCCTTTTTTTATTTATCTAAATTAAGTTGAGACAGGTAAGAAGAGAAGGCTGTTGGATCATACAACTTGTTAAATAAGTAGAAAGGACTGGAATTGCATCATTACTGGCCTAGTGCTGAATGACTCTTTTTGTGATTCGCACAAAAGGGATTGCCTTCCTGATGAGGTGGTATCTGAGAATTGAGAGAGAGAGAGGAAGAGAAATACAGGAAAGGATGGAGGTCCATTGTGTTACTAACGATTTAGTAGACCATTTAGTGGAAATATTCATTAGTTTAAATTCAAAATTAAGATTTGGTCGTGCAGTTCGAGTTTTGATGAATTTGAATCCTTGTAAGACTTACTGCTATTAAATTGCAAGGACTCAGGAACAGTTCTCAACAGTATGTCATTTTCCGTTAAGCATCAAAATATTGCTAGAAAATGATTTTTTGTCACATCGATTCCGCTCCATAATTATCAGTTATTGCTATCACTGTCATTTGTCTATGAATTTATGTTTATGCTCTCTCATGTATGTAAGTGCATGTTTTTTTTTTGCAAGCATTCCTGCATTAGCATGCATATGTGCGTGATGTCTCTGCAAGTATTTCATATTGCAATTAGTTCATTGAAGATTGGAATTTTTAGTGATGTGAAGAGAGTAGAACCAGGCAGAAAAGTGAGAAAATTTTTTGAATAAATAAATTATATGCAATAGCAGGTTCATCGCATTTCCTTTTTTGTCATTTATTTTCCTAACTTAAATGCTCAATTTTTTTATTGAGAAAAAATTTGATTTTACAAAAAAATGGAATTGAAAATAAAATGGAAACGGGTGTTTAACGTCTGTTACATTTAAAAATTTTCCAAGTCCTTAAATGCATGCGATACCTGTCCTTTCATTCCAGTTTATACGTCGCACTTGATCTAACAGTATGAAACAACGTTTACAAATTCGAATGTATGTAAAACACATATTTGATAACAGAAACGCATGCATGCATTGTGCATGCATGTTATGGATAGTTTTCCTATAAAAATCATCTTAAATAGCTTTTTATCTTATTTATGATATGATGTACATTGTTCTCAAAATACATTTAAGTGTATTTTATGAAGTTTTAACAGCGTTTAATGTTGTCATTTGAATTCTTTTCATTTGTTGAGCGATGCGTGCTCAAATTTTCAAAAATAAAACCTGTTCAGTTCAGATTATCAAAGCTTTTAGTTTGGGCTTACAAATATATACTTCTTCTGAATATTATAATTAGTGCTGTATTTTAGAGATATTTTCTTGAAGCAACCACTAAAAGAGAATCTTGGGAATGACGCTGATACTAAAAAATACAATATGCTTCTTCAACTTTAGCCTTGTTTCTGAGTGAAATTGAAATAGATTCACCAATAAGAGCAATGAATGCATTCTTTACCTTTCGGTTGTTTCCCTTTCATATGAAATGATTACTTTATATTTATGGTAATATTTACTTCGTTCTTAATTTGCTTTACAGAAATTTATCCAATTACTTCAGAAACAAACGAAGATATATTAATCGCGGGAAGGAGTGGTTTATGCATTTCATAATGAAAATTTGAATTCCACTGCTTCATTTTTGCTTTACTTACTATATTTACTCATTTCATCAAGCACAACTGAATGCAAATATATCTGTGGATCATTGCTGCATTTCTTGCCACAATTCTGACTTTATCAGTCTTGATCTTATGCTATATTCTAATTTTGAAGCTAACGAAAAATCGATTGCATACTTCTAGACATCCCATTATCGTTCGGCCGGAAACCACCAAACCGATTAATGCATTTGGTGTGTAATTTTTCTGAAAATAAAGTTCTGCACAAGGTTACGATGAGGGTTTGGAGATAGTAGTTTTGCCTGGTGCCATTTCCAGTATCAGTTCTTCTACATTTCAAAACACTGAATAATTTGCATGTTTTGAAACAGTAATACCGGACTTTGAACGCTGAAATTCAAATTTTAACTAAATCAATTGTTTTGAACTGTAACATAATATTCTCATATTAATAAGGTGAGAAACTCACGAAAGTAATATTTAAGTTAAGCTAAGCTTATCAAAATATCGTTTTGCAAGGAAATACAATTTCATGTAATATAATAAAAATATGTGTAAGATAACCTAACCTCCATGTTTACTTAATCCTGAAATTAAAGCTTCTTTTCAAGATTTGTATTTGACCTTCTATTAGAAAATTCTGTTAAGGTTCTTTGACATAATGATCTGCAACCCATCACTTTTATTCATTTTTAAAACCACAAACCCCCCTTGAAACTAATAATAAACAATTCTAACTTCCTTTAATAAAAAGGCTTCCATCACAAAACACTAGCATATTTCAAATTTTGTAATAAGAAATTATCAGGAATGAGTCCTTCAAAACTTTCATGTAATGCATTGTAATTGTGGATTCAATCATTAATTGACGGAAGCGAAAGCCTTTTCGCAACAATGCTGTGCACTTGTCAATAACTTACTTACCAATAAGCTTCTTTCATGATGAAATGAATAGTTATATAATGCAAATATCGTTACAAGAAATTCTTGAAATTATGAAATCACATTCTGAGGCAAACTATGGCATTACAATTTACTCCGACTACAATTCTATATTCCAAAAAACAGTTCTTTCAAATTTGGATTCCTAATTTTTCTGAGCGATAACACAATTCTTGATGAAGATATAAGGTTGCATGAGGCGTAACATTTGTATAATACTATACAGGCAAAAGAAATAATAACTCAATGAATTTGAAAGATATCAAAAAATGTGATTCCTCCCAGGAAAAATTTCAGATGAAAGCATCGAAGTGTATGACGAAATCTTGAAGCCCTCAGTGATCACCGTTTTTGAATATCTGAATAATCATAAGGCTAATATCAAGGATGTCGAATCAGAACGAAGTCGAGCATCAAGCAGGAAACCTAATTGGATATCCGATGAGCTTTACTTTAAGAATATTTTGATCTTAATTGCAGATCTTCCAATGACACTTCTTTATCATTGAAGGAAATGTATTTACAGTAGCTGATATCTAAAGTTGTTTAAACTAGACCAGTTACTATATTGGACTTCGAAGTTTTATAGCAACAGAACCCGCAAAAGAAGTTCGAGTATAAGGTTTTAATGTTAACCCGCTGGATTCATAGTTCAGCCTAAAAAATAAAACTTTAATTAGAAAACTAGACCACTTCGGAAATAAGGGATTTCTTGGGCATCTCAAACATAGACCGTCATACATATACATAATACTATGCTATATATTTTTCGGTTCACAACAACGAATTGGTTATTTTGTGGATCGAGACCCTCCATCAAACGAATCTAAATGTGATTACTTGGATCCACTGGATTTGAATCTCAGCCAACTTCATAATATTTACATCGCTGGAGGCAACCACCACTTGTTAAAGCAAATGGACACATTACGAAACAATGAACCAACGGTGACTACATATGCATAGCTTAACTTTCATTTCAACCTAGAAATTTTCGAAAGTAGCACCACTACTTTCAACTGCCATAATGTGTGCTTCAATTAGTCGCCAATAAGCACTAAATCCGGTAGAAAAGCTGTGTAGCTCAATAGAGTGACTAGTCACAGATTTGTCCGTATAATTTCACAATTTTTATAACTTCCGAATGAAATTGATTTCAATGCTTATCATTCCAATCAAAGTCAGTAATTCAGTTAAAATTTCAGCAAAACAGAAAAATCAAATCAATACATCTACTCATTTAAGTTAAGCTTACCTAAAAACTTCGATCAACTGTTTACTTTTATGTTTTCCTTCAGGAAAGAACACTTTTTACCGAATAATATTTTCACTTTCTTTTGTTTTTTAAACTAAATATTTGTTGTAACGACACTAAAATTTGTACCACATTCGACCATAAAAATTCTGTCTATATCAACATTCTGAACTCATAAAATTCTTCAAGAATAACACTAAAAAGAAAATGAGCCTTGACCATGAAACTATAAAAGCTTAAAAAAAAAAAAAAAAAAAAAAAAAAAAACACATCAATGAAATTAAAATTCATTCAAGCACAAATATTTTTACAACTTCCACAATTAGGCCAAATGTTAGCAACTTCCACTTTTTGCATGTTTTAGAAAGTTAAATTTAATCTGACAGTTTGCCGAGAGAAACCTCAAATCGATAATTTATGCCATCTGTGATGTGATTTTTAGATACTTTGAATATTCTGGACTTTGCGTGAAGATACGAATTTTTCGCTCTATTTGTTTCGATGTATCCTGATAAATATTCCTTGCATCACGACTCATTTTCTGAATTAATACAAACTTTAAGGTTTTTAAATTGTCAAAACGATGAAATTCTGGTTGAATAAGTTGTAACAAATTCAAATGCATATTAGCACAAAAAATTTCGAAGGTGCGGAAAGCTCCACGATTAACTTTTTATAAGTTATGGGAAGGACCATTTTTATCTAACAGAACGAAGGCTTCAAATGAAAGGTCCTTGCCTCATAATCACCACCATGTTTCTCGATCATGTAAATACAAAATTCAATATCTCGAGCAAGCAAACGATAGCTGCGTCCTTTTTTTTGCTTTATTTTTTCTTCCTCAGCTTCTTTTTCCAAAGCAGTAATCACTTTCGCAATCTTCGACTTATTGACAGTTGATTTCTATAAATTTCCGAAAGCTGAGTTATTCAAAAAATTTAAATAGATCTCGAAGAGCTTAGAATTCAGGGATCTAAAAATCAACCGCAAAGACAACATGAACCATCTAAGTTTCATCCACGATCTCTTAATATATACGCCACAAATATCTCAGGAAACTGGACACACCACCTAAATACTATCAACCTTTTTTTCCAACGCTTAGATTCTTTCAAACATCTAGTAAAATGACTGAAATAATACACATAATGAAACTCGACCCAAAACTTACGGTCTTCAGCATCTGGGATTTAATCGAACCGTATGGTTTTAGTTCGTCAATCTCCATTTCTTCACAGTGCTTGCTCTATAAAAAGTTTCGAGATTAACTCGCATATTACTAAAAAGGGAGAAGAGATTAAGATATATCAAATGTTCTATGTGAAGTGAAAAAACAACTTAAAACCTCAAAATTAATCCATTAGAAGAACAAATAAAAATTACAATGCTTTGCTCCAAAGGAAACAATTTATTTGAGTCATAAGCAAGTCCCATTGCTTTCATATTCTGCTTGATTGTAGAATTCTTGTCCCAAGCTATCCGCATCTGTTTACTGTAATGCACAAAAAAAAAATCAGGATTTAATGATCATATGAAGGGGAGATAAGTAATCTCACAAAGCAGCAGGAAAGTTCGACGGTATTACAATGTGAAGTGAGAAAAGTTTTGTGTTCAAAGCTAGGTCTGAATTCACCGCAAAATATGAGAGTCGTCCTCAAGGTAAAGATGACTGCTTGTTTTATAAAACCACCCTCACAGTTTTACAGCACACAGGGAACAGGGTAGAACTATCTAATCTAGATTAAATTATTTCTAATAGCATTACCATGTTATGCCATCCATAGCTTTTCGTCTTTTCATTGCCTTCTTTTTTGCAGCAGCTGAATTTTTACTGTAATTAATTCGTCGGCGACATTTTCTTCTTCCATGTTTCACCGATCTCATCCTGTCTCTTTTCAGTATCAGTACAGATAACCTTAATTTTATTAAGAATAAGAAAACTATGCTTAAACAATTTTCCATCCCAGTTCCCTTTATCTCTTTATCACCTAAGCATTTGACCATTCCCATCCTCTCCCTTTCATCAAAAAGACCCCCACCCGACTACCCACAACAACTGATCGACGGGACACGGCAGCACTTACAGCAGAAGTTTGAAACTGGTTGTGATATACGTGACTTATTATGAAAATGCGTGTTGCAGTTTAGAAGAAAAATATGTGAAAAGAGAAATGATCAAGGAGGAAGAGGATCGTTTGGCCAAGGAGCAACGTTTACGTAAGGCTGTTTATAATGCCATTGTTACTTTGTCAGAATGTGTCGTTGAAGCAACATTGCAAAAAATGGTAATTATATATTTGTTGCTAAGTTTTGCTTCTCGATATTTTTATACAAAGTTTAAATATAAAAATTTTGTTTCAATGTTAAGGCATTAATTTATAGTTGAATAGTCTGGATCAAAACAGCTGGATGGAAGTGATCGAGGAACGTTACCTTGGTCGGATGTGTGGTTTTCCACTCTGTGCTAATTCCGTAGAAGTGAAGAATTCGCAGAAGTATCGAATAGACCTGAAAAATAAGAAGGTAAGTTGTGAATTTTGTCTCTGGCAACAAATGCTTTGTTTACTGAAAATGCCGTTTAAATTTTAAGCATATGTTTTTGATGTCAATTTCTTACATCACGACACATTTGCCTTTAAGCCTTTTATTCTGTTTTAAATTATTGCTTATTTTAACATTTAAATTAAAAGTAATTGTAGGTGAAAGACTTGGTAAATAGAAAATCCGTCTATAATTTTAAAACCTGGAAGAAAGCCAGTTACAATGATGCAGAGGAGAAATATGTATCAGTTATAATATAACTGGAAGAATTAAAATTTTTCAAATTTCAAGTATAACATCAACATTTTCTTATAGGTGTTCGAGAGATCTGCTGAAATTGATAAATTTTGTAGCCAAGAATGTTTTTTTCGATCTGCTTCAGTGAGGACACAGTTAGATACGGAGCCATTATGGATAAGAGGCGGTGAACAAGGTAACTTTATATGTATGTTTGAACATTATTTGGTTATTTTCTGGTCCCACAAAAAAAACAAACTGTGTTAAATTGGAATGGATTATTTTTATTAGTACTTCGTTATTGTTTTTGAATGACCAGGTAAATCCTGAAAATCTTACTCCTCACTTTTTAAACATCTGCTTAAATTGATCTAAAATAAATCACAGTAAGTGTTATATTTACTTGAGATTTGAGTAGGAAATATAATTGGCTAATAAAAGAAATAACTTTAAGTAAATAACGCTATGCTTATAAGAATTTTTCTTTTTCTGTTAGTAAAGGTATTTGATTTGAATGCTGGAAATATCAGACAACAGCAGCAAGACACTTGTGGACGGAGCACTTTTGAATTCAAAGAAGATGAACAGTTGGTAACATTACTTGAAAATTTAAAAGTAAGGGTTTGGCCTTATCTTCTTTTTTTTTTTTAAAATAATTTTTATTAACATAACCGTAAGTACTATTGGTCTCTCCCATACTTCCTTTATTAGATGTTTTTCATCATTTAGATGCAGAAGTGTACATCTGCTACATGCATGCATAGTATAGATTTGAAAATGTCTTCAAACTTTATAATCTTCACAGACAGTTGGCTTATTGCCATTATTATTTTATTATTACTGTTGGTTTCGTCAACTATAAATGAAAAAAAAAAAAAAAAAATGACTGGTTATGAAGGAAACACAAAGATCACAGCTAGCTAAAAGTCCAGAAGTGTTGTTTTTTTATATGTCAATTAAAATTCTTTTTGTCGCAGGATTTTACTTTGGTTGATTTTGTTCAGATTGGAGACAGTGCGGAATCTGATAATGAGGATAATGATGATAAAATCAGCACGGATGAAGAAAAAAAGGATCAAGCTCATGAGGAGTTTTATAACCTTTGCTGCTCTTATCTTACAATGAGGCCTGCAGTTTCGAACACTGAAGAAACTATATTTGTGCCGACAATTAAAGGAATTGTAGAAGGGACCGTTACGGAAAAGGAAATAGAAACAGTTCGTTGAATTTCTTTGAGCTAGAATAATAGTAATATAAAGGTAGAGAGGAAGATCAAATTCTGTTAATTTATATTGTTTACATGCTATGCGCATCATTGTATCTCTTTGAACTTCAGGACAAGAAACATAAGCAACTTTCTCAAAATGAAAAATTGGCTTGTATACGAAACAAGTATCATCCAAATAAACTCAGGCGACCTCCAAAAATAATTAAAGCCAAATCGCTTAGTTCACAGCTTAGTCATAAAGTTCCAGAGAACTTCTATGAAGGTTTTAAGAAAACGCTGTCGTAAGTTACTATTTCCCTAACGTTATTGTTTAAATAAGTCAAATTTTCATTTTATTTGGATTTTTTGTTCTCTTGCTTTGCTGTTTCGAGATAAAAGTAGCTGGATCGCATTTGCTCAATTTTTCAAGAGAATGGTGTGGTCCAGAAACGATATCTTATTTGCAATATCGCCGTAGGATGGATTTATCAGATGGTGAAGATGAGGTAGTTACAGAAGCAAGATCCATCACTGCACAGTTGTATGCAGGTGATAACTTTATTAATAAAAGGATTGAGAGAGATATGTTTCTGCCCTCAATTGACAATCTTGATCAAACAAAACAACGAATTTGGATATTGGCTGACTTACTAAAGCCAAGGTAAGCTCATACCTACCTCACCTTTCTCTTTGTTTAAACTTTTAAGTATTTTGATTTACAAATTGCTACAGAAAGGAGCGAAGTGGTAGTATTAATCACAAAAATCCCAGGGAATACTACCATATATTTTATGGCAGATGAAACGATGAAAGGAATCATTTCAAAGAAGCTAACATATACATATATAGTCATATGTTTGAATATTAGGAAGTATTTACTCTAAAAATCGAAGATGGGTGATGCGAAAGACATGTGTAATCTTATTAGTTTTGCTATACCTTTCATATTTCATTCATAGCTGGCGACTTTTGGAAGAAAAGTTAAATATAAATGGATATGGACAACAAGCCCTAGAAATTGTTTCCACATTTCATTTGTCAGCAGCAAATGTTATTCTTGAAAGGAAGACATGCGACCTTGCTGTTGCCGTAATTTTCCGTTTGTAAGTTCTGTGCTTTTTAAACGATATAGATTTTAAGATGAGTAACTTTTTCGATTTCATTAGAATGGCTCTAACGCTGTTTTTGAAGATTTTGTGGGTGATTTCTATGAATTTTTCCTTTTTTGACTGTAAGTGAGAGAAGAGTGAATCAAAAGCAAGAATAAAATGTAAGAACATAACAATTCCGGCATTTTTGGAAATAAATTTAATTTTTGAAGTACTGCAAACGAATCAAATAAGCAAAAGCAAATTTAGGCTTGCTTACTATGACAGATCTCTAATGGATTTCTACCCATCTGGCAGCGCTGTGTCGTCTAAAATTATGCAGTACTTTGAACAAACAGGTTGTGATGTGAAGTGCTATTTTGAAATCCTTTCTACTGTCATGAATAAATTGGAGTGAGTGTATTCTTCATGTATAATAAGTATACTTATACCATGTCATATGCAGTTTTGAAATATTGTGGTCCATTCTATTCTCTCAGACTACGATTGTATTATACAAAAAAGAGCGAAATAGTAGAAGCAACAAGAAAACATAAGAGATGACCATTCAGCATCTTTAAATTTAATTTTAAAGTGCTGCAAACAAATTAAACAATTTTCCAAGCAAAGATTTTGTGATTAATGCTAATTACAGTTTTGGATTACTATAAAAATCAGTATAATAATAATCTTTTTTGTTGATTTCCCAGACAAAAGCAACATCTTTCTGCTACTCGAAGTGATCTCAATAAAATTAGCTTTAATCCATCGACCACACATTATGATTGGCAGTTCCATTTCTTTCTTTTCCATTTTTATTTCTTAAATGGAATAAAAAAGATGAAAAAAAAAAAAATGGTTGTTTGTCTTTGAAGAAGCTGCCAACTTATGATTGTCAAAAAGTTTCGGAAAAGCAATCGAATTAGCTTCTAAATAATTCGCGGTGTTTGCCTCAGCTCAGGTGGGCTGAAGACTTCGTCTTTTGCAGGAGCGGTAGTTAACTGTTTCTAATTAAGATCAAGATTACTTCCAACACTCCTTATGACTAGATCTCCATGGTTTCTGCAGACCTTTGTGCAGGATATTTTTTGTTAGTGCTTTCCGCTGTGATTTTTCCATATCTTCTTGTTTGGATTTACGTTATGGTAAGTTAATAACATATGATAATATCAAATATGAGGCTCACCTGCGACAGTAGTTAGTGTGATTTGCTCGTGTGTTTCTAGGTGATTGGTTAAATTATTCACTAAGCCAAGAGGTCCTTTAATTTGTGCTTGGTATGGATATCATTCTTTCACTGGAGAGCTGGATTTGTTCTAAATAATTTGTTTTGCGTTGAGTATGACAGAAGTTTTTCGTATTGATATCATCTATATATTATGGAGAAGTGGTGTTGGAGTTCATCAATTCGCATTTTTAGCCTTTGATACCCCAAGATTTCGTTATCAGAGTGGCATTTCCATCGCAGTTTTTGGCTGTTCTTTTTCCGCTCGCTTGCTTTATTTCACTGCTTTGTTGTATGGGTTAGTTAATCCTCTGCTCCTCTTTTTTCTGCTCAACCAGTCTACTCCACTGTGTTTTAAAGTTTTAAGGAACATTTTCGTAATCTATTTCGTTTTCTTAAAGTTCATTTCAGGTATTTCGTCTCTGGTGCTATTTGTGGGTCAAATTCGAGAACAGTCTTTCAAGGCAAATGAAGGGCAAATTTTCTTACGGTGATATACATATGCATATGCATTATGACTTTTTTTGTTTCCTTTTAATGTAATTAAAAAACTTCAAAATAGCTACTCAGTTCTATGTGTCCAACTCAATGTTCAAGACACCAGAAGTTATTACATAAAGTTGTGGCCTTGTCCCACCGGATCGGGAGACTGTATTGCGAGGATGTGAGATTTAACGGAGCCGCGCGGGTATCGTTAAGGCCGTTGTATCGTTTTAGGTTCTCATAGTTCAAAACGGTTATGTACTGGTGGGGAGGTGGAGGTGGTTGTTCGGAGGAAGATGGCTCTTTCTGAAGGTGGGATTGTGGGGCATGAAGAATGTATGGTTGTTGAATAAGTTGTACGACCGGTCGGTCGATTGAGTGGTTGACTTTTATGGGTTGATTACATTGTAGGTTAATCCACTTATCGCTTAACGTAGTTGATATATGTGAGACCTGCAGTGGTTGATTTAAATTCGCATACCAAGTATTTTCTCAAGGTTTTCAAGTAGTTTAACTTAATGTTCGAAAAATATTTTACAGTAGGCAGTGATGATATTTTATGGGGAAGATTGCATGGTCTTTAGTTTATAATATCTCACTTAATTCAGGATAAAATATCTTAAATGCATATTTGATAAAATTCCGCATGCGTCATCGAGAACTCCTTGAATGTTTCTTTATAGGTAGCATTCAGCATTATTTTATGGTTAAGTAATGCCAACATTCCTTCAACTCATCTTTCTGATATTCTGCGTTTAGATATAGACATTTATTATAAAGCGCGCTATAATACTATTATATCCGTTCAGATGTATCTGAACTTTTTCTTCTGCAGCCTCAACTGCAGGATTCCCATTATAGTGGGGATATTTTCAGGGTTCCTGGATTCTGTGGATAAATTGGAAGACTGCATAAAAGATGGCGGAACAAACAGAAAGAGCTTTTCAAAAACAGCCCACTGTATTTTTGAACAATAAACTGCGAACTTTGGGAATCGGTAAGAAAGCGAAGAAAGATGTACGTTATGTTCGAAATGTTGGACTGGGGTTCAAAACACCGCGTGAGGTACGTTTCGCTTCTGATATATATTTGGTTTATCTCTCTTCTAACTTATTGGTACTTTGGATCGTAAACGCGTGGCTATTTATATCAATTAGCGTGAAGGGGCACCTTCCATATCGAAAAATTGTGACTAGAGTTCATGAAAGTTTATTGCATCAAGAAACTCTTCAAGAAAATTTTGATTGGAAGCAGTATTTATTTTGCTGGAGGCTTTGAATAGTAGGTAAGGTCGGCACTGTTCACTAATATGTCTCGAAATATTTCTTTGAGTTTGGTTTCAATTACAGGCTATAACCGGGACATATATTGACAAAAAATGTCCGTTCACTGGAAATGTTTCGATTCGTGGGCGTATATTGACTGGTGTTGTTGTAAAAATGAAAATGCAACGGACAATAGTAATTCGACGAGATTATTTGCATTTTATCAAAAAGTATCGTCGATATGAAAAACGTCATCGTAATATGTCTGTTCATTGTTCTCCGGCCTTCAGGTTAACGAATTATAATTTTTTTTTTTTCATTTACAAATTTTGTCAAACCAATAAGGCATCCATTTGCTTAGTTTATTTTTTCCCTTTTCTCTGATTAATTCGCTGCAAAATAAGTAAGTTCATTATCCATTCAGTTAGCTTTGTTTATTTCGGTCCAGTTAGCAGATTGTTCATTCTGTGCTGTAAATATTATCTTTTCAATATCATTTAAGACTTTTTGGGTCCTTTTTCTGCCTGAAATGTGTTTCTTAAAGTCCGTCGTCTAAACTTGCACATCATCCTTTAAGGAATGTGATAGTGATGAGCAGTTTTTTCAGGGATATAGCAGTGGGAGATATAGTAACGGTTGGTGAGTGTCGTCCATTGTCGAAGACTGTACGGTACAATGTGTTGAAAGTGTTAAAAGCATCAGGAGCTAAGAAATCTTTCGACAAGTTCTGATAAAAATTTTTCATTTTTTATTGTTATTTGACTTAGAAAAAGTAAATTGTTATTGTTGCTTTAGAGTTCTACGTAAGTAAGTGGGTCAGAACTTAATAGTGAACAGATTCATCTTCTCGGAAAACTATGGAAGATTATATTAAATACGAAACAGGGCGTTTAAAATTGAAAATACGAAAATGGTACTTGTCATGCTTTTAGGAAGTGAAGCTATACTGTTCATGAAAATGAAGCTATACTGTTTTATAAAAATTGAGTTGGCAGTGTTCTTTGGATAGAGCTGTTTACTTCATTTCTCGTGTCTTTTTTCGCAATATTACGAGAACTAAATTTGTTCAGTAATTTTGAGGCCTTTTTTTTTTAAAAAAAAGAACGGTTTTATTAATTTGAGCGAGATTTTAAGTTACATCTTCTTATCCACTTCCTAAGGAAATTTTGGGAAGTATTCGGAGTCAATTCCTATGCATTTCTTTGATAAGGTTTCCAAAAATTTTAAAACAATACCATATCTTAATGTTGGACTTGCCCTTACTGAAGTTACCACGTAACAAGTGTGGATCAGATTAGCAAACAAAACCATTAGAGTAGTTTTGTTTATAGCTGGTTCAGATTACCACGTGAACTATATATATGTTTGGACTGTACTATCCCTATTGCTGCTGTTGTTGCGTCATTTGTCAGTATCTCAGTTTCATATGTATGTCGGGGAAGTGTCCGCGAATGGGAAGTCATTGGCGAAGAACAGATTTTTGTGAGATTTTATTTCTGAAGTGTAATTGCACTTAGCATATCTTAAACCAATGGTCCGTAATAGCTCTGAGATTCAAGTAGTGATTTCTCAATATCCATATATTCATCGCATTTTTATATCGTTTTACCACACAAATTTCTGTTGAAATTATCTTTTGCAATATGGTGAGGTAAAAGATCCACGATTAATTCGATGAATTCCGCCGAAGAGTACGTTATTGAGGCCGTCTAGAGTTTTATTTATTTGCGTTAGTCAGTGCAGCTTACCTTTCTGATTCCTGACAGGGATGCGAGTCAATACAGTTCTACCAACAGGATGACTTGTGACTCTTAAACCACATGCATTCTTGCCATACCAGTCGTTAGGTCATTTAGTTGACTCAGGAGCTAAGTTCCTGCTGCTTCCTTTTCGGATGATGTGGGGAAAATCAAAGCTTTTTTAATTGATACTTTGGTTCAAATTTTTGAAATTAATGGTGCCACTGCTGATAGTCATCGGAGGAGGGAACAACAAATTACCAGTGATTGTAAGTTTGTGGAAGGACACACTTTTTCTGTACCAGATGTTACCTAGAAATGTACATAGTACTTTGTCCGCGTCAAATTGTGAAGAACGTTGAGCATTGGTATGGTAGCACAATGTATTTTCAGTATCTTCGTGGTAATATTAATTTCAGGTACCATTAAATAGGCAATGCTATTACAACTAGAGGAGATTAGATTAGAAAGCAATTACTGCTGTTAACTTCCGTGACATTCTACAAATCATGTAATGATAGGCTTGAAGTGCTAACGTCGGTACTTTCAGTTTATCAATCTTTTATTTTCTGTTTTTGTTTATTTATTTATGAAAATTAAGATCTTTTGAAACTCGTTTTTTAATTCTTTCCGTTCAAGAAAAAAGCTAAATATAAAGTTCTAAAATATGGAAACATGGTCTTTGAAATTGATGAAAAATGAAATATGAGTTAAAATCAGAGACCGTCAGATTAGATTTAACATATGGCCGCACAAATTCAGCTAAAGGTCTTATATACAATTTTTGATTTTTTAACCAGAAATCATGCTGAGTTCGAGTGTTTGGTTTCCTGCGTTCTTCTATGATAAGTATATGTACTGTTTAATTGAGCAAACGGCAAGAAATTTCATTCACATTAGCTCATTAAATTTGAAGTTCTACATTTCTACTTTTTCATTTTTTAAATTTGGTCACAACTCATATTTGAATTAACTGAAATTTCATTTAGTCCGTTGAATTTGTAGATATTTCGACACCTCATATCTTGAGATCCATTATGGTTCAGAAAATACTGCCATGTGTCAAAAATTTAATTTAACTTTTATTAATGTGTGGATGTGAGATGCCATGCATTTGCGGGAATAAAATTATCAGAAGTAACACCGACTGTCACACTGTCAGTTCGATTTCTTCTCTAAATTTTGTTCGTAGAACAAAGTAAACCTTCATTATAACCATCATCATTATTATCATTAGTTGTGAAGCATCTTCTTATTTAGCACTTCCAGTTACTAAAATTTAATCTTTGATGTGCTTTGACACATAGGTACTTGCAAATGTTTCCGTCAGGTTACTCGCTTAGTTTCTCTCAGAGTCTGACCACAAAATGGATTAAGGAGGATTAAAATGTTGACATTGCAGGTTATTTTCTGAAGACTGAAACTTGATCTAGTCTAGTTAAATTGTTATATGAAGAATACCTCTTAACAAAGGACGTGATCTGAAAAGTGGACTGACCTTTCGGTATTCACACTGTCGAGTCGAGGTCTGTTTGTCACAACGACCCAGTGGCTCAGTAAGTACTATGATAATCATTAAATCTCTGCAGAGGTAGATTCAGACTAACTAAAAGAAATTGGTGCTAGAGATGCCCCACCAATCCCTTGGATTCCTGAACCTTGATAAGAGGAGGAGGCGAGGTACTACACCTATCCTAGAAGCCATTCCAGTTTGAATAAGGACGGACAATTAGATGTGACAAACAAAAAGTAGCGTTGTAATGGGAGAGGTGACAGAGACAGAAGAAATAATGTATCATTGAAACATGGGGAGATCGCGAGAGAATAGTCAAGTATTGTGATGGTATGGAGAGCCGAAATATTGTTGAGAAATAGGAGGGGAAAGAGGTTGCAGTAAATGAAGCGAGGGACTAAGGGAATCTATAGAGATCTGTACTCTGATTTGGTTAAAATGGTAGTTAAATTGAGCAGCATTGGAGAGTGCTTATCACAAGTAAGTACGATTCTTCCTGATTAATTTCAAGTTTTGAGTTATAAGATATCACGGAAATATAACTTCCTTCGAACATAGGTAAATTAGAAAGATCAATAACGTGCATATTTGGATAAGCACCTACAAGGGTTTTTTTCTGATCAAATTCTATCATTTATTGTTTTAGTTTCAGATGGCTAATCACTGCATCGGTTGATTATACGGAGGGACATTGGCCAAGGTATAGAACATACTCCGAAATATCTTTGTTTCTATTAAATGCCTTCCAAACATGTGTTGTTTATTATTGGTTTATAACAGTTACTTTAAGTTCTGCTATCGATTACCACTGTAATTGGTACCTGAACGAATGAAATGGCAGCTGCGAAATATTTTGGAGAGGAGAAATTGGAGGACGCGACTTATGCGATATATCTACGTAAAGTACGCTATGTATCACCACTGAACATCGAATCTTCGGTATTTGTCTTCTTTTTTAAGTGGTCCATTTAAGACCGCAAGCAATAAAAGCTAATCTGAATGATGAATATAGAAATAATTCAGATTAACTTTAATAAAATATTGCCACCCAAGGGATGTTTTTCACTGTTGTAGTAGGTATTTATTTACAGGATGATCACACGTCAGATGCAAAGAGATGTGAATGTTCTATGGGCAACATACCCGATCACTTGCATTGGGAAACCATTCGAGAACGAATTATTCGTGCTGGAACATTACAGAAACTAGTTGTAAATTTTGACGCTGTTATTACGTGTAGTAGAGAAGGGGACAATTTTTGAAATTAACTGTCTTATTGGTAGAAACAGCATTGTGTTTGATTCATATTTGAATTATTGTGTCTCAGATCATCAGCTTGTAAGATCACTTCCACTTAATACGTTCATATAGTGAAAAGCTATCTTAGGTCTACTTTCTCCTAATTTGTACAAATGGAGTTGAAAAAATCTCATGGATGATATTTTAGAGGTTTTACAGTTTATTAGATCTCTTTAGCTTTAACAGCAGTAAATCAGAATCAGTCATTTTTATGCCTTTTTGATTCATTTAATGCTTGTCATTTTAGGAGTGTCTTATAAGCGATGATATGTTGATGGACTCGAGACATTTTAATGTTTTCTTCGCTACTTATCGTTCTTTCTCAACATGCTCAAATGTACTCGAACTTTTACTTCAACGTTATGTGTCGCTTGAGATGAATTCACTCGTAGTTGGCAAAACGAAAACTGTTACTTTGCAATGGTCTTTTTTTTTTGATTGTGAAACGGATGTTATCGGTTAAACTTATTCACACGCGTCATAAGCACTTTGTTAAGCATATTTTTCTATTTCTAAATAATTAAGAGTAGCATATCCATTATTATTATTTTATTCTGGCAGCTAGAAATCGATAACATTGTAGCTTACAAGTTAATGATAGCCTTTCATCCATAATTTTGTTATGCAATAATTGCTTGTCAGGCTTCAAAATCTGGGATTCAAGGACTGCTTTAATTCTTAAAACATATTTAGTGAGAAAAGAGAATTTTAGCTCTCTACGTTCAATAATAATGTGCTGGTTGGAAATGTATCCTGAAGATTTCAATGAGCCAAATGCCGACTTTGCTACTTTGATGCGATTGATCGAGTTTGGTAGAATTCATAAAATCACAGATGTAAGGACAAAAGCTCGGCAGTTGCGAGAAACCTATAAACGTCGTGTTATGGATGGACGTTGTTTAGGTATGTATGCTCATGGTGGTTAGAACCACAAATATCAAGTTTATCTTTTGCATTTGCAATAATAGAAAATTCTTGCATTTCGTTTAACTTCTCCGTCATGTAGCAAAGCTGATTAAATAAAGTCGTAATTTTCTAAGTGCATTTTTATGCTGGGCCTGTCTGGGTTGTAGTTACTTTTCATTTAGAATTTTTTTTTTTTCTGTACTAAAGAATCATACTGCGATTTTGGGACGAACTTTATGTCTCAACTTTTTTTTCCGAAGTTTTTAACCTTGTATCAATAAGTTTTTGATATTAACACTTTATAGCTCAAATACCTTCAATGGAACAGTATGTCTTCAGCACAGGTTATGATGCGCCAGATTTCGATGCATGTGTGCAAAGGGCTAATATGTTCGACATTGGAAGAGAGAATTGCGTGCAGATTGCAGAGCAACTTACTTTTTGGGATGCTGTAAGGATTTTGTGCTGTCGCTTTATCCAAAATAACATATGATTTTATGTCATATTCTTTACTCTTATTTAATGATCATGGAAAAGGTTATCTATTTCTGTACTACATAAATCTAAATAATGGTTTCTTTACTCAATCGTTTCTTTTTTTTTTTTTTTTTTATAGGAATTGTTCAAAGAACTGTTACCACAGCAGTGCCAAGGTTGCGTATGGAACAAAAGGAATAAGCAAGGGCCAGAAACAGTGTACACTGTGAAAGCAACAATTGATCAGGTTTCATTAGTTCGTGCAAAAAAGTACCACTCTTGATTTTAAATAAGTTTAACTGTTAGAGAAGTTGGTAAACATTTTTGTGATTCAAAATTTTCTATAAGTCGTGTTAATCATGATTATTTATATTTTTGAAGCACTAAGATTTTTAAAATTCTGAATGTTACTATTTCTTTACTATACTTAATCATATGTTAGATTATCGCAGAATATTCTCACTGATTCAGAGGTAACATCACATAAGTATCACGTACTATCACATAAACTTCATCTCCATTCCATTCTTAATAATTCAACTTTTTTATGTAGTATATTATAAGCCAAAAACAAGTAGTTGTTTTCAGTTCAATGCAGTCGTTCAAAAAGTGATGACAAGTATAGTTCTTCCGGATTGTCGACCTGATTTTCGAGCAAAAATAATCGCGAAATGGATCGACGTTGCAAGGGTTTATTTGCAAATTAATATTGGTTTGATTCTTCAATTTACTGAATATAAAATCGCTTAATCTAGAAAACAAATGTCCTGATCTGTATTTCACATGTTTTGTTTTACAACAAAATTTTTTTTCAGGAGCTGAGAGCTTTGAAGAATTTTTCATCATTAAAAGCAATCATATCAACGCTTCAGTCGGAACCGGTTCACAGGTTGAAATCTACATGGACACAAGTTCCGAAGTACTAAACTTTTCATACTTAATTCAAAAATTTGCATTTGTTCTGCATTAAAAAGAAGTGGATTAAGCCACTGTTTTTCAGTGTATCAATAGCTCAGTTCCGTGAATTAGCATCAATATTTGATGCAGATGATGATGGTGAAGAACGCCGAGCTAGACAAATTCTTGAAGAAGTGTGATTCATGTGTTCGCTTGTTTTCTGCTCAGTGTTTGAGCTTTAAATTAATATATGAATGTACCTTAAATTTCCAAAATATGGGAATTTTTTTTTTTTTTTTTGCACGTTTTAGTTAAATCCATTTTTAGGAAGGTACGGCAAAGAAGTCACCGTTAAGACGACCACAACTTATTCAGAATTGTCGTAGAACAAAAAGCGATGTTAATTTAGCTGAATCTCAAGGAACAGTACCCTATCTGGGTACGTTCCTCACCGATCTCTCCATGATTGACCAAGCTAATCCTGATTTCACAGAGGGTAAGTTCATTTTTGAGACCCATAAAGATTTGATTAAAGAATCGATCCTTATGGAGTAATATTTTTGGAATCTTATTTTTTACTTAGAAGGCCTGATAAATTTTGAAAAGCGACGAAAAGAATTCGAAGTAATTGCCAAAATTCGTCTTTTTCAATCTGCGTGTCGTGCCTACAAGATCCCAATGGATATGGCATTTTGCTCATGGTTCTGCTTTCTTCCGGCACTGGATGAAAATCAATGGTTATTTTTGTTTCAGTTATATCATTTCAAGTTCTGGACTGCAAAATATTCTTGAGATCCTACGTTTTATTTCCCTTGATTGGTATGTCGTCTCTCGCACGTTTTTCATGTTTAAAAATCAGTTTCTGTTTTCCTTACCATGAATTTCATTAGGAAGACGACTGCTTGTAATTAATTATTGTAACAATGTACTTTTAATCAGTAAAAAATCTCTCTTCTCATCTTGATTGCAATTAGTTAGACGATTTTAGTAATTATAAAATAATTGTCAAAAATATTCAAGAGTCAATATTCAGCAGCAGTATTCCTTTTTTTTGGATGTTTTTTGTATTTCCTCAATTTTAGTTACTTCTAATTTAGGTGTACTGTATACTATATCACAAAGACTTTGGTTTTTATGATCAAAATTCCATTCAACATCTCTTTTATGAATTTACTGCATTTCCCATTGTTTTCAACATATTTCTTTCGAAACCCATTTGCTGTATTCTGTGTCGAAATGTTCTTTTGAGCAATTTTATCTTTAAAAAAAAGAAACCATTGAGTTTTGCTTATTTTCAATTGACAAATTTCTTTAGTTAAGTTGTTTTGTTTATGATTGTATTAACTCTTAGTCATTTGAAAATAAATCTTTTCTAGTTTCGTAAGGTCGTTAGAAGTGGAATTGCCAGTTAATCAAACGGATTCATCGAAACCACTTCGGCCGTCACAGATGTCGAAAATGTGAGTTCTTTAAATAGCGCTGGAGGGAATTGGATCACTGTAAACTTTAAGAAAGCCCGTCATCGCGAAACATCATCAAGAGACGTAGTAATTGAAAAAACATTATGATCGTGGTCCTGGGAACTCACAATTATGAAATAAGGTCTGTTATGGTGGCAGTAATGATTTTGAATACTTAAGATTTACCAACTGTCGAAGTGAACAGCAAAAAATTTTGCATGAAATATACAATAAATTTTAATTTCGAACTCCAACAGATCGTCAATAACGTTGACATTTTTTGCATGAAAATCAATTCTTTTACTTTTTATTCTCACTCACTTCTCCTTCTACTCTCAATTCTTCATCCATTTTATCTAAATTTTTTTGTGTTATTAAATAAGTTTTTTCACTATAATAATGTCATAACTTATAAAAAACACGATAAGAAATTCTTAAGAAGGAACAACAAAGAAAGCATTCATGATAACATTAATTTCTTGTTACAGAATAGTTTCGGTTATTTATTAGGATTCATTTACTGTCATTAATATTTAACTTCCAGTAGTTCGTCTCCATTCATCTAATAGTAGCCAGATGATACTTCTGTATGATGCATAACACATGACAATTTCTTCTTTATGTTTGTGGTTCAAATGCGTTCTTTTTTTTACTTTAAATTAGTTTTGATTGATCTTTACCGTATTCCTTAATCTGAAACTATTTCACAGTCTTTCTTAACTACTTTTTTGGAACAGAAAACATGGTCCTAGATCTTGATTTTTTTTCTTTTTTTTTAGTCTAGTAATCCCTAATTGTGATTTGGTAGCTGATTTTGCAATTAATGCAGTTCTGTAGTTTCTTGTTTTCGATTGCTTACTCAATTTGTAGGGCTTTTACAACTTCTGAAATATTTCATCTGTTTTCTTCTCAGCTGTCTTCTTCGCTTTAAATTGCTTCATTGATAATGAGACAAAAAGTTACACAAATCATGTTACAGGAATACATTATCGCGGTTAATATCTGGTATGAGTACAGATGAGAATCCAAACGACAGCGGACTAATATCTAATGATTCGGGTATCGTAACTGAAGATTTATGGTACGATGGTGTAACCAGACCTTTTGCGGAGAAGACATTAGGAGCTGCGTGTAATCTGTTTGGTATCGTTTCTTCTCGATCGTTTACTGCTCCTCCAACGCCAGCTAGCACAGTTTTCTGGAAAGGTAATCAGTTTTGTGTTTTGTTATGCCAATAATCTTTTTTTTTTTTCTTTTTTTTTTGAATCATATTCTTGTTATTTGTCTAGTTTTAATTAAATTACTAGTGAGACAGAGATTACATTTTCTAACTGTATTAAAAAAAGTCATGTTTACGTAGGAAGAATTTTACCAAACTTCATAATTTTTAGGTAGCGAATTTAGTCCCAGTACTGCTTTTTCACAACGACGATCAACAAGTGGTTGTTGGGACAAGAAGCATCAATCAAATGATGTCAAGGATGTGAATGCAAAAAATGATGTAGTGATGAATGTTGGTACTTCATTGAATTCTTGTGGGAAGATAGTGCATTTTTATCAATTTCACAAGCGATGTATCTGATTATCACCAAATTGTTGTACTGATATTCAATCCTTAATGACTGTAGAATTTGTAAGCCAAACATGTTCAATATGAAATAGATGTAAGATATTCTAAGCTATTCTACATCGTCATTATCACAATTCCTACGTTTTTGGCTCGTTTCATTATACTACATCAAGCAAAACACTGATGTGTATTAATAATGCACTTATTCAGAGCGCGCAGGCTAAAAGTGCAGTGGTATCATAAAATACATCTTTTTTTTATCATGTTGGCATATAGGGTACTGCAAAATTTAGTCACATTTTACAAGTTTCGTAATTTATAGACGCCGGAAACGTCATCAGGTTCATGCATTTCGGGCAGTTCACTGCAACAGGCAACACCGTTCCATCTTGCTCGAGTCGCTTTAGATGATTCAATGAAGAATGATACAGGCACCGCTAATTATAAATGTGTTAAGGTTTGATTTAAGAAAGTTAACTATTTTGTAAGCAGGTGAATAATGAATCAGTTATATATGCCAAATAAGTTTTATAGAATCATTATAAATCCATCTGAATTAATGAACTGATAAGCAAAGTATTTGAGAGATTATTTATTTCCCATTGCTTTGGAATCAAACTGTAAAACCATTCTTTCAGATCGAAAATGGTGATAGAATGGCAGAATTAATTGAAAGAACTTTAGAAAAACATCTTATTTGCGGTGATCATTCAGAATACTGTCTTGTGCAGCTTCTGCCTGATGGATGTAGGTCTTGAGTGACATATAAATTTTGTTGATATAAATTTTATAATTGGAGATATTTTTGAACACCTGGCGTCTTTTATGCTTCTGTTTAGCTAATCCAGAGACTTATTGGAGTCGTAAGTTTTGTAGCATATATTAATGTTTCTTTAGAAATGAACAATTTGTGCTTCAATTACAGAAAAGTTCTGACATTTCTTTTTCTAAGAACTGATAGTATACGTGGGCTAGACTTAGTATATATAGCTTATTTCTTTATTTTAAACTTTAAATTTCTTCTAACTATGTGGTTACAGATTTTTGATTTGAAATGAGAGCGGAATGTTTTTTCTTATTTAGGTGAATTTTGTTTACCGGAGAAATGCAATCCATATTACGCTGTAGCACCAGATCCCACTTCAACTATGTTGAACTTTGTGCTGCGACGAAAAAGTGATACGGAACGAGTGGCAGTGTCAGGCGGTATTGCATCATCGACTAAAAAATTAAATAAGATGAAACGGTGTAATTTACTGCGATGGAGTAGTGGTTATTTATAAACTTGTAGCTTATTGTTCAGTTACTTAATAATATTAGATTATTAGGAAGGTACAACCTACTATCATCTTGCTTTTTTTTGCGTTACTAACAAGCGGTAGCAATTATTTATGAACTTGTAAATTTCTTAAAGGGAACTATTGTTCAATTACTTAAGAATATTAGATTATTAAGAAGGCGCATCCTACTGTCATCTTATTTTTCTTGCTAGTAACGTTTTTTAATATATCGATCGGATTACGAGAATCAAAGCTACGGTATATTTTCTTAATATTTATGGAATCTGAAGATGTGACGTTTCAGTTCTGGATTTATATTGAAATTTTTGATAATTAGGTGATTTCAACTGGTTTAGCATATTATTTTCTACAGCATACCTTTGGTTATCATTACTGGTTTTTTCATTATGATCTTTCAATCAAACAAATTTCACTGCAGCTGATTTAAATTGCTATAGATCATGAATTAAGAGGAATATTAGAATTAGGGAGCTAAATAATAACTCGCAAAAAGGTTTTGGTGCTTTTTCACGTAAAAGTTATTGCTCGTGTATGAAGCATTTTTATACAGATGTAAGAAGCATCTAAAAAAATTTAGATTTTTTCTAAATTTTTTAGATGCTTTTTTTAGATTTTAGACTTAACCCTTTTTGTAAAATAACTAATAACTTATCCCTCATGTTAATATGCGTCAGCTTTATCATTCTTTTCCCATTCCCAACCTCAGATTTTGAGAAATTGAGACTACTGATCTTTGAGTCAAATACATGTTATCAACTGTGTTACTGTGTGTGAAAATATTATTAAAAATTTATAATGAAATTTCACGATAAACAGCTGAAATGCATTTATCTATATTGATAGCAAACTTATAGCATTGTTTTTATGTTATTTTTGTGTCCTGTGTAGTGATTTGTTGCACATCAGCGCATCAACGATGTCTGCTGAAAAACGATCTAATTTCAGGTGCTAATTAATTTAAATTTATATTCCGTTACATTGTAATGTATTTTTCAAACATTGAATTTCTTTTCACATTCAGGTACATTTGACAGAAGAGTTTATTGTTCTTTTAAGGCGAATATGTTTAAGATATGAAAACCCTATTGTTGAAAAACAGTGAACAGCAGCGTGAGTTTCGTTATTATTATTTTAAGCTTCTTTTCACAATGGACTATGATATAGTCATCTAATATACATACTTGTTAGTAACCGATAGGTTCGCTCATGCTTAATTTTCATATATTTTACAGAAATTATAAAACATCGAAACATATTGGATGCGAAGATTTCAACTGATGCTATATTTACTACTTAAATATTGTTAATAAAATGCTAAATTATCATTTTAAATCAAATTAGTGACCATATGGAGATTTTATTTAGGATAAAGTCCTGAATTCTTTAAAATAATTCCCTGTCATAAGCTTTCCTGAAGAAATTTCCCTCCTTTAACTTTGTTCATGTTAAGTTGCGACCTTACTTCATTTTTCTGTATGTAACCTCTTTGGGCCGTAATGAAATAAATTTCTTAATCTCAAGAGATTTCGATTTTCATAAATATTATTATGCGGGAAATGTCTTCTCCAAAACATTGCACATGATGACGACAACTGTGCTTTGAGGTATTTCTTTGTGTTATTTTACTTTATTTCAAATTGTGTACAAAATAACTGTTCAAATTTATTAATTTGTAGGTATTTTCTGGCTATGTTGATCATGGGAAAGGACAAATTGTTGAAAATGCATCAATGACATCAGACATTGTGTTTTTTATTGGCGTTTTTTTACTCTTTGAATTTAGCACTTCTTTTCTCGTTGCCATTTAGGGGTTGCCATTTATCATTTTCGAGGTGGGGTTGCTGATATAACGGTAACGAGTGTGAAACCTGTAGATTTCTCAGAGATTATTTTCATAATCATTCCACTTCTACACACATCAGCTCGTTATGTCACTCCATCTTGAATAAGCAAATTTATTTAAAAGCCCATCAAAATCAATTTTAGAATTGTTTCCTGCTTTATTTGACTCACATTTTTACTTGTCGTGTGACATAATATTTTTGATTTACATTTTTCGATTCAAATTTCTAATAAATTACAAATTGAAGCTCATCAGGAATTTGTGATGAGTGAAACTTTAAGAACATGGTGAGAAACTCGTAGAAGCGAGCACTGTTATGATGCTTTAAATGCAATTCACTGACTTCAGGATCATGAAGTGTACATGTTAGGTCACAAGAGCCGATTATTGGTTCCCTATGACTAGAACTAGGATTTGTTTTTTCTTGTTAATTTTTCGGAGAGAAATCAGGATCGATTGATGTTTATTATTTGCTCTCATGATTTAGTACTGGGATTTTTATATAATGAATGTGTTAAGCACTTGTTCCATTTTCTACACTAGAAAATGACGGAAGTAAATTCTTGAACTGATATTACAGGATTATTGATAAGAGATGCTTGAAGCGGGTGTGATGCTTACATAATTTGCTAACGATACCGCATAACATTCTTGCAAGAAACGCTGTAATATATTAACTCAGTTAATTGCTGAATGATATTGTAATCAGCTAGAGAAGGATGGAAATGCTTTTTATATGGACATTTGCAGTGGTAATAGGGAAAAATTTCAAGAGTTAAATGCACTTTTTTGAAGTTCATAACTTCTTATTATCTCATTTTATGTAAATTCTATAATGGTTTTAAAGTGAATAATTACAGTTCTGCAATCAGTAGTAATAATTTAGTTAGGAGTGAAATTCTGAAATATTAACAATTTAGGTTAAAACAGGTATTGATCATCCATTCACTACCAGAAAAAAATATAACGCTTCGAGATAGATGAAAACTCAAGGTTCTGCCATAATTGATGAACCTTCTGTAACATGGTAAATAACTGTATCAAGTTAAAGTGGGGCAGCTTAATTTCATGGCTCTAATATTATTTGAGCTGACAAATAGTTTAAGTTTTCCTGAACAAAAGATACAGTGTCTTAACATTACTAAAATACTAAATGCTTCACTAAATAAATTATGCAAAGTTATTTGGAGTATACCATAAAGATGCAAATTTCTGTGTTTGCAGAGTATTGAAGTGCATAAAATGTTTTGTTTTTTTGATATTTGTCAAATTTAACTGAAAATATTTGTCAGCGTGTTGGTTGTAAAGTCAATCCGCTGGTGTTGTTTGATTCATATTGAATTCTAAAGAGTTTTATTGTAATGAATTTTGGGGCTGTGATATCGAGAACTTTCTTAAACTATTCCTTTGGAAAAAGCATTTAGTTGTTTTTATTTTTATCTAAGGTTAAGCGCAAAGCAGTTTTTTGTAGTTCACAGTCAAATTCAAGTTAGTTTATACTACATATAAAGAAATATATTTTAATATAGTACTGCCGTAACAAATCGAATTTAAGCGCTATTATGTAAAAAATGAAAATAAAACATCAATAGCTCATTTAATTTCATAACTTTTTGTTATTAAGTATGATGTGCAATGCAGAAGAATACTTTTTGGCTCTAGATGAACCTTTCCTGCTTCCATCGAGTGCCATTTATCGTATTAATGATAAGTTAGACGATGCATCCGACCTTTCATCAATATACTCTAATGAGCCCGAATTAGCAGTTGGTGATGGACATGATGCAGATGAATTATTTATGGATGATGCTGAATTCGCTCGAAGACTTTATAAGTTCGCTAAAATTTAATTAGTTGATCCCTGTATAAAATAATATTATGGTTTTCGAGTGAATAAATAAATAGAAAAATTTATTTTTACAAAAAAGATAAATCTGTTCAATGAAGAGACGTCACGAGGCTATGATTTCATTTGCTTTTCAACTTGTTGTTTGAAGGAATTTAGGATCTATCTTAATTTCAGTTAAAGAATATTTTGCGTTACAAAGAAGATCCGAACAATGGTTGAAATTCATTAATTTATTTAATACAGCACTACCAATTATAGGTTTGGTTTAGACACCAGTGGTCTTCCGTTACGAGATGATCTACTCTTCAAAACATTCGACAAAGCTGCGAATTTTACTCTAAAGATGGAAGAACTTTCATGGTGGAAAAAATTCAAGGGAATTAAAGCAAAACCAGTTCAAGTAAGGTTTTTCATATTTTTTCCAGTGTGCTACTACTTTTTTTATCCAGTGCTATAAATGTAATGAAAACTTATTACAACATTGCGAATTTTCAAAAAAAACATTTTAAGAATTTAGCTTTTCGAAATGTATGAGTCATATAAATTTCTAAAAATTCATACTTTGCGAATCTAACTAAAATAGGAATTGAGAAAATCTAATCCAGATTATATAAATTTCTGTTGTTTGCGATCTGAAACCCTCAAAATATTATATATATATATTAGATCACTGCAGCGATGAAAATGCACCAAACGACTGCTCTCCTTTTCGTTACAGATTATTGAGTATCTTAGGTACCACACGTCGCACTTTGGGATTATTTCGGTGGTACATCATGTCTGGATATCAATTGTACAGCGGGAGATCAAATCGACGTGCTCTGCGAAGAATTTCAGTGATTTTCCAATACCTTTTCTCTCTTTTATATTACACAGTACAACATTGAAAAACGTTACATTTTCACAAGCTTAACTTTTAAGAATATATTATCCAAATCGATTTGATTTTCAGAGGTCAAGGAATCCTTTAATTTATAGAGTAATATTTTACTAAAAGATTTGCGCTAAATGACTGGCGCTTAAAAAAGCAAAATAAAAGTGTTCAGAGTTCGCGAAATTGATAGCGTAACAACAGACGGTCGAACATTTTTACGACTCCCAATGCAATGGTCATTGGGTCGGTGGATTAGAAACAGATCGTTTCAGTCAAACATTGGATTGATACCATCCTGTTGGCTTATCAGTAAAAGTTTCTATAATGGTGAAATTCATATCTCATAATTACCGTTGCTATTTACTGAAGCTGAATTACTTGTAGACTGTTCTTTATTTGAATGAGTTTTCAATTTATTTCAGCAAATAAAAGATTATTTTCTCATCCAACATGGTTTTTGGGAATCTCTGATCTTAACACTGCTTATGATTATCTTCTAGAAGACCGTAGCTCTTACAGACCAGGTAAAAAAGTTTTTCTGATGGTTATCGTGAACTCTAAATTTTTAAAAATATGTGTAAGAGACGAAGAATTTAGTTCGTGGAAGGGAATGTTTTTGAAATCTTATGAAGAATTGGATAGAAATAAAACACGTCTATGTACAATTATTGAGAAAATTTTTTCAAGGATTATTTGTCATCTTTTCACCAATTTGGCTCAATATCGATGCTCGTGATCACCGACCTTATATCATTCTTGTTATGTGTTGCAAAAGCAAGAATATCCTGAATGAAATGATAAAAGCTTATACGAACCAAATTATAAGTTAAAAATTTTATCAACATCCATAATTGATTTTAAGAAGAAAAACTGAAGTAGTAAAGTAGCTGTTGTGATTGGAAGGTCTGAACTATTCTCTGGAGAGAGTTACATCTAATGATTGTTTGCAAAATGAAAATTAATAGCAGTTATTTGGTTGGATTTTAACCTAAAAATAAAAATATTGTAGCAGCAAAAGGAGCTCTGAATGACTTGAGTATGCGGTTGACCTCTGTCCTACATTCGCCCGTTATCGAAGATCAAGCACAAACCGATTTACAAAAGGTTAATTTATTAACTTACATTGAAGACAAGAAAAGTGTACTAACTGCCAACATCCTCATCGTATCCTACTCATCCAGTGACGAGAGAGGAATACTGTAGGTATTTCCACTTTTTACTTCCGAATAACAGCAGTTCTCATAATTTTACATTTCATTGAATTAAATTATTTCCTATATCAAATGATACTAAGTGCATAAAGTAAGGAGGGGAAGGAGTGTAATCTAACGGATCAATCAGTGGTGGAAATTGTTGAATTTGAAATCGTGGAAGCCTAATCTGCTAGACATTTCCCCTCTTCCCGGATTTTATTCTGAATTCAGTTCCAGATTTCTCAACACCAAACAGCTGCGTTAGGAGTTTATTTTTTATAAACATCATTTATAATCTACAGATGATGGAATAAATTATTTGTAACTGTTGCAATTTAGATCTAATTCAGTTAATTTTAAATAAAATTTGTGACTGATTGAAAGAGCTACCAAAAAATGTTTCGTTAGGATTCCCGGAAAACATGGCTTATTGAGTTCTACAAAGTAAAACCTACTTATCACTTTTAATTTATTTCGCGCAAAAGTCTAATCTGGCGTGAAGTGACTTGGAATATATGAATAGCTTAGCATACATAAAATAATCAATTTAGCTGATCTATTTTCACTTAATTATTGTAAATAGACAGAAGCTGCAATAGCCCGGAAATTTTTATTCATTATCATTCATCTCAAGAGGGAGTGAATGTGTTATTTTTCAGAACGCAGTGTTTATCAATTTTCAGAAAGATAATTCGAGGAATGATGCATCAGCAGAAAATTTATCTGCAGACGTATCAGCACTATCTGGTTATCAGGAAGTGTCCAAGGTGTTGTATAAGGTATTTGTCTCCTAACCTGTTACTGATTCATTTAACTTAAACAACTCTTCGGAGGTGGATCGTATTAAAACATCTACTTCCAGTTTATTTTGAAATTTTTTAAGCAAAATTATTATTCATTCGTTTATTTGTTTATTATTATCGTTATTAAATATTATTATTTATTATTATTATTATCACCATTAACTATTATTATTATTACTATCATTAATTATTAATTATTATAATATATCATCCATTTGTTTATTCACTTATTTCTTTATTATTATCATTATTAATTGTTATTATTTATTATTATTATTACCACCATTAACCATTATTATTAATTGTTTATTATTATTATTATTATTATTATCATTAATTATTAATTATTGTAATATATATTATTACTTAATAAGAGCCAAAAATTATGCCATAAATATATCAAAAACATTAAGTAACATACATTTTCTACATTTTACTCCTAACTAATTCTTTTTATTTAATAAAATGAACTTACAGAAACCAATTAAGCAAGAACATAAAGATAGGAATAAGCTTAACTCCGAAAAGGAGGAAATCAATTCAGAACATATTCAACATGCATCACTACCATTCTACATCAAGGTATCGAATTTTTATCTAATTTAAAAATTTTAAGAAATTTTCTTTCCGAAAAATTTTAGTGATTGTTATCTCAATATCTCAGCAAGTATATGTACTTGTGTGAGGACAATTAAAATTGATGCAAATATTTAACTGATTTCGTCGAATGGATTGGAAAAAATGAAAGATAAAAAAATCACATAAGAGTTCAATTAAATTGATATTATTTAGACCTACACAATCCGTCGTAGTCGAATTGGGCGCTACTTGTTGTTTAATCGACAATTTTCAACACTCTATGACTTAGTCTACTACTACACAAACTACCAATCACCAATTCCACACAAACTCAACTATGGACCTACAAAGAAGGTTAAATAAGGAAGTTTACTAATAATTGGTGAATTTTACCTGTATCTAAAACATTATCTCATAGGAGCAGAGGATATCTAAATTTATCTCAAAAACATGTCTGTGAAAAGGAGCAATTACTGAATGAGAGATCTAGTTATTTGAATATCGAATTTCATGTTATAAAAAATTAAACGATTGAAAGCTAGATTGCAAGTCTATGGAACTTCAGCACAGGATTGGGATTATGCTTGGCTTAGCTGTACTATACTTAGCATAAACAAAAGTTTATTTTCTAAAGCTCCCAAAATATCATTTTGATTCAGCAGCAAGTTATTTATTTCCACAATGTCCCAGCACCATTTACTTCACCAACTCGCGACATTTATGCAATGACGATGAAAAGTGAGCAATGGGCAGCACGACACTTTGATCAGGTATACAGGATTTAATAAAAACACCTTATTTCTTTAAATGAAAAATTTCTAAACCTTCAATTTTCTCCTTCAATCATTAAAAAAATAGTGATATATAATATAAGCAGTAACATATACGCTACTTTACGTATTTCATTTCAGATAACAGAACCGACACTTCTGTCGCAAACGTTTTCGTTTATTTCCCGTTCTGTTTTCGATCCTTCCAAAAACTCACACATGGAATTTGCGCATTCTATACAACTTACTAGTGATGCTATCGAAGGAGCTCAAAATTACATGAAGCGTTCTATGTCAAAGGAAAATATAGAATCCCTAAAGGTCTCCTAATTTTCTCTCCAGTAATCTAACTTTCCAGACTAATTTCTTTAACTGTTGGTATTTTCTTTCTGGAAATAATTTTCAGGATGATAATGCCCGAATATTCGGAAATAGAAAGGTATATTATAATAATGAGTTATTCTTTTTTCATGCTTTAAATGTTCAATTGTACAACCATGAAAACATGAAAAGCATTGGAAAATCTTTTATCTGAACACATTCTCAAATATTGTTTGTTTAAAAGAAAAAAAAGAAAAAACATTTAGGACACGACTGCCGATCCTGCTCCAAACGATGACTCAATATTGAAGACGGACATTGCCATAGAAATCGACATTTCAAATTTAGTTCACAACTTTTGACGTCATGCTACTAAGCTCTTAGAAATATTTGCCCAGCGACTCTTACAGCTTTAATTGAAGACTTTCTGGCATAATTCCAAAAGATTTCCAACTTCTGAATTACAGAAATATTCTCCGGAAGACATGCTGGGATCTGGAGCATTCGGTGCAGTGTATCGTGGAAAACTAGAAACAGTCGAAGGAGAAGTAATAAGTATTTCCAAAGCTACCATTAAACTTATAAACGTTCAACAGATATATTTGATAAAAACATTATGATACAATAATAAAAATCCTTTTTGCTAATAAGGTAAACGAATAAGGTTAAATAGCAATTTAAATTAAATTCTAATGGAGATATGAGTTCTTAGCTCAACAAAAATTTTAACACTTTTATTATGTTTTTTATCAATCAACGCGTTTTCATTGACAAGGAAAATAAAATACTCTTAGGTAAATGTCGCTATTAAAAAATTGAAAATGGTTGTACCGGAAGCAGATCATCGACAGCCATGGATTTCTGAAATGGAAATTTTGCAGGCAAATTATTAGAAATTTGGAATTAAGGAAAACCATACTTGAATCCAATGACTTATTAAAGCCATATGAACACATTTAGATTGATAACTATGCATGGAACAAAGTTTTTAATTTAATAATTAGTGGAGAGAAAATATTGAAGGGACAAAAGATTCTGAAAGATATTGATAAAAAAACGAAACAAAAAGAGGTTTGCCATAGACTACTAAACCTATCAGGTAAGGAATTTCAGGTAATAAGCCATCCAAATGTAACAAAATTCTACGGCTTTTGTTACAATGAAACGAAAGAGTATGCAATGCTTACATTCGAACTTGTGGACATCGGATCGCTGGCTGACTTTATGAAGGTTCTAATTCAGTAGTTCTGAATCGATATTAGTTACATGTGCTTAATCATCTGATAAATTTTCTAACTGGCCAGTTGATTTCGGAGAATTAATGAGAATATATGCTAGGAACATGAATACAATATATCGGCAAATGAGCATGTTGATTTCCTTACACAAATAGCGCGCGGCATGGCACATCTTCACTCACTCGATCCACCAATTGTACACGGTGACCTCGCTGCACGCAATGTTCTAATTCATCATCATCCAAAAGACGAAACAAGGTGTCTCAGAGGTTTTTATTTTTACCGTACAACTCTAGTTACACTTTTTCGCTGGGGAGGTTAATTCTAATAAAAGATCCTAAGAGACTACCGACACTCATAGATTTTACTGATATGAAAATTCTAGACTTTACAGATACATATTGAAAATAAGTGACTTTGGTTTATCAAAAACGACTCGTCACGAAGCACACTTCTTCCCCGACGATCCGCATAAAATACCGTAAGTTGTGTAGCAATCTATGGAATATATAATTCCGTGCATTTACCAACGAATTTATGACCACATCTGAACTGCATGTCATTTCAGTTTCAAATGGTTGCCACCAGAAGTGTTACATCGTCGAGAGCTAAGCACCAAATCAGATATTTGGGCATATGCAATACTCGCTACCGAAATTTATGGTGTTATTGACCCATATGGAATGCTGCCGAATGAAAAAGTATTGCCCTTCCTAAAAGGTACTTATTTCGAGATTAGTACATCGATAATTGTACGACTCTGCAATATATTCCACTGAAATACGGAATGGAACGAAATCGAACGAAATCCTCAACCTCAATGATTGCATAACTTTTACTTTGGATTTGTTATTATTCATTGAATTCCATTTACCTTCCTTTTTTCTTTATTAAGCAGGATTTGATTTATCATTAAAAAATTCTAGATGGTCATCGGATGGAGAAACCATCGACGATGCCTTATTACATCTACAATATTATATTACAATGCTGGCGAAAACAGCCTGTAGATAGACCAACCTTTAATGAAATTGTTCGTGATTTAATGCCGTATTACATCGAATATGAAAGTAGTCACATCATCATGTTAACATCCAGGATAATCGCCGAGTCCATAATGAATAAAAAAGGTTAAGAAACAGGATGTTTCGTTATGTTTTTATTCCATAGAGATGTATCTGTTGTTAATGGCATGTACAAAGCAAGAAGAAGACTTTTAAAATTTAGTAAATTCTGTAAACCACCAAGTAGATGCGCAAGAAATCCCAGACAAAAAAATATCAGTGGGACTTTCTCTACTTATAAACATATTAAAATCAGATAAACAACCATTTCCATAGTTATCAACTAATAGAAGAGTAGATATACTTCAAATTAGTGAAGAATCAGAATGAGTTATCCAGAATCAGTCCGTCATGAAAGACAGAAAACAAATCATTAACTGTTCACATAAAATCATCGGAATCGTTACCACCATCATGATTCGAATGCATCTTTTTTTCGTTGAACACATTATCATAAGAACGCATTTGGCGCTCTTTTTCCCTTCGTTCCATTTCTGCTTTTTCAGCTTCTTTGAGTTCGCGTTGCTTTTGTTTCTAAAAAGAGTTCAGGAAATTTTGACCAGAAAAGAAATATAATTAGTCGATACACTAATCAAAATTATAAAGCAACAGATCCAATTTTAAGATACGCATCGCAAAAGCAATGATCCTTCTAACAAAGTTCATTCTACACCCAAGAATTTCACTTAAGATTATGGTCATTTTAGGACATACCATATGGAAATTAGTCAAAAGATGTAAACACTAGCAAATGAATTAAAATATTTCTGTAAAACATGATTGTGATTTCTAAACAACTAGAAGTAACGGAAGGAAATTAGCAAACAGTTAAATTAAATTTCGATTACCTTTCAATAACTTTTAGAAAGTCTTTTAAACGCTCGCACTTATAATGCAAATAAAGCACATCACCTTAACCTGGCGCTCCTTTGCATCTCTCTCTTCCTTTTCAACACGATAATCAATATCTACTCGTACTTCAGTTTTGTTTAACCTGTTAACTATATCATTCATCCGCTTCGCAATACGTATCTGAAAATATGAATGGCATAAAAAGGGAATATTCAGCTGAAGAATAAATGTTTGGAAAAATAGAAAAGACAAATAATCATCAGATCTAGAAGCCCAGATTTCATTTATTAAATTTCATTGGTAATTTATCAACAAACAAGCTGAAAAATCAGGTGATTTAGAACCAGATATCGTAAATTTTTTTGGAAAATATTTAGCTAGGCCTTTATCACATCAGCACAAGAGAAATGCATATAGTGTAAGAGAATTAATATTTCATTTACTATAGAATAAATCACCTTTTTCACTTTTTTTTCATCCTTGAAGCCAATTTGTCCAACATCCATATTGCCTGTTTTCTTCAAATTATCCCATGGAGTATAAACTATATCGATATTATTCATTTTGTTGCCCTGACAAAAAATGAAGCTCTCATAACATTTACAACTTTTCGTAAATGCTAAATAAGAATTCAAAACATTTTTTAAAACATGATTCTTTTATTCAAAAAACAGAGACGAAGTGGGTTGGCATCTCCGGCATTTAATTTTAAATTAGTAAAAATTAAAAAAAAAGGTTTTTTTAATTAGTGAAGACCTGGATGCTATTAGCTTTCACCAATTGAGCGCAATCTTCAACCAAAGCTTCTGGCATATCATCGATTGTCTGTCCCGAAGGTAGACGCGCATATACATGTGCGGATGATACTTTGTCAACATGAAACCAAACATCCTCCGGCCAACCCCATCTAAAAGTGATAGCGTAAATTTCTGTAATTCTTTCCTTTTCTACATATATATATATATATATAAATTCTTAATTTTTACTGATCATTTTCCAGTTTCTTTTTCCCAGCAATAGCACAAATTCTAAATTTATTATCTAATTTTATATAAGCCAAGCATAGGAAAGTCACTCCTGTTATTCCGCCCTCCCAACATCTGCATACACCATCACAAATAAAAAAAGTAATTTGCACAGCGTATCCAAATATTACTTCAACAAATCTTCACCTTATCAAATTTTCATTTTCAAATTTGTCAACGCCCATATATAGCATCACTGGTGGATCGGTAACATTTGATGTGAATCTTATTACCATAACCTGCAAATATATACAATTTTTCTTTCCGATCAAGCAAAACCCAATTACAATTGACCGTAATATTCCCATCACTGCACATTGGTCACAATTTATTTCTGACTGGATTGAACTGTTGAAATTACTTTATATGAAGTAATCCACATAAATATAAATAAGTGTAAACAAATAGCCTGTAAATTAGTATATAATGGTGATTATAAAGTCTTCGCGCAAAAATATAAAGTACTTCATATAAAATAATCTAAGAAAAAAGTGTACATACGTACGTTAATGGGAATACTAACGGTTTGGCAAGTTTGTTAACTTACGGTAGAATAAGTTGTTAGTAAATAGAGTGAAGAGTTGTCTAGAACATTCTGATGGCCTTTGTTTACGCTTTAATTTTTACGCCATATTTTCAGTTCCTGATAATCCAGTATTCAAAGTCCACTATCTCCTGTGATTATATGACCTACTTATTTAAAAACACGGCAGAAATTCGCCGGTGCAAATTAATTTAATCCTCTAATAGTAACTTCCTCATTCTAATAAAAACTACCCGGCCTCATAAAAAGTGGTTGATAGTAGAAAAATGCTAATAAGCAACAGCAATTAATGTATACAAATATATCAGTATCAGAAGCAAAACTTCGCTTCACAACAACGCTAACTGCTTGTTGTATTCTCAGCAAGAAAACACGTATTGTGATTACTTACCTCAATGCTTTCAAAGCTTTATAATATATAATCCAGTTTTCCTAATTCGTAGCGCATATGATCAGTGACAAATATCCTGAAAAGGAGACTAAAAATAGCCTTCAATAGGATCTTTTTCATCAAACAATAAAAACGGATTTATTTGTTTATGAAAAAAGTAAAGAGCTAAAAATTTAAATTAAATAAACATAAGATGCATTCAATTTTTCCACACTGATTATGCTGTATGTCGTTCACATATCAAAGAAATATCACAAAATTCGAATATTAAGAAACAAAACCTGCGTATAAAACAATAAAAAGAATGTAGTTTTATGATACCAAAATAAACTAGGTTTTCAGTCTCACCAGTTATTGTAGGGAAAATATGATATCATACGATATTTTCAAAACTTTGTAAAGATACCGTATTTCCTACTTTTCGTGAACAAAATTGAACATTAATCAACAATGAAAGAGAAACGATGTGGGATCGAAGGGAAACTGAAGCAAAGAATAAGATAAAAGTCATATTGCTTATTTCGAAAAACAGTTAAGTGTTGCTTTTGGCAAAAAATTTGATACAAAGAATTTACTATTTGATCTCTTGATTTCTCTTTTTCTTTTTTTTTAAAGTTAAACCACTTAATGGAAAGAGAACAACCGACAGTATTTGAAAAGATAGTTTAAACTGACGAGAAGAAAACATGAAAACGAAAAGGAACCGGATTAAGAAAGCACACAAATACAGCAGTCGAGAAAACACAGACAAAAAAATTAATTCATCTCATATTTAATGACCAAAATAGAAAACAGCATCACTTTTAATAACAAGCAACAAAAACACATAGAGACAAGACCTATATCTAAAAGCTATCAGTCTTAAGGTAACACTTTTCTAATGAAGTGGTAATGCTCATGCTTGCAATCAGCAGTCAACTAATAAAAAAAGACTAAATTATGAATCGATTAAAGCCAAATCATTTAGTGCTTACAGTTGGTCTCTTAACATGCAGATTAACCAGAACTGAAGCAACCTTAGTATCAACAAAGATTTCGAAAAATGACCTTTTTGTACAGAAAATTTCATGCGATTCTCGTATTCTATAATGTCAGTTGCTCAAAAATGAATTAGGAAAAGTCTAAAAAAATCTAGAAATTTAAAAAAACTGAAGTAGGTCATCATCATAAATTTTCTAAACGCACCCTCAATATAAAACTGAAAAGATTCAAAAAGCTACAACCTCAAAAAATACAATAATATTCAGATAGCGTCTTCTAAGCTTGGGCAATTGGAAAATGCACAAGTATTTTCTATGACTTAAACCTATGAGAATGCTTTTTTACAGAGTGTAAACAGCTTATAACTCTTTCAAGTGAAAATGAATTAGTAGAAATTTAGAAAGCATCTTCATGAATTCAATCGAAAATTATGAGGTTAGTTGAGCTCTAAGTAATGCATTTTGAATCGCTACTCCAATATGTTATACCACTTTGCAGCATCTATTTTTCACTTGCAGATACAATGTATATCCGATCTAAAAGTCGATAATGACGATTTAATAAAAAAGAAAGGCAAAAAGTACAGATCTTTTCACAGAAATCATTCCGAAATTCAGGAAACTCACTACGTGGGGGGTGATGAGTCTCGAAATCGAATTAATGTAACGACTCCATCAAATTAAAGTAACGTGTAACACACCACTCTTTGCGTCCAGTTCGATTATTTTGCTTGAAGATACAATCAATCTGTATTATTTTTTACCAAATGAACTAGAAAACCAAATGGTCATGAAACTGAACGGCAAAAGAATGAAAGGTCTGTTTGTTGGAATGCAAAATAATAATAATACAGATCGATTACTTTTAATAAAACTTTTTTTTATAAAACGCCATACTTTTATAAACATAATCTGAACCTTTAGTGAAAATCGGAAAGGCGTTGATGTTTTCAGAGAAATAAATGATGACAGTGGATTAATATGAGTGCTGAATATATAGAAATAGTGTTATTTCCTATAATATAGAAATCGACGATATTGTATACTCTCAGTCTATAAAATTTGTTCCTCATTTTTATTACTTAAAGACTTTCATCCCCAATGACATAAATGCATGAAAATTGTCTACAGAACGTTCCAATTTGTCAAACCAATCCGAGAGAAAAACTAAGAAAAAAAATTATCAATATTTAGTTCAAAGCTGGGCTGAGAGTTCTTGGGTGGTCAGACATTATGGCTAGTATGTCTTTTTGATGTCAGTGATTAACTTTTCCAAAAGGTGACAAACTTGAACAAAATCAATTGATTGCAGTGTTCGCATTGTGATGTATGGTGTAGGGAACCAGCTGCTGGAAACGACGATGCAATATGGTGCGTATCACTTTCACATCAATTACAGCTGAAAAAAATAATCACAGCTTGGCAAAAATTTATCCATTTTTACAGAATGTAGTAACTGTGGTAAAAAATAATAAATATATATCTCATACAAGGTTTGAAGTTGTATTGCAGTATATGTGTAGGAGTGGAATGACACAGAAAATACAATGAGTTTAAGGACAACCAAAAAAAAAAAAGATGCCAAACTGAGCATAAATTAATAATGAAAACCCAACCTCACAATAGTTGAATACAATATAAAAATCTAAAGCTTACTTAAACAAGTCATCATTCTCTGCGAATTTACCCAACTCATGTCAAATTATCTGAAGAGCGCAGAGTGAAGGAAAAACAAAATAATTTTCTTACCTGCGAAGTGATTACTCTGAAGAGTGATTTGACTAGCAATATCTCCACGTCGAACGTTCAATATGCTGAATGTCACTGTATCATAGTTCTTCTGATAAAGTAGCTAATGACAATATTTTCCATTTTCTTATGATCCTCATCACAGCAGAATTGCTAGAAAAATTATTCAATGTATTTCAAATATTTCAGCAGCGGATTCTGTCAACTGTGCCTATAAAAAAAAACAATGCCTACTCCTCCGACATGTAATAGTAAAACGACACCATAAAAATATCAAGAAAAAAGTTTCACGCCAATAACTTATATTGAGAGAAGGTATGATCGGTAAAGGATGCGTGCTTTCAAGGTGATAGATGGCGACAGATGTCACTTACCTTGTGGTTTCTATCAAACTCAATTCTCATCACATTTTCCAGTGAGAAACATTTTCATCACGCCCTACACAGAGCAATAATCACACTACGAGTGCCGCGATATCCCAACGATTTCCCCCGCGACTTCCAATTATATCTAGAGCACCATCTCTTTCTCTCTCTCTCCACTCTCCTCAGGACTATCCCGAAAACCCCTCTCGCCCTTCCCTACTGCCAAACAACAACCTTACCATTTCCCAGTCGTGAACCTTTTTCTTTATCTCTGTCATATCAATGCCTTCTATTTCCTTACTCTCCTACTCTCTTCACTCTTCGCTTTCTCATACGGCCTTACAAATCTTTGCCGTTCTTCATCAATGAATCACCGTCCATCACTGAGTCACCGTTTATTGGAAGAGGAAATGATAAGATTAGCGCTTACTTCGGCCCATTGAGTTTAGTCAGTCAATTTTCGTGCACAAATATGTCATAAAGTAGAAAATCATCAAAGAGTAAATCATGAACAAAAGGTGATAGCAAGTGACCACAGTTGACGGAGAAGGAAAATCTTTTGACGTACGTGACCTCATAATTGCCTATATAAACTGTTTTATTTTAAAATATAATAGAAATATTTATTTCCACATCGTGGACAATTCTTTTTGCACCAGTGTATGAGATGATTCGTTTTTCTTTTGATTTCAACGAGTGGAATTTTGAAGAGCGCCTTTAATAAGCTAAGGCTGTTTTTGTGATTGGTCCGATCCAAAATACACTTTAATATTTTCCAAATATATTATTTCCTATCGAAAACATCGTTACCGACTCCGGCAAGCGTTTGGTAATTGGGATCAAATGTTCCTATGATGAGAATACATGAATTAAATTTACCTATTCATTGATCGTTAGCAAGAAGCATCGGAAAGTAGGACTAGGAAAGATTTTTCCAATAACGAATGTAAAAAGACAAATAAGAAAATAATTGAGACTTTTTAATATGAAAATACCGGTGGAAGTTGAAGTCTTCAGAGATGTAGGACAGATGAACACATATTTGTGACCACACTGAAAATATGCTTATAAAAGCTTACCAGCTATACCGCCTTGCTCTGGAACTTTAGGTACTGCACCTCCTGCACCACCTGGAAGAACACCACCACCACCTTTATTTCCAAAGACGTCATTGCCTAGACCAGCCATTGTTTGATAATTTGGATCGTAGGTTCCTTGAATAATTAGGATTTTAATCAAGTGCCTAAGATTATGACGACACTTTTATAAAAATGCTTCATAATGCTTGAGAATAACTTCTGAGGTTTCAGAAATATTTTAATTAAAAGAGGTCCCAGACACGCGCGAGTATTAAGATTTTCAAGTCAAGGCTTCGGTTTTCAGTAATCCATTTACTTAATTGTAGGCACTGTAAGCGCTTTAAAAAACAGCCCATCTTACCGGCAGTGCCACCTTGAACTGGAACTATTGGTCCGCTAACACGTGGTGCAACAGGAGAAGCTCCACCACCAACACCACCTGCACCTGCGCCACCTTTGTCAGCACCAAAAACATCATTTCCTAATCCAGCCATAGTCTACAGTATTTTTTAGTTTAACTTCACTTATCTTCCACTGTAATTCTCCTGAATATTCTACCATATCTAAAAATGTTCCAGAACATGTTTAAAGTTATTACTATCAATAAGCCGATTACTGCAGCTACAAAGGACACCTAGAAAAAAGTTACCCAGGACAACTACAATACCTGATAGTTTGGATCAAAAGTTCCAGCTATTGCGCCTTGAGCTGGTGCCTTAATAGCGCCACCATCAGGAACTACAGCTGCATTTCCTTCTCTATTGTCCTTTGCTCGAGCACCTAAACATCAGTTTTTCACTAATTAATCAAGAATGTGATCGAATTATCACTAAATTTATCAAACAAAAGTAATAACATTATTCTACCAAAAAAAGTAAGCTAACATGATCATGTATTATACATGGTTTAACTGGTCAATTTTTTAATCATAACTCGTAACAACAATCAATCAATTTCTTAATGTTTTTACGGCTTTGGGATATAAACTGGATGAATTGGATTAATGCACTATAGGATTTGGAAGTTTTGTTATTTTCTTAATAACTTGATCTAACCAAAACTGAGAAAAGATCAGGATTTAACTCCGCACCTACTTTGTAGCATCTTTAAACTCACAGAAGTTACGAAATCGCAAAGATGGTTTGACATAGTTTTACAGTTTGTGTTTTCCTGTCCTGGTCCAAATAATCCCATGTCTCCGATTTTTTAGAAAGCCAAAAGTATTAGAAGAGCAAATCAGTATTAGCAAAAGCTAAATAGGTAACTTACCCTTTTTGTCTTTACTTTTGCTTTTTTTATCTTCTTTTTTTTTCTAAAATATTTTCTGTTTACAATTTTGGTACCAAATTTTGATATTCAAAAGTTCTCAACAACGGAAAACCAATGATATAAATGAGCTGATCTCATTTTTTCAAAAAGTTTTATGATCCATCTGAATGACGCAGATATTTGAGTTGTTTGAATTGAACTCGCCTAAAATTTTGAAACTCCGTATTGACTTTTGGAGAACAAGGGAAAAAATCAAAAACTTTCGGACTTTTTTAGAGGAGCAACCAGATACAGAATTAAGATTGACAAACATCACGATCATCAGCATCACTGTCCATAGAAATGAAAAACTGAATTCATCCATTACTATCTTCTTTTTCCTGAATAACAGTCTTTGCCTGAATTCTTTCAAACTGAAGTTTTCATATCTTAAGCTTGATTTATTTTCAAAAGTCTAATGTCGAATCCAGGCCTAATCTATTAATAACTTTATTGTTGTTAAATCAGGCTTACAATTACTACCTACACATTTCTATATACAAATAGAAATACCACTCTAAAATCTTTTGATCAAACATACCAACGGTAACCTTTAACAGCTTTCCAGCTTTCTTGAACTTGCTGATCACAGCTAAATAAGTAGTTACTGAGAATGGTTTTGAGAGCAGCTGCTTTATAAAAGTCTAGAATTAACAAATACAAACCAGTTGTTAATTGAAGAAAATATAATTGCACATTTTCACGAAAATTTAAATACTTTGTTGGTCAAATTTAAATATTTACTCTAATTATATAACATCCGGTGTTGTTAAACTTCGATGTAAAAGTCATCAGTTTTTTTTTTTCAATAGTTAAAACTGCAACAGATGTCTCAGTTTTAACTGTCAATGGCTGTCACTCTTTTACCTAAACTTTTTGGCAATCTTCCCTAAAATTGTGGTGTTTTAAACTTCTGCATTACAAAGCTGTCATTATCCAGACAATCAAACCAACCAAACGTTTAGCATTATAAGCATTTTTTAGGAGATTTCTCAACAATTACAGTCAACGAAAAATATCAGACATACCTTGTGAACGCATTTTTCTGTAGCGAAACATACTGATTCCCATTCTGTTTCATTTGTCAAGCTAGCAGTAAAAAGTGAGAGGAAATGGTCATTATGCATATGCAACGAATTATTATAAAAGCAAAAGAATATAACTAGTTTATAATCAAACTTTTCAGGATTAGTAAATTTCACCTACCAAACAAAGATATAAAATTCATCATAAGGTGAAAGTATCATTGAAAAATCGGTGAACTTGATCAGAGTAAACTCCTGATATGGGATATAGTTACTTTTCCTGATTAAAGAAAGAAGACACTGGTATGATTAGGAAGTGCAAAATTTACTTCCAAAATACTGATGTACGATAATATAATAAATGAAGTGGAATCAATGTAAGGAGGATAAATCTTCATGAATTGCCTGCTAAAAAACAATGATCAGAATGGAGAATAATATCTCCAAGTGATGCGATCATGTCTTCACTCTCGTCTCAAATTTGCAAACATTATCATTCAGCCAGAAATTCTTTGATTCAGCGGGCTTTCGATCTGGCATCCTTTCTAGGAATTCCAGCAACGATACCTGATTCAATCCCGCATTCATCAGCACCACGGAGAATACGGAAGTAACCGGAAAATACTTTCATAAATGGCACAGTTAACCGTATGGAAAGTTATATCTACTGAGTACCTTTTACACTTATCGGAGTGTTAGTAAATTTTAAATCAGATTAACAATGAATAAGAAAATATATAGTGGATCTCTTTTTCTGCAAAAAAGAATGAAACTGAAACTGACTTACCATCTTCTCCCCAATCATTATTCCACGAATTAGCTGCCAACCAGTACGATACACCTTGATCGATACCCCAACCAAGTATTTTCACGGCATGTCCACCACCCACAGACCCCGCTACATGCTGAATATTATACATTGATTCTTCTTAATCCAGTGAAATTTCTTGAAAGTAACTATTGACTATGGCATATCAGTTCGCTACAAATTACGAGACATGAACGCTTCTTCAAAATGAACAAGAAAGTGTTGTGTTTCTATATGAAATATACGAAGTTAAATAACAGAAAACAGAAATGATAGTTTCAAGAGTTTTACATCGATCAATGAGCTGAATAAGAAACACAACATGATTTCTCTTTCGTTCCAGTTCAAGTGGGATGCTGAATACTAATTCTCAAAAAAATTTCTGCACACTCTAATCCCTTTGTTTAAGGCACACGTTCGGATTACTACTACTGTTGATGTTTCATTTATAAAAATAAGACATTTAAAAACTTTAGTTCTTTCTAAATTCAATATTTTTAAGTTTTTAAATCTTTTAGACCATTCCTTCGAATCCCACAATGAACACAAAAAGCACAAAACAAAGGAAACATTATTTTAATAATGAATTCATTTCTATTATCTAACTTATCTGTTTAAAAACAAATATAAAGGACAACTGAGCCAAAGTCGGCTCAAAAGACTTGACTATCAGACGGAAACACCAATAATTTTTAGGTCCCTTATCAATTCATTTCATGAAATTTCGCAACTTCATAAAGACCTTGTAAATTCCGCTGGTATAGTGCAGGAAATCAGTGTATACTTCAAAAGAAGCTTCAACCGGACCCAACGTCATGATTTCTTTCTGGATCGATTCTACATCGTTTTCAACATTGTAAGCCTGTTCCCCTGCAAATTTTAACAATCAGATTATTTAAATATTATAATCAAGCTATATCTGAACACTCAAATCATTTTATCTATGGTTGTTAATATCTGACGGTTTTCTAAGATACACAACGAATTGTTAACTGGAAAAGAGAAGAGCTGAATGAGAAGAGCAAAATCAAACTTTGATTGATCCTGAACCATTCATTTATTTATTCAGTATTATTAATTATTATAATTAATTAATATTATTTTTTTTAAATTATCATTATTATTAATTATTATTAAATTTCAGTGCCCAACAGTAGCTAATCAATCAGTAAATTCATTATTTAAGCTCCAGAGAGATATTAGAAAGTACCAGTCTATTGCTCCTCAACGATATTCAGATTCAAGATTAATCGAAGAGAACTAACCGTAATATTTGTCAGCCTTGTACGACTTTGTATAATTTTTATCACACTGCTTGTAGCATTTCGGCGTTGGGTAAAGGTCATGTTTACATGGCTCATAGTGCGTCTTATTGCTGTGATGTTCGCACGGGGGGAATGGGTAAGGTCGGCAGCCGCTGTGATTCGTATAATCACTTCCCGTAACGATACCACTTAAAACCCAATACTTCCATGCTGCCATCGGTTCACCACCAAAACAGCTGCAAGGTATACGTATCAATAGGCTACTTGTCCTCTTCTTAAATTATTGCATAAATTTGATAATAAATTCTGGTCTTTATAATCGCTACAAACAGTTAGGAAATTGAAAAAGAATTACTAGTCAAGTATAAAAGGAAGTGACGCATCAATGAATCTTGTTGCAGTGATCTATGACATCCAATAACTTGAGGCAAACAAATGAAAAAAAGATGAATGGATATAAAAAACCAGATAAAATGCAACAATTTACCCGAAACCACAAGTTTTGCAGCAGCTAAGAAGATCATCCGCTGAAAGTATTACTTGTTTCTTACCCTTCGACGTAATGCAAATTCGGTCTGACATAGCTTCCACAGCAGCAACAGCCCAACAGGAACCTGAAACAAGTTACTCATTCATGTATCAAATACTTAGAGCATTATAATCTGCACATAATCAAAAGACTTATACTTTCACATTTGAATATACATTTTGTCAGAATGAGAGCCAAAAGTCTTACCGCAAGAAGACTGATCTCGGATATTCCTAAGCGATGCACATTCTGGCCAATTTTTACGAGCATCAAATGATTCCGGAATAAATATATTAGAATGTCGTATTGGTGACAGGTTCTTCTTATGCTCTACGGATTTTTTTCTATTATTTACACCAAGCAAACCATATTTCACAGTATCGCTATATAAATTAAATTTATTCATTCCTGCCTGAAAATACAAGAGCTACTGAACTTGGTGCAAACTCGCAAACAAATCTAACTGCTTTCTTCACATTTTATGTATCACTGATCTTCATTAATGACTTACTTTCCATAGTGTTTGGTGTGAGTTGACGTAATCGATAAGTTCCTGACCGGATAAATTTTCTGCTTCCGGAGCTATTTTAGTGTTCCTGTATTTATCAATAACAAATCTGCAAAAATATTCAGTATATATTCTTGCAATTTAAAATCTAAATGCAGTGTTTAATTAAATAGTAAAAAGGACCATAATTTCTAGTTCCATTTCAAGTATTCTAGTTCCCATGTTTCTGCAACTGGGTTTCTAATTGTGGTCAAGATTTGCTTAAATCACAATGTGCTTACCTCTTCTTTTCCTTTGAAGATTGCCAAAGGGACTTCGTCGAACTTTCTGGATCAGTGACCAATGCTACTACAGCTGTCAAATAGTACAGTGGAAGCAGAAAAAACCACAGCAACGGTAGAAGGTACATTTTCTTGAAATTAAATGGGAATTTTTTCTTTGAGATTTTAACAGCATGCTGTAGTAATTTGATGCGGAAAAATGATAAAATGAAAAGTTTCCTCAATAAAATAACCAACCCTTCCCACGAGACGGTTGATTGCTCTGATATGATAAAATCAGTATAGCAAATTTTATTATCTTTGTTGCCGATCATTATTACAAATTCCGATATGCCGTTATGTTAGCTTTATTAAACATTGTTATCAACAAAAAAGAAGGAAAAAATAGAAATATATTACAGAAATTCTATTTACAAAAATTTATCGATGCAAATAAGTCATTGCGATTTATAATTCATTGCAGTAATCTGAAAATTCTTCTAACCTATAAATTTTTAATTCAAGATTAATGACACAAATGAAGAGGATTTTTTCAATCCGCATTCTCTTAAGAATGCTTGCCGATAAAGAATTCCGATTTTCCTAGACAAGACGAATGAACCAGACTGAACAGTTTACATCCAAATTTAATTATTTTTCACTTTATATAAAGGCTGCTGTAATGCAGTACATACAAAAAAATGTAATGCAGTACATACCCAACAATTTGTAAAAGTAGCAATAAATAAATTCAAACTATAATGACTAAGTTTCTATCCCTATAATAAACAGAAGAGTCTGATGAGAAAAGAATATAAATGGGCGTGAGTATGAATCTTAGTGTAAATATGAGATCAACTTGCAGCGCTTCGGACTTAGAAATCGGTTGAAATCGGCACTGGAAATGCATTTATGAGCTGCTTCAACCTTCGGCAAAGTGAAAGAAGAAAGAAGCGAAAGAGTGTGGCAAAATGAAGTTGAATAACACGAGCATATTTAAAACCGTTGATAGAGACCTGTAGAAATCGATTGATAGTTTTATGAAGGAGTGAGAGAGAGAATCGTGACCTCTAATGCTGGCAATTATGATCTCAACGTCGTTTTCTGATTTGGTCGGGCAACAGCATCTTGGACAACGATTATCGTCCTTTCCCGGAAAACTATATTCCAGTTTGCGTAGTATATTGACAGAAAGACATTATGGACGAAATGATTCTTTTCATCCTGAAACAATTCACATCACAGAAATTTTTACAGTAGATCCAATTACCATGGTCTCTCATCTAAATAAATCCCGAATTAAGATTCTTAAATGTCATATTATCTTTATTAGAACAACTGCAAGTATTACTGACAGTGGTAGGTATTTTACAGCGCTAAGTTTCAAGATCATACAACACAAATATTAAACCACAATCAGAAATAAGAAACGAAAATTTATTTGGCAGCGACGTGAGCATTCGAAAGTGAAAGCCAACGAATGGAAAAGTAGTTTTTCAAAAAGAAAAATTAAGCAACGAGCTGATTCTGAAAAGTTTTTAAGTAGAAAAGCTAATGAGTAAATTTTGTTATTATTCAAAAGAATCATAATAATATCAAGATTATATTTTTTTTTATGTAGTTTATAGTTTTTTTTTTTTTTTTTTATATTTTAGTTTTTTCCCAAAAAAAAAAAAAAAAAATTAAGAATCTTCAAAAAGGAGGAAGAACAATTAGATACAGAAAGTTTTTACGAAATGAAAAACTTCTTACTTATTAGTTGTCACGGTATAAAAAATAAGATGAATTAATACAACAAATTTTATAAAATGCTCCTATTTATTGACAAATATGATTAGAATTGATTTGAAACTGGATAATAGAACCATTAAATGAAGCTTACTTAAAACGAGTAATTAATTATTTTTAACCGGATATTTATTAGTTTTATATACTGTAGTCACTGCTAATTCTTTCCTATTGTATAAAAACTTCTTCGCGACGAACGGCTGGTTGCTCGATGAATTGTTCAATAGGTGCAGCTTTCCAGCTGTCGTTGTTTTTTTCGCAGTTAAGGAAGAACACTACTTTCATCAAAGGAGTAGGATAGTTTCTGTATTGGAAAGGAATGCTCAGTGGTAAACTATATTTAAGCAGCAAGAAAACATTGAGAAAAATAGAATTCAAAAACTAACTGCTATTGACAGTCACCAGCAAGATCAATAAGACCACAATTTTTGTATTCTGGTATACTGTAATATATAAATGTTGATCACTGATTGTGTGAATCATATAAGATGACTAGAAGTTGTAAATATCCCATATCCTTAATTTTATTGGTGTTTTATAAATTTTAGGAGTACATAAAAGGCCAAACAATTATATTTCAGATAGAAAATGACGACATTGCTATTACGGATCAGTCAAGCAGTCTTCGTCTTTTTTCTTACAATTATGTACCAAATATTAGTAAGAAATTCCTGAGATTCCTGACATTCCTTAATAAAATGTGGTAACACTTTCAATTGTCTGATTCAAACGAACAATCTGGATGGAAGTGCCTACTGTTAGAATGAAATGGATCTAGAGAAAATCAAAAAACTGTCCACAACAAAAAGTTCAGTAATCAGAAAAAAATTAATGAAAATATATAATAATAAAATTTTTTCATTTCAGTCAAGCGTTCTAATTGTCATTTCATTAGCACACAAAAAGCTCACACAAAAAGCCTCGAATTCAAGATCGAAAGGACAAAACTGAACACTGATGCTTGCATTCCTTTCAACTATCAAAATGTTTGGGAATTCACTATAATTTGTAATAATTGAAATTTAACAAGTAATCAAGTAAAAGGCATTTACTTCAAGGTTTCAGCTTTTTGTTGCTCATGAAATCCATCAAAAAAATGGAAATATTGTTATCGTTAAAATGCTTTTACATAAAAAGGTTAGTCTATACCTTTTTATGTAAGATATTCGTTTTAAGAGGTGTACCTTTTAGATACAGATGAAACTACAGAAGTATAATTAATTAAACATTTCATAACAAAAAAATTTTTTTTTAAAAGAATTTTTTACCAATGATTTTAATTTATATATGAAATGTACAAAGCTGAAATAATAGACTACCAATTAAGTTTAATCACAGTTCTGAAAGGATTCTTTTGTCTATTAGATTTTACATTCAGATATACTTTACTAAAAAAAATTGGAAAAGGAAAAAATGAAAGTAATATTTACCACGTTGATTTCAGCATTTTCGAACGACGCTTGTTGATTTCATTGAAATTTAAACAAGAAGCGCTATGAGTAATCGCATGATCTCTGCTTTTAGGTAAAGAAAAAAGTGAAAAGTGCGCATACTCCAGCACCAGAGGAGAAAATAAGGGATAAACAAGATAAAAGTAACAGTCCAGATGGAAAAAAAAAAAGGGCAGCGCCAGAAGAACAACACGTTTCAGCTGCTGAAAATGGTACATAGACTTTAGATTACTAAAGTCCATTTGAAGATCTTTGAGAAATCTCAATTTTGTCATTTACTGATCTTGAGTTGAGCATTATTTAAGAAATCATTATTTTCCTGGAAGAAAAGCCAAATGGTTCAAAATGAAATCAAAAATGCACTGAGTACACTCAATGTTGACATTAATTTTAGAAAAAATCCTAAAAAAAGAAAAAAAATTTAGCCGACAAAGAAAAAGAGCGCTTAAAGAAGATGGAGGAAAAGCGTATTGAAGAAAGAAAACCCAAAATTATGAAACGAAGTGCTAAAGAGGTGTGAAATTCAATGCCTTTTTTGAAGAAAAAATATTTTTAACATTCGCAGTTTTTTAACAGTCAATATTTCAAGAAAATCACTGAACGATGCAAAGAACGGCTGATTTTACAGGTATTTAAGTATTTCAGAAGTTGTGGATATCTGATATCCGAATGTTTATCATTCAGTGTTGCAGGAACGAATAGCGAAAGGTAAAGTGACACGTGGCAAAGGTGATTATTCGACTATGGACGATGTACTGAGTGATTGGGATTCTGAAAGAGATGGTAAAAAGAAAAATGAGGTGAATTCGAGTGATATGCTGTACGCTAAATTAGTTACACTGGCATTCGTCCACTAAGTTTTATTACCAATGAAAATATGTTGGTAGCAACTTAAGGGACAGTTAGCCTTGGAAATTGTCGTACACTGAAACAAAAAAACCGAGAAAAATAATTCGACGGTTAATAGGATCAGAAAGGCTAACTTTAAGTAGTTTGCATGGAATTAATTAGACAAAAGACTTAAATATGATTATAGGATGATGGTCAGAAATCAAGAGCCAATACAAATCTCGAAGATGTTGATGACATCAAAAAGATTCCATTACTAGCTTTTTTTGCATTAACTAAGTAAATCTAATGAAAGTTTAATCAGCACTTCAAAAACTAATGTTAAAAGATAACAGATGAAACTTGATAAGCAGAACTGATAAAAAAATTTTTCATGTTTATTTTTGTGCCAAAATGATGACTTCTTCATTGAATCTATAGTTTGTATCACAGCGATATAAGAAATGATTTGAGAATAAAAAAAAAAAAAACCGGCAGGGAATGGTGATGGGGAAGAAGAAAAAAAAGAGGATAAAGGTGGTGAAGTTTGTTGATTCTACACAGACCATTACAAAAAAAGTCTTATTGTCAATAATATGCTCTTAATTATTTCCTAACGATTGAAAATGAATACTTTGAGAGGTCGCCTGATTGAAGATAAAATATTATTTGGTTGAAGAATTTTAGTTAATTTTTACTAAACACTGTTTCATTAACTAATTACTTGAGGTGAGAAGAAAGAAACTGATAGCAGAGGGAAAAGCAGTGGTGGAGGTACAGCAAAATATGTTACAAAAGGCAGTACAAAAAACGCCAAACGACCATCTGATAGCATTAAAAAGGTGGATAAAACAGCTGGTAGTCAGGTAAAGAAATTCATTTTTGAAATGATATTTTCAACTCTCCTACACACTTCACAAAATTCTCCAGTTTATTAATTGTAGATTACTTCGTTTTACTTAATTAATTATCTAATTGGTATTGACAATTAGCAGGCCTATATCATTAACATTTTCAGGAGAAATGATGATGTCCCTCTGTTTATTGGATTCGCATTCCCTTGTATATTTCTAAAGCCCACCTATTTGGCGGAAAGATGGAAAGTGTAAGACAATATCAACTGATCCAGTCTGATTTTATTGCATGTTTCCTTATACGATTACAAATTATATGTTCATACTGTGTAAGGTAACGGAATGAAACAGTCACTTCGTCAAAGTAATACGTCAAATGTTCCTGAAATTAAACAGGATATATAAACTAAAGACTAAGTCTTTTATTTTCTTAATGATCTATCGTCCTAAATTATTAACAAAAAATGAGCACTCATTAAGAAAACTAAGCAACTCTTCTGCACTGCACTTCCTAATGTTAAGAAACATTTTAAACTTCGCTTTTATCACTTTCAAAACATTAAAATCAACAATAAAAGAAATAAAGATTTGCAAGCTGCAGAAATTCAATTCATCTTCTACAATAATCAGTGATAAGTATGTAAGCATACGGCGTCAAGATAGAGCAGTAATAAAATTCATAACAAGCTTTGAACTTCAAACACGAGGTTTAGTAGAGTCAAAACTTGAGGCACATTAGCAATAATCTTAAAAATACCTAAAGATTACTGCGAAAATAAAAGTATATACTATATAATTTTCTGAAAAAAAACGCTAGATTTCTACATATTCATGACAGATCAAATTCTGTGTGTGTGTATGCTTACATAACGCAATAAGGTCACTTCGTTAGAAGGAAAATTTTGGATCAAAACATAGGGATTCCATTCTATGCACTGTCTAAAGAAGTCTAGCTAAAATTAAAAAAGGATAGCAGACAGGCTGGTCAAGTTTCGAGTGAATTATCAATTTGTCAGCCGACGCAAACTGATATATTTGAAGAAACTCATGAAATCACTGAGAAAGAAGGAAAACAAATTAAATACAAACAAAACATAATACACCACAATGAAGACAATTAATCATAGCATATCAGTGCACGCAACAAAACTGATAAGTATTCACTTATGGACACCAAATAGAAGAATAGAAAATCCCCTTCTCTCCTCACCTATGGTCACCCTTTCCCTAAACCTAGTTGACGTAAATTTCATTTTTAATATACTTTTTAAGAATAAGAGTAGTAATCTATTTATTAATCCTTTGTTTAAAATCACTGTAGTACAGCAGAAGATCGAATTAACATGTAAGACTATTGCATAAGATCAGTCACCTATCTTGGACAGTCAATCCTGAAGAAACAGCAAATCCTTTCCTACGTAATATTAATAGATCTAATGACTTTTAGCGTCTCTTGCACTAGTCTTCAGGACTACTTTCTATAAAAATGAAGGAACATTACCAACGATCAGTAAAAATTATAACAAGGAATTAATAGATCCAGGAAACTGGCACCCACTGTGGACAGGCGTTAAGTTTCTCCACTACAAGCTCCAGTTGTCGAATTGTCTCATCAATATCGTTATTCAGTATCACGTAATCAAAAAGGTGTCCAAATGCCTGCCGAAGAATTTCACTTTCTCGCAGCAAACGTTCCAAGCTACCATCTGGCTGTAATATTTTATTATTGATAGCTGCAAATGAGATTTTATAAAATTCAAAATTTTGGAATCTTAAAATAAATGACATAATTACCTTTGATTTTTTGAAAAATAATGCGTTTGAAAAAGCATAAACAAAAAGCCAGTGTTAAATCTATGTTGGAAAATTTTAGGAATAAAAGCATTATTATCGTTGCAAAGTTCTTTTGAAGTTTTAAGAAATTTACAATTTCTTAAAAAACTTACATCTTGTAAACCGTGCAGATTTGGTGCAGCAATAAAAACAACAAATGGAGCGTACTCAGCTGTCCTGAGAACTTTCAGCGCCTGAAATTTGTTGCAATCAGTGAGAAAAAATATATACTGGCAACAATAATAAAGTGATAGGAAATTTGAAATTACTTGAGGTTCGACATCCAAGATAGCTATTTTTCCTGTCCTGTGAATATTGCGAATTGTTTCCAGCTTGGTACCATACATGCACTCCTCGTTGGTCCCATACTCCAAGTATTCATTTGCTTGAATATCGGTAAGCATACAATCATTAGATACAAAATAGTAATGTTTCCCATCAATTTCGTCTTTTCTTGGCTGTCTTGTTGTATCTATAATAAAAACAATATAAATTCAAAGCACTATAAAGTCGTGAGTCGCAAAAGTACCTCCTCTGTAAAATTATTGAGTCACAAAAACAGTCTTTCCGTAAAGTTATTGATAGAGAAAAAATTCCTTCGAAATGATAAGTCACAAAAATACTTCCTCCGTAAAGTCAGTGAGTCATAAAAATACAGTCCGCATAGACCAAAGTTATGAAATGTCCCTTTTTCTGGTACAAAGAGAAAATTCCATTTGAACTACCATTATTCATCAGTTAATCTATTTAAAGCCTTTTGCTCAAAGTTATAGAAAGACTAAAGTACTTACGCGGTATAGGATAGGCAAACCTTTGTGGATGCCTATGAATAAGTGTATTTTTGATGTGCCTTCGGCCAACACCATGAGCGCCCAGCAATACTAACGTTTTACGTCTGTATGTTGCCAAACGTACTACCTAAAAAAAAACACTCTTTCGAAAGTTAATCAAATAATCCTTATCAGGTATCTTCAAACTTGATAGATATCAATAAAATAAAATTAGAATGGTAAAACTAAATGAAGAATGGACGAGACAGTTTGAACCTCTTCATAAGTGACGAGATCAAGCTGATCGAATAAAGCGGAATGTTTCTGAAGATACTTGGTTGTATAATATTTTTTTTTCTTGTTGAGCCACATACAATGAGCTAAATAAGAATTCGTCATTCACATTCAAAATTATCAAGCTGAAAATTTATAAATGGCATTAAGAAGAATTCCACAAAATCCCTACTAGGAAATGATCTGATTGGAACTCTCAAAGTTACACTCACGATGGCATTTGGAAGATCTGAAATCATAAAGTTGCTAAAGGAATCATTTTACATTTAGACATTCTTGATAGGTATCTGAAGATAACTAACGCTTCCCAGTAGTATAATATATTACTTCTTAACAATTATGGCGAATTCAATAAACTAACTATTGTCTTTAGCTTGTTCCATAGCCAAGCAAGCAGTTCTCCATTCCTGCAACTCCAGTGATGGTATTAAACCAGCAACCGAGGCACCCGGAGTATGTGTACCACTGGGACCACCATTTCCAAGAGCTGGAAACTGAGAGATATATCGCGCTTGCCACCAAATATGATCATCTTTTGATATCACCTGAAACAGTCCATTATCATCTGGAACTGTTCATAAACAGATTACTATATTTTTTCCTAGAATGGACAAAGCAAAACCAATCAGTAGTGCATTTACAACCCATAAAACTTGAAAAATGAACGTGCTCAATAATAATTCACGAAATCCAGTAATACCCATACCTGGAGAATATCGCCGGTTTTAAATGGAACGCCGGCCTGTGGACATGGAATCAAGTCATCTTGTCCCGGATCATAGTCAAATTGAGCTCGGACAAATATTTCGCATGCTGGTGGAGCACTGCGGTAGGATGGGACTATCTTGAATGTCACGGCACCACGTGCATCGCGCAACAACCGCTGTAGCATTTCAACGCTTTGGTTCAGCACATTGACACCATTGATTTCACGAATTTCATCACCAACATGAAGAGTTGCTACAATTTATCAATGAATCCTCTAAATACTAGGGACAAAAAAATCAAAGGTCATTTAGGAAAACTCGTGTAACTATTAGGAAAATTAGAATTTCAAACTAAAATAACCAAAAAACTACGCAGCATTTCTGGGTTCGATGCTTTAAAAAAATATGTTCTTAAACTTAGCGACTTTAAAAAGGTATGAAAACTACCGTTCTATATCTTAAAAGAATGATATAATGAAATGCTGCTCCAGACGAATGCTACGGAGACCAAAAAGTCTTAACGAGTTTAGCATATTCAAGAAAGGACAATTTCTTTTTAAGCACACCCGAAAGATCGTACAGTTTCTGTTGATAAAGTTAAATGAGTAATAATAAGGTTCACGTACCCTGCCTATGTATCAATCCACCATGCATGATTCTAGCCACTTGGCATCGACCATCTTCCGTCACCTGAATACTAATTTTCGAAAATGTTCCTAATTACAAGTTAAAAAATGCAAAAAAAAAAATTCACTAAAAAATGATCTCAAGATGCAGTATGAAATCATGAGACGCCAGATGAAGAAAAATCTACCTTCAAAGTAATTCCCATCGGTTCTTCGGTATCTTTCTGAAATTGCACTAAGCGTACTCGACTGACGGAATCCATCATCAGATCATCATCATCATGAAGCGGCGATAGCCCGAACGGCTGCTGTAGCTCGTTCGCCGCAGTACCAAAGGAAGATGTAACTGCGTGAGATGTCTGCGTTCGAAGTACACCACCGTTAAGGTATGAAAATGGTAACTGCGATGATGTGGACGCCTGTAAAATCGATATAAAATAAATATATCTGAAATTCATAACCACAAAGAGGAAGGAAGCAAATTTTTATTTAGAGCAAAGCGGTCGCAGAAACAAATCCTAATATCCTAGTTGATCCAGTTCAATGTGTATCATTGGTAGTGAATCAAAGTGAAATCTAATAAGTTGCTGACAAAAGGGAAGAAAATCTGATTTTTAATTTTATATGCTTTGCAGAAAAAGGCATGAAGAACCAACCTGAACAGACATTTGTGGAAGCGCACTTTGCTGTTGATGGACAATTTTTTCATTATTGCCACTTATTTCCACTGCGGCGCAATTGACACGAGCATTACCCTCATAAATTTCATGGATTATTACATCGTATGCTTGTAACACTGCCTAAAAGTGGTTCAATTTCAATAAAATTCTTCATCAACCTCCTACAGTATGCCAATAAACTGCCTGAAAGTCGAGGAATTAAAGTTTTTCTTTCATCCTTCAGTAAATGAAAAAGTTTGAAGTTTTAACGATTCGTTACCGAATTTCAAACAAATAATTAATAGTGAACATTATAAAGTTTATTAAATTAAGAAGGAGTAGACAGATTTTAAACCTCAATTTCTTGTGATTCAAGTAACTGTCGTAATTCTACTGCTTCAGCTGAAGGTTGCAAGAACCCACCAATTTGTACGCATAACTAGAAATATTTAAAGATAAGTTTTATAAAAAAGGATTCAAAAAAAGATGTGTGAGTAAACAGAAAGGCAATTCGAGAAGGAATGAGCATAACAATTAAGTATTAAAAACAATTCCTTAACTATCAAACCTCTCTAGCATAACTAGCAGAATCATGCTCCAGTACTAATGGTTGAATCGATAGATTCGATATCCGATCATATAGCTGAAAATTTTTAATTCATGTAATTTTTATTCAATAGTGGATTTAAATAAAAATTAAACTTCAACAGTTGAGGTCAAGCAATGTTTACAATGAATTAAAACTTCGTTTGAATAATTATTGGAAAATAAAAAGAGAACAAGAGATTCACCAACTCTACTTCATGTTCTTTACGCATATCAGTTACCAGTTTGATGGATCTTTGAAAATTAACCATGATGGAATGAAGTTTAAAATATGAATGAAGTGAAATAAACTTCATTAGTCCTTTAAAATCTAGAAACTTATAATTTCATTAAATATTTCTCAAATCGTAAGCAGCATCCAAACATCAGTTGGTCAACTATAACGCCAGATTACTGATTAACAATAACAAATATTCAAACATACGACAAAACAACTCAATCAGACGTCTATATATTCAGAAAGAAGGAAAGGAAAAGATGTAAAGAAACGGTGATAGAAAATCTGACGCAGAAAATTTTCGAGATCTTAATTTTCAGCACTAAATCCATGTACAATCGAAGGAAGGTGCACCTCATTCCCTTTTGGATATATTAATTCCTTCTATATTTCGATTTCCTTCCTTTCCTGCTCTTAATCCTTTAGCTATTTTATTTGAGAAGGACAAACAGTTGTGGTCAGACTGAATTAGTAATTCAGAACCTGAATATATCCATTTCGATTTGTATCTTTGACACAAATCTATCTTTGATAGAGTAAAAACACATTCTGGAATAAGAAAAAGGAACGGAACATTCGTTTAAACAAAACTTCCCACTCCCAAATTTAGTGGATCACATCTTTTCAGTGGCAGCAACAATATATTGAGGAAGGAGCAAATGAAATGGATCGATGGACTAATATTTAACAGAAATTTTCTTCCTTCTAATAAACCTTATAAAAAAATACTGACAATAAAATAATAGCTTTTAGAAGTGTGTTTCAAAACAAATAGATGATAGTTAATAGGTTTGGTGGAAAAAATAGGAAAAAGAATTCTGCGAAATAATTAGTTTTTAGAAAAAAGGGGAATATTGCAAAAGAAATGTATTATTCATTTTGATAGAGCAATTACCAATAAATAAAGTAGAAGGGAGTGATAAAGAGAGATATCAAGCATTGCTGTGGATAGCATGAAATTATTTATAGAATCAGGAAGATAAGCATATAAAGAATATGGAGATGCATTATTGTTCAAATACATTATTTATTCAGACAAGAATATATCACTATCCTAATATGAGGAAAATCTTCGGATTACTCTGACTGGTTGTGATGACTTTGAATTATTTGGCGGACTGAAGTTCATTTCACATTAACTTACCTAAACAACAATCACAGAAAAAGCGATACAGAAATGTCAATAAAATTGAACACTGCGGAAACTGATATGGAGAAATGTTGAGGATTAAGAAAATCTCAGCTCATTTTCAAAAATGAGATAATAAACAGGATTGCTCAACTCAGGGCCGTAGTCTACAAAAATGCTAAGTTTGTTGATATTAAAATGCTTCTTTATGAAGCTCAAAATTAGTTTTTCATTAAATAACAACCGACCCCAAAAAGTCTAAACTACGAAGAAAAAAACAACAAATAGGCTCGGTAGTTTTTGTAAAAAAGTAATTTTACTAGCATTTTTTCTTTTTAGCAACTTCTATTCAGAAACTCTGCAAGAAAAGAAGCTATGCACTTGACCTACTAGAAAAGGCTATTTTTTTCCACGGCTAAGGAATCTTGTAATTTTAATCTTTTTCTTACAATCTTCAAACTTTTGTCTCTGAGCTAAGAGACATTTCAAGATGAAGCATAGACTTTCCGAAGCACCTTTTCATCGGTTTTGAAGTTGTCTCCCTATCGAAAAAATCCAAAAGCTCAAAAAACATGAACTGGTAACATGCATTAAAATTTTCTCAATGCTGAAAAAACAATCTCAAAAAACATAAGAATTTATCTGTACACTTCAGTACGTAAACTTCAATGAAGAGAAAAATTTCTAAGAAAATTTGGACTTTTCCTTAATGAGAGAGAATTTCGCCTTTTTATATGGAAATATATCGGTTGTAATTAGTCGTTTTGTTTGCAAGCGTTTTCATTGTCTTTTCCGCTTCCCCGCCCAATAAAAAAACTCCATCGCATACATTCGCATTGTTTTCTATCCCACAGGAAAAAACAACCAGAAATTTGAAAACTAATATGAAAAAAAAATTGATTAAAACGAATAAGCATATTTTCATGGAGTTCTTTTAAGTTCATGTAACTGGACGGTCAGCTTCAGTAAAGAAAAAATCTTTACCTTTTGATTAAGGGTAATAGTAGTGAACTCTTCCAAGGAACAACTGTTATCAATCCCCTTCATTTCTTATCATCATTCATCTGGAATGTTCGGAAAATATTTTTAAATAAAAAATCCATTCAATTTTTAACGCTTTTCGAAAATGATTTAGCTCCACAGCGATTCACACACGACAAGTGAAACGAATGAAAAGTTGTAAATATGTAATAATCACAAATTTCTATGCAATTTTCAAAGAACCAGAAATCATAGGTAGCCGATGATATTCACGGGATAGCAAAGCGAACTTTATTAGTGACAGGAATGAAAAGAGAAAATAGACAGTATGGTTGCATTCCCAATGAAACAACCTATTGGAAGTGCTGAAGAGAGAAATTCGTTGATTTTGATATCCTGTTGACCTTTAATACTATCACTGATGGATTTTATTCCGACTCAGTAGGGATAGCACTCAACTTACAATACTATACCGAATAACAATAAACTTTAGATTCTGAAGTTCTCCGTGGTAAAATAATCTAGCAGTCTCTTTAAGCATTCATCTCTTTATGAAATAATGTAAATTTATTAATTCATCCCATAAAACTGCCTAATATCTCTCAAACATTTAAAGTCTTTAGTTTACCAGCAATCAATCAGATAATTCTAAATTTATCTGCGCTGTCGAAGAATCCTGTAGTTGACAGATTGAGCAACAGCTTACAGATGTGGAAGAAATTAGAGAGGAGAATTCTTATTTATTTAGATATCATTTCGCTCAAAATGCACAAAAAAAAAAAAAAAAAAAGAAAAAAACAGCATAAAAAGGATCCTAGGAAAATGACAAGCAGGGAATTAGCCAACTTGTTTTCGTTGATGAAAAAATTCAAGCCTTGCCAAAAGGAACCAAAAAGTGGAATTACGAATTTATTTTCAGCAATTTCGATCAATTCATGAAAATTTTTCAATTTAAACAAAAAAAAAATTCAAACAAAAAAGAGGATAGAAAAGAATCGAGGAAACTTCACTTTACATTGAGTAACAAACAATTTTGAGGTTGGGAATTTTAACCTTTTATGAAAACGGGGAAATTCAAAAAGCAAAAGGAAATCCGAAGATGGAATTAGCACTTAACTGCTGCAAGTAGCATTAGCTTCAGTCTTTAAACACATACACATATACATACATACATACACACACATATCGATAGAGAGAAATGACAGATCGCTGTAACGTTGTGAAACTTCTTCGCTTGAAGGGCAAAGAAGTGATGGGAAGTTAGTTGAATTGAATAGTGGGTGGATGTTTGTTTGACAAGTTGTTTAACAGAAAGATGAACAAATCAACTGATGCACAACACCGGGCGGAATTGAAACTCATAGATGAAATCAACCATTGTTAAATCGATACAAATAATTTAAAATGTTAAAGTCAGTTTCATTCCATCTTTCTCCTAGTTACTCTCTATTGTCATGTTTCAATAAGAATAAAATAATGTAGCAGTATATAGGGATAAGTTGTATCGCAATGAGAAAAACTCTAAGGAAAATGTATTCAACATGGCTCTTGAAATTTTGGATTAAAATTTTTGAAGAACAAGTTTAGATGAAATAAGTAAGGCCCTCAAGTACAATTAAAACTTGAAAGCTGAGGAAAGAAAAAATAGGAGGGAAGAGAAAATAAGATGTGGAAAGATTGTCGAGATGTTCATTTCACTGCTTGCAAAAAGGCAAACATGAATTGATTTCTTCTCCGAATGCTACACTAAACTTAATGAGTGACTTCTAAGCTAGCAGTGGTGACATTCCCATTCAACACATCACTGTCACTTCTTGAATCCCTTAACTAATTGGATCAGCTAGTAGAAATCACAGAAAGACTTTCTCATCGTTGTAAAAAGAAAAGATTACTGTTTAAACACATAGTTTACCAGAAGTTGAAGGATGTCAAAGAGAAGGATGTATGCATCAGCTTTTCAATTAAAAAATCTACAGGATGGCAAAATTCAAAGTTTTGGTTGAATTAAACAACTGATTACTTTTACAGGCTTACTGCTTTGGCTGAAACCAAATAAAGAATGAAGAGAAGCTTGAAAGTTAAAGAACAAAGGGGGATTCGTAAACTGGATAAGGCATTTTTGGGAGGATATGGTCATCACTAGATTCATCTTTTGTTGTCATCCTTACGTCATTACGATTATTGTTTAGACATGCGCCCTCTCGATCATTTAGCTCCGCTGAAGTTGTATTAGCGAATAGAACCAACATTGAATGTCAAAGTCTAACTAGCTAAGCTTAAGCAGTATCATTTCTACATCGGATTATGGGCAGATTAACAGTCGGACAAACAAACAGTAAAATGAACGAGTGACAAGACACATCAGTTATTATTAGATTTGAGCAGTTAATGTAGTTTATAATTTCAACAGAACAAAACTCTTTTCTTACAAACTTCACTTTTTCACTTTTTTTCCTCCCAACAAATTCTATAAATATTTTTCGTTTCAAAAAAAATCTGCTTTCTGAAAAAAATCTACAGTTATGGACAATCATTAAAATAATTGAGAATTCAACGTACAAGCATTTCACATAAATAGTTCTTAATAAATGATCTACTGAACTGCTAATTAAGCATTACAATGTGGCGATGGATATACTCTTCAGATTTTGAAGATATTTTTCTACAATCTTTACAGTCTATTTACTTTAATTATTTAAATGACTAGGCATGACGGATCTCATTTCCATTTATTTAAATTTTAAAACTACTTAAAAGCTCCAAAATTATATCGCAATTGGGATAATTGTAGTGGATTTCAAAAGGAAACACCGAAACGTATATTATTATCATTTGAAACGTAGAATTCAAAGAAAAACAGCTTTCGAAGGGTTTATACACAAACATTTCATCTTCAAAAAATTATGTTTAGTTAATCAAAAAGTTCTACTTCTATTTTGAATAATTAATAAGTCTATTGTGACGGGTTCATTAGGAGGAAAAAATACCTTGCTTGCATAATATGTGGCATTTAACTTACCATCAGTAATGTTTTTAGATCGGTATTTTCCAGCGATAAATTTATCAGAAATGGATCCATAGTTTCGGAAGTGAATGGTGCATCTACAAGCGCAGCTATCTGATCCAGTGATAACAAAATCTGTAAATTATTATCATCAGTAATTCGAATTAGTAATTCTCTCACTAATTCGCCTCATCAGTTCTCAAAAAGCCTCATTTAAAACTTGAAGGACAGCTCTATTTCCTCAGATTTGTTCGTCAGAAAATGAAAAGCCTACAGTACAGAGATTAAGACAACTAGGACAATTACTCGAAAATGAAGAAACGAATTGAAAAAGAATAGATTTATCTGGAAAGAGAAGCACTTCTTTTGTGCTTTTGAAAAGTCTTATAAATGGTACATTCGAAATACAAGTAGAAATAGGAAGAGAATAAAAAAAAACTGAAGAGTGAGAAAGATAAAAGAAGCAAGTCACAAAATAGAATTATTTCACTTGTTAAGATAGACTAGTTCTTGCCAAAACAAAAATGTCTTACTCAGAAACCTTCGATATAATTTTCCTCTTGGGAGTCTGATATCAGCTCCGTTCCTTTACTCTTATGCGATAGTGTACAATCTGTATTTATTTTCAGCATCTCACCATGGTAATTTCAAATCTCAAATTTAAAATTCTTAATAGAGAACTATTACTAGTAGATTCTATTAGGAATTGTTACTAGCAGATTTCAGAATAGTTAAAATACATTCATTAGCTGAATACATAGTTCGTTTCATCATAACTTGTTTTTTCTTTAATGACTTGTTTTTCTTTAATGCTATTAAATCCGGGAGCAAATCCAACTTTAAATTCGAACATGAAAAATCATTTGACGACATGTTTACTATATCTGATATATCGAAGAAAGAAGAATACAAAAATAATGCAACATAAACATGGCATTTTTGGAATAAAATCCCTGAAAAGTTAGTATTGGTGGGAGTCCAAGATCTAACAAAGTTGGAAATTTAAAAATCATATTATCAGGGATATTTTGCACAAAATATCCTATTTGGAGCTAAAGAAAACAGAAATTATATAAAATATTCATGAATAATGAACTTTTTCTAAGCTCTTATGCTTGCAAATACGTTGCGTACCGCAAAATGACTACATTTTCAAATACTCGGCCTATAGAATAGTGTACCTTTTCGACACCGAACAAATCCTTAGGTATTACTCGCTCCGGACCACGTCTTGTACAACCATCCGCGTCACATGTGTCACCTCCTGGTAACAGATCACCACTGACCACAGAATCTGAATGTGCTGTAATTGCGACAGCACTTGTGTCTGTATCAGTCGAACAACCGCACCCTTCTGCCCACTTTTTGTTGTTTACGGCCGATAATATATCGCTCTATAATGAGATGTACATGCTATCAATACACAAATTATTCCCTTTCCGCAACATTTATTGCTTTACAAGTTTGAGTCAAATTAAATCGCATCTTATGGAATTTTCGGAATTCCCCGACAAAAGCAGACCACGATTTCATTAATAGACAAAGTCAATAACTAACAAAGCAAGCTCGAACTGACTTGCAAACTTTAAATCGACAAAGTTCAAAACTGGCAATTCTCGATCTATTGAGAGTAATTCTTTAAAGGCAGTTTTATGTTTATCACCGTAAACTTTTGGCAAAACAATGGTTGAGACATTTAAGGTTAGGTGTAATGAAATAAACTAAAATTAATAACCAAACAGTTAATTACAACAAACATAATTCAATCATGTGTAGCCACAATAGTACTCTCAAGCGAATTTAAACGTTTTCCATTAAGTAAATACTTTGCTAGTAAAATCATACTTGATATTTTTAACGCATCCTCTATGAATTTTTTAAATTCTTTCAGAAACAAATTGCAACTTACTTTCAATTTTCTACGTGCATTATACCTTCGAATTTGTTCTACAGTACTTTGCAAATGTTTACGAGGAGCAAAACGACTACGTTCACGTAACCATTCATGATTTAAGGCACCTTCTGCAGATATCCTGTTGTTTGGATTTACGGTGAGCAATCTGATCAGCAAATCCTTCGCCGAATCGCTAATTTGTTGCCAAGTACCCCCGTGATGCTGAAAATACACATTATTAGGAAAAGGATATTTTTCAATTTAAATAGATTTACTACAAAAAATCTTTCAAAAAAAAAATAAATTTACGTAAATTCTCAACAATAAATCTTCCCGTTGTAAAACTGTAAAACGTTACAGAAGGATCAGTGCAGGGATAACAATAACATTTCTCTTAATATCCTGAACAAAACATACTGAATATCTCCCCTCGCTGATACCTTCATATATTCCTTGTCGAGTGCCAACAAATGGCAAACGTCCACAAAGAAGTATGTAAAGTAATACACCAGCGCTCCACATATCCGCTTTTGTGCCGTATTCCACATCACTTACGACCTCGGGAGCCATAAAATAGGATACTCCCACACGACCTGAAATGCTATTATTAGAACAGTTCTCACAAAATTCAATAAAAATTTAAGTATTTCATGAACAAAATGCAAAAAAAATTACCAGCTCGAACAGTTGCAGCTGGGGCAGGCAACTTCAAAGAAACACCAAAACCAGTCAGTTTTAGAGGTGCTGAATTATCTTTACTGCAAATTAACATTAATTATCTGTAAAATCTTGAAATATACTCCGGAAATGATCGTATAATAAAAGAGGCGCTAATTATAAAGAATGTTTATAAGAGTTAAAAGATATTGCCTTGCCTTGCAAGAACAACATTGTGCGGTCGAATATCGCGATGGATAATCCCTTGGCCATGCATGTATTCTAGCGCTTGCATTAATTGTCTCATGTAATGACTGCAAATCTCTGGGATAATCATTTATTCTTTTATGAAAGATTAAATGCGCAAAACATAAACCTCTTATACTGTGTAAAATATATTAGCAGTGATAAATCTACTACTGTTATGAGAAACACATGAACTGGTAAAGACTTAATATCACTGAAAGTACCTATGAAATTTCCGGCATTTTCAATTGCTTCAATTGTAATTTAGTTAATTGTTTAATATGATAAAGCAATTCTTTAAACTTTATTCATCTTAATTTGATCGAATTAAACATTTCAAATAATATTTATGGCAATAAAAATATTCCCGATTCATCCTTTTTCTGCAAAATACTTCACCTGGCAACAGCTTCACTATAAACAAAACCAGCACTGGCTCGCTTAACAATTTCAAAGCATATGTCATCACCATCGAGAAATTCAAAAACCATATGAACAGCTTTTTCTCCAGCTATCACATCTTTTAATTCACACAAGAAAGGATGTTTCAACACAGCACAAATCTCAATTTCATTATCCACGTCTGGAAATTCGCCAATATTTAATATTTATCTGACATTCTTACTTACTACATCATCGGCAGTTAAATAGTTATATATTTTGACTGCTAATCCAATTTGATTATAATAACTGACAGTCCAGCTAGTAATAACTAGCTGTAATAACTAAAATAATTAAATGGAAGAATGATGGAGACTAACATCAGTAAAATACGTGAAAGACCAGCTATTAGAAAAATTCTTGCCGAACAGTAAAAAGACTAACCTGTTCGGGTTAATCCTGAAGTGGCAGAATATTTTTGTAAGTCGATGCTTTTTACTGAATAAAGTTTCGAAGTTATACGATGTACAGCACGATAAACTGTGCTTAACGGACCACTGAAGACAAGAAAATGATAAAGTACTGCACGAAGACGTTATCTCAAATCGGAAATCATTTTATATTATTAACACAATATACGTTATTAGTACATTAGTATTATCATATCAGATGCCTTTGACAAAATATCCTGGACTAGAATATACAATTTAATCACTATTAGCTGCTAATAATGCTAAACTGATCAATTTCTAATCTCTTGAATTTTAAACTATCTTCGTTTTGAATTAATTAATTTCCTCTAACTCCTTATTATTTATTCATTCGATATTGATTGATTTCTGTTATGATTAGCATTCATTGCTGCAGACTTTGCTCGAAATTTTCAGTGTAGCTGTTTACGAAAGCTTTGAAAATTTTTTGAATACATATAAAAAATTGAATTACCGCTCGATGACGTCCCCAAGTTGGTAATGATGATTGAGCAGCACTGTTTCTTCGCTCAGAGTCCATGGTTGCCCCGCATACATTACTTAAAACGGCCATCCAGCGGTTCCTATCTCTGAGGACAATTAAACTTTGGATGTGTCAACAACAGGTAAACAGTGAAGAGTGAAGACTTATTCATACAAATAATCACAAATTTGGTAATTCCTTCTGATACCAAAGCAATTTTGATAGTAAGAACTTCTGAAAATTTGCTTAAAAAATAAATGCAAATTAGACAAATAAAATAGCCAATGTATAAGTTTACGTTATATAGTGATTTGACCATTAAATAAAGACCTTATAACAGTGCCAAAATATCATTTCAAATTAATTATGCAGTTTACTAGTCAAGTAGTCCACAACTAATTACATTGAAGAGTTAGCAATATTTAATTATTAATGCCATCTTCAAAAGAAATTTTACTCACCCGGAACTTCAGTTCTATTTAATCCAAAGTTTTAACTATGCAATCTCAAAACAAAAGAATGATATTTCTACAAAGCAAAATATTCTGATCTGTCATAAGTGAACAACTTATTAACATTTTTTTTGCCAATATCATACAGCAGCTCATTAAGAAGATGATTTCTTTTTCCGGTCAAGAACATCTGCCAGTACATTCATGAATTATTTTCCAAAAGCAATTAATCGAATTGGTCACTGAACAGTAATCAGAGCGCAAATGTTGCGAATAACTGACATCTGATTCTTCTCATGCAATCGCTTTAAATGATTAGTCTCAAATAGAAGATATACAATGTGCGTCAAAACCTTTATTTCTATAAAAATGAAAACAGCTATTGATTAGTCCTCCCTTTCAATTTGCTACAATCTCAGAAGCTACTCGAATGCCAGTAAGATTTGTCAGTGTTTTTAAAAATAGATTGATCTTCCCCTCCTTCTCAGAATTCATCGCGTTATAACAGTTGCAGCAGTCAGTGAGATATATATATAGAAAGTCAGAAAAGCTGCATAATTTCGCATTACAATAAACAAATTATCGCAATGAAATGAAATTAGATTTCTATTCAATGATATCTGAATACTAGAGTAGAAAAACTTCAAAGTTTCACAACAGAAATTTATTGAGAAGATTATTTCTTCTGTTTTATTAATGAGGAAAATTTGATGATAGATCTTTTCTAATTCAACGCAGCTCATAATAGCAAGAAATATCTCAACAGTCCTAAATTATTGCTAATGAAATTAAATATTATTTAGTAACTAACTAATCATAATTCAGTGGTAAGTGCTCCCTACTCTGACCCCAATTTTCCAAAACATTTGAACCCTTTAAGTTTTCCAGATAACATCCAGTCAATTTTTCGATTTTATCAACTTCAATGTCCTTTATTGAAGCTTCATAATGTACTTCGTCTGCAAGTATTTTCAAACGACTGAAATTGGAATGTCTTCAACAATTTCATCAAATCCAAAGCCAATGAATATGCAAGTCTATCGTTACTTCGTTTTCTCCTACAGGAAGTGATGAAAATTCAGAAAAAGCCTTTTAAATAAACTGCTAATCTAAATAATGCAGAAGATAAAAAAAAAAATTGTTAGTTTGGAGGCATATTTTCATTACAAAGATGGTTTAAAAATATTTACTGTATTTTTCAATAATAATTTGAGTATTTAAAGTGATTTTTCCAGACGTTTCATAACACTAAACATCTTATTTATATGTGTTAATTAATCCGAGTGTAGAGAAGAAGTGTTAAAGCTTTTTCCTTTTCAACGGTAGATCGTAATACAGCACTGTTCTTTCATCGCTATTTGAAGGGAACATATGAATCCTCGGTAAAAATAATTAGAATAATGTATTTTCAGAAGTTAGAATTTAAACAAATTAAATAATCTGCGAATTTTTAATACTTTTTACGAAAAACTTCATGTCTAACACTTTAACAAATATAGAAAGCGTTTGTTGAAGGAATGTTTTCGATGGTAACTATCAAAGATTGTTCACAGCAATGAGTAGAGGGAGAGAGGGGAATAAAGCAAAGACTCTGAAAATTGAAACTTTTCTAAAATCCGGTTTGATCGAAATAATTAGAACAATGCATTTTCACAAGTTAAGAATTTAAACTAATTAACTGAAGTTACAAAGCAAAAAGATCCTTATTTTCTGATCATTCTTTCAAACAAATCTGTGCACTAAAATCGACATATGGATAGCTTTATGTAAATTAAAAAACAAGAACTAATAGTAAAATAGCTTCTTTGGAAATATTTGATTTCTTCGAGCATTCGTCGCTAACAATTTCAAGAAGTAAACAAATAAGGGAAAAAGAGAGAAAAAAAAAAGATAAAATATTGAATATATTAGATAGTATTCCTAAAAAAATCAACTAACAATCGAAATGATTCACAATCGACGAATAATTAAGACTGAAATAAAGGCTGTCGAATGCTAAATTTAAAATGGTGATCTGTGTGAACTGAAAATTTCCTTTCAAAATTCATTAGCAAAAATTTTTCCATATACGAAAGAGCTGGAATAACTTAATGATAACAAACTAAACAAAGATTCTTTTTGCTTTACTCAAGAATTTCAAAAATTAATCAAAAGAAAAATTCGATATTACAATTAAATATTTCCATCTTCACCATCTAAACACTGCTCCTTTCTTTTATTCTTTCCTCCATAAGTTCTTTTCTTTAGGTTTTTTTTTTTTTTTTTTTTTTTTTTTTTTCGGATTTTCGCATTTTAATTGAATTTTAAGAGAAGGAATAATTTCTGTTCATTGGCACAAGAACATTTGCCGAAGCTAGAAAAGTGAAGAGCTATAAGATAAGCAGCACCCGTCATTTCGGAAATACTATCATGTTTCCTTTCAATTCCTTATCTCTCTCTTTTTTCCCTACCAATTGAATCCTTTCCTTGGTTCTGAAAATGATATTCATGAGTAATGAAGTCTAACAACCGAAGCATTTCAATTTGCTAAATCTAAATTTACAAGGTCCACATTTCTTTCACGTTCCACATTTTTTAATCCAACAACCATAAACGCTTTTTATACTTTAATTTCTCAGTCATTTGTCTGATAGCAACAATACTACTTAATGTAGCAGTAACAACGAATTAGTGAACTGAAACCAAAAAATATAAATAAGCAATTGAAATACTCAAAACAAAGAGAATCAACAAAATACTGAAGTATTGGAATCACTAAATTTGTGTTGAATTGAAGGATTTAGCAGAAGGAAAAGAAGAGGAGAGAAACAGTTATTATGCATTGAAGTATGATTAAATTGGTTCTTTTCAGTATATTGAAACAGAAATAAATTCGAATTCAATGAGTGAATTTATGAAATAAAGAACTGTCCTGATCTCTCGGAACAGTCTTCAAGTAATATTTACTTTCAGATTGCAAAGAAAGTTAAATATTTTCAAGAAACTGCAACATTTTCGATCATTTTCAAAAGCAGCAGGTATGATTTCACTAGCGAATAACAGTTTTTGTAGGACATTAAAGTAGTATATGACTTAACAAATAGAGATAAAGGTAAGGACAAATCTACAGATAAACAAATCAGGTACTCTCAAAGACTTAATTTGAGGTAGATAGAAATAAGTCAGTCATTGTTGACATTTCATCCTCCTATGAGACAGACAATCTTGCTTGATAGAAAGAAAATGAGAGAAGGCCTGGCAAAGAGTGATTCAGAAAAGAACTGATTACATATGAAAAGTTTCCGTGTCAGCGTGTAGATAAACTAAATTATCCAATATTCATAAAGTTGAGAATCTTTAGTAGACAAGAAAAGACACAAATTTCGTAGCAGCGATCAGAGCTGTTTGTTTGCACATTGAACTGTCTTAACGTCAGTTGTTATTTTTACAAAAAAATATGTAAAAATTTTCCCTCTTTCTTTTTCGTCATCTTCCCCTCCTCTCATACTAATACTGCTGATATAAAATTCCATTTTTTTTAAAAATATGTTCTATGTTTGATAAATAAAGTTCTGTTATCACACCAAGATTTTGAAATGAATAGCAATATTGGAAGCAAGCGAATTTAAAACAAAAAGAAATCAACATCAAATCATGCAAAAATGCAGCTACTTTTATTTTTGAGACATATCTTTCTAAATTTCATTCATTTAATGCAATGGTGTCATTTGATCCTTTTGATGTTAATCATTTGTTTAAAGGAATCAAATTATTTCCAAATGCTGAACTTAATTACATCTATGGCTACAACTACTAATTAATGAAGTGGAATAAACTACAATTAAATTATAAGGAATTAGCAACTTCATGCACTCCACTTCATATTTCACTACGTTAAGATGTAAATCTTGGGGTAATAAGTAGTTTTTCATTTTATTCATAACAATGGATGAATGATCTGAAAAAAGTGTACGAAACAAAAGATACCAAACAAAATAAAAATTTCGTTGCTTCCCATAGAGTTTTTCTGAAGAACGAACTAAAATGAATGTTGTACCGATGAAAGGAACATAGAGAAATGTTCTGAAGTGATGATAAGAGTGATACGAGACGAAGTGGAATAAACTTTCTCGTTTCATCTCACTCAAATAGTTGCTAGTTTTTTCAAGTTTTTTGTTTCGAAAAAAAAAAGTAATTCACTGTATCGTCATTAAATTACAATTAGAGATTTGAAATCAACTTGAAATCATAAGAAGTAACAAAAAAAGTGAAAGTACTTTGATATGTGTAACAACTTTACTAAGAAGTATTTATCATTCGATGAGAGAAGCACTCAAATAACGAAAATTTTCACTTAACCCTTGAAATATCAGAACGATGGAATGAGTGAACAGAGATGAAAAAGATTAAGGTGATAACAATAAATGTAGGATACCTTAAACTAAAAGAAATAAATGAAAGATAATGCAAATAGTTTCAATGTTGAATTTGGCACTTTTCAATAGTAAGAATAGGAAATAACAAACTTAAAAGCTTCGCAAAAGAAAGTCTGTTAGGAGGAAATGAAATCAAATCAACTAGGCTTAAGCCTACGAGTGCTACCCACAAATGATAATAGGGAATAAATAATGGAAAAGTTGTATTGCAACATTTCAGGCT